GAAAGTTGAGTTGCTGAGACCCCAAAGGAACACTGAGAGTCGCAGGTTACTTCCTATAAATGGAAGAACCTGAATCGTTAAAAGATAAAATTCCTGTTAGAATCCTGAATCACAGAATGTTTACAGTATTTTTGATCCATCAACTTTCTACTAGCAATCCTTTAATGAAGCTGCATTTCAGTCTTTAGAGCCACAATTTCTGTAGCCCTGAAGTTCTTGGAGTAAGGGCATGGTGGGGGAAGGGTGATCAGATTGGGAATACTTAGAATTGATTGTCCCTGGTGAAATTAAACTGCTCAGTGGATCACTTTGAGATAATGAAAGGTCCACTCTGAGCTTGCAAACAAGGCATTGCTCTTATCCAAATCCTCATGGTCAGTGCTTTTTCTTAAGCGTTGTGCTTGGTGATTTAGGTGTTTGTGTGAGGCTTAATGTCCATTTCCTATAGCAGTTTTTATTCAATTAAATGTGCTGCCATTGGGTAATGCCTAATTAGAGAAATCTTTGTGTTTAGGAATAAGCTTTGCGTATTCATTTGTCCTTTGGTCAGGTGTTTGAGAATTTCAGTAAATATGACCATAATTAAGCTTTAAAGGCAGAACAACACAAAATTCCCCATCAGTCTTGCTTCACTTCCTTTGGCAAAAGGAGGAGAGACAGCTTAATCACTTAAGTTGCAGTAAAAGCAAAATCTGAAAAGTGCAGTTTTAAGGATCATTTTAGAGTTATGATTGTAAATTACACATCAGGTTTATTCATCTTTGGTTGTTATAATGGAGTGGGCTTGGAAACCTCAGCAATTTGATCACCGAATACATTGTAGTTATTTTAACCGAGAAGCTTAATACACTGGAAATGTTTCCTGGAACTGTAGTGATCTCCTCCCTGTACCCCCACCCCTTCAGCCCTAGTATGAAAATGCTGACTTCTGGGAGCCTTTTAGTAGACATCTGAAATTTTGATGAAATGTTCTTTCAATTTTGAATTTGTTTGGCCTTTTTAAGACATTATGCTGTTCAAAAATATTCCTGCTTCAGAGAAGAAAATAGCTTTGGACTGGAGCGTGGAGAACCATTTTAAATCATCATTGCCAGGTCTTCAGATTTTAATAAATTTTTTTGTTCATTTTTGAGCCAATACTTTTATTTGCTGTGGTAGCTTACAGAAAGCAGTTCGATGACCAATAAAAATAATGCTGTAACTGCCAGGGATTACATCAGTTTTAAGATTATTTGCTGATAATTCAAGTAGCTTTGCGTTATATCAGGGCCTGTAATTCTCATTATCAGTGATCTGAATAATTGATGGGAGATAACCGCATGCAAAATAAATTGTCAAAGGGAAATCTTACTTTGTGAGCAGCTTAAAATGGTTGGGTGGAACACTATTTGAGGGTTATTTGTATTTTTAACCTTTGGAAAGCAAATTGTTTATTTAAATTAAAGAAATAGTGCAAGATTATGGCTGGCATACTGAAAACTTGTAGGATGTTGTTTAAGGACAATCACTGTTTGAAAGAGTCTGTGGCAGTAATTCTCAACAGTGCTTACAAATTAGAATTGTCACCTGGGGAGCTTCCAGAAAAATTAAATATTAAATAAAAGAACAAGGCATCAGTATTGTGTTTAAAGCTGTGACCAGGATTAGGAGTCAAAGATCTATGGCTAACTGATAAATATAAGTCTTCTAGCACCTGGAAAGGATACAGAGGTAGGCTTTATTTCAGATCCTGTGCCAGCTTTTATAGTAACAGTCTTGTATTGAGGTCTCTATTTTTCTTCAGTTCTTATCTAGTCAGGTCTGGAGGCAATCAAGGAACAAATTTTGTTTCCAATGGCTTTTCATTTTTTTTATGACTAGCAAAGACATAGGATTTTCCAGTTAAATGATTACTCTGTTAGGTTTTTTATTGAGAGGCCATTTTGGAGTATAAATTACTTGCCTTTTTTTTTTTTTTTTTTTTTTTTTACAGTATTCAGTTTATACTATGGAGGTATAAATTAGGAGTACAAAAGGTTGATTTTTATCTTGAGAAAGAAATTTACATTGCTTTCTCTGTTAATTCATATATTGTAAACATTTTTAAATATTTGCCATACTTTATTATATAGTGTGATGTGTCATTAAAATAGAGTCAGTACCAGCATATTTCAAGTTTTAAGAAATGCTGTTCTTAAGGACAATTGAATGGGAAGCAGTTCAGCACAGGATGGACTCCTAATGAATTACAATTCATTATGAGGTGCCAGGAATCACACACTCCCACTCCAGACTACACTGCGTGCCATCCAAATGGGAATTTTAAAAATGATTTCTACTTAACGTTTCTCTGCTTTGGCAAAGACACCTACATTATTCAAAATCACAGGAACTAACCACCACTGTTTTAACACTCTATATTGGCAGCAGGTGGGCAGTTATGGTGAAATTTATGTGAGTTCAACATTGCTATTTTTTATGTGAACCAAATATTATTATACAGTTGCAGGAAATTCCACCAGACATTGCAGTCTCATCAACTTTTAGGGTAAAACAGGCATGGAAAAGTCACCTACTTCATACTACCCCACCCCCAGTCTTCAGGCACTTCTCAACCCAAACCTGTTTAGGGTAAAGAGACTGTGCTATTTTGGAAAATGCTCAGAAGTAGACATTCTGCTGCTTCTTTCAGGCTTCTGTTTCATCATCTAACAGCAATCACTGCTGGGATCTGCACACACAAAACCCCAAACCTGCATAGTAATTTCAATCCATTTTCTCCAATTTAATGGAGATAGAGGTCATTTAGGCCTTTTTCAAAAAAGATCAGAGAGATAATATATGAGGAAAGCTCTTAGTAAAACTGGAAATGTCATTCAAATGTAGGGAATTCATAAAAATATCAGTGTGCCTAAAAAAATTGTATTGTTTTCTCCTTTTGTTCTTTGGCACAGATTGTAGAAGACAATTCAGTAGAAGACAATTCAGAATTGGGAAAGCACTAGTCCATTTTTGTTTTAAGTTAATCAGTGGTTGCTGTAATTGAGGGGAAAAATCTATATTGACAGCACACAACATATCCTACTTCACTGATTCTCTACCTCCTTTGCCTCTTTCCCTTTTCCACTTGTAGAATTAACTAAGAACTTGTATAAAAGGTAACTCTGCCTCATTTACTCTGCAGCCACTTCTTCCTTGTGTGAAAAACTAAACAGCCATATGAATATTAAAGGTTGCAAATTGCAGTGTATACGTGAACTTGGCATTTTCTGTAATTCAAATTGGTACATTATAAGAGTCAGGTCTGTTGTGGAGACCACAGAGAGGCCTTAACCTGCAACAGAAGGTTGGAGCTGGGGTGAAGCCAGATAAACTATACATCTGGCAGGTGCACACACTTTCACTTTTAAGTTTTACAAAATGGATATTATGGAAAATTTGGTGCTCTTATCAGTAAGCTGTGTCAGAACCTGTATATTACAGTTGCAAACAGAGAAGTAAGCCCCTAAATCAAAGCTACCACTTGGTAAAGATACTGTTTACTGGTTTCCAGGAACTGTGTGAAAATTTACCTCTGAATCATTTACTCTTAGCATGTGAAGGACCTTGGACAATCAGTTGTTCAAATGCCTTGTCTTTGGGCAGGCAGATAAATAACTAAGCTGTCCAGCATGGATACTTAACTGACTTTTTCCAGGTCTCCAGGGATCCCACAAATTCCCTTAGCACATGCCAGAGTAGCTTTCCAGAGTTATATACAGCCTGAATCTCTCTTCTACTTCAGTTTGTCCCAGTTACTTTTTGCATGATTCCTTGCAAATTTCGAAGGCAATACCATAAGCTTAAGTGAAAACGCAAGGCAAAGAGGTTTTATCTATACTTTGGGGTGATTTTTAATTTGTAAACGAAGAAATAATTTTCTACATACCATCTACATAAGATGCACAAATTCAGACTGGAGTACATTCAGACATTGTAGATAATTGGAAGACTGCAAGTTCTAAGTAGTCTTGCTTAAAATGATTACTTTGAGGGTGGGATTTATACCTTTGACCTTTAAATAGATCATTGAAAGGAAGGAAAATCTTTGTGACTACGTATATTAAAACATTTTAGGTTGGGGAATTATATTTCTAAAAAATAATGGGAATATATAAATGGATATTGGTTTCTGTCATACATCCTTTGACTTAAATATGTGGTAGTCTCAGATATGGTAATACAGTACCCTAAAAGGAGACTGTCCCAAATTTATATAAGAAAAGGGTATTATCCTGATTTAAGCGAAGAGAGTGAGGCCTCAGCAAAATTAAAGGGTGGGATAAAATAGAGCCCAATCTTGAAACTTGTAGATTCAGTGAGTCTACTTATTAAACATGTAAAATGGGCATGAGAAATATATTGCGTGAAATGGAACTTTACAACAATAAGACTCTGAGAGATTGCAAAATAAACTCTATCCTGTGAAGCCAAATAATTATAGTTTCTTTTTAGAAAAAGTTGATCATTTATTCAATAGAGGGAGCCATTCTATTTCTGACCTTTACGCTTACACACAATTATTTTGCGTTTAGAAGTAATCTGCATTATGCTTTCTGTTCTCTAGTAAGGTAGTTGAAAGGTTGTCCTCAGTAGTTGCATAATAAATGAAATATTCCCAGTCCATTCTTCTGAGTTAGTGTGTTGCTAGTGAAGGTTATGGTTAAGATTCATTTGGGCTGTGGATGAAAGAAAAATGATTGGCAGTAAAAATATTGTTTCTCTAGGGTACTTTCTTTAATCATTTTAGAATTGCACTGTTGACCTCAGAACAGTTGGTTCAAACAGCACTTTTACTAATCTTTACTATGTCAGCAAGTAAGAGCTTAGTGGATTTTGAATTCCCTAACAAGGTTTTCTCCTCTCCCTACTGCTTTCTCCCCAGATTATAGCCCAACATGCTTAGACAAGAATGCTGGACTTGGTAGAAGTGTGGAGAAATGTGATGAAAAACTGAATTTTTCCCCTTTTCTCTTGGTCAGTGTGCTGGAGAAGAGAAACGAGTTGGCACACGCACAGTGTTTGTTGGCAATCATTCAGTTTCGGGAACAGAAGCTTACGTTGCACAAAGATTTTGTGATAATAGAATAGTCTCATCTAAGGTAAGTTTTTGTTTTAATTCAATAGATGTTCATATAGTGAATCAGATAATGCATTTATTCTAATTTATGCTTCTGAGGAAACTGATGCATTTATATATGTGTACATGTATGTGCATGTATACGGATCATATACCAGCTATAGTAAGTATTCCTCTGAAAAACAGTTTTATTTAAAAAATCACTTTGTCTTGTTATAGGTGAAATCGCTTGCCTTCCATTATGATTCACAGTGCTTGTTGATTATGCGTATTACTTTAAACCTTAAAGTGTGCTAAAAATACTTATTATTTACTTGTGCAAAGCTTCCTGAATTACTCTTGAATGGATGAACTAGGATATAAATGATTTGCATTCTTTTGGAGAGAGCTGTCCTGGAATGTCTTCATTTGCATTTCTTTCTAGTTCTCCTGCCAACCCCTCTACCTCCCGTCCCACTTCTCAAGTATTAATACACTCCTTTGTCCCAAAGGGTGCATGCTGCTCAGTACACTGCTTCACCTGTGATCTGTTAAGAGTTAAGTCACTGCAGCTGTGTCGCCGTTTGACTCCCTCTTTCTTCAGCATAGTGTAGGACTAAGAGCATTGACCTGGAAGTTTGAACACCTGTATTTAAATCCTGGCCCAACCACTTACTAGTTGCGTCACCTTGGCCAAATTAATCGCCCTGATTCTAAATGTTCTCATTGGTGAAATGGGACTAATACTCTGTGAAACCACTTCTTATAGCTCCTAGTACCCAGTAGTCATCATTCTGCAAGTGTTACTTAGCTAGTCTTTACCTCTGGCTGACCAGGTTAGGTGCTAGGTTGGCCTACTGCCATCTCTTGTAGAATAGAAGAGATCTTGAAGATTTTCCTCACTTCCTCATGTGCCCTGGCAAGGCAGAGATAAAAGTTGGTGACATTTGGTTCGCTGTATACTTGTAATCACTTAGAACCTGAAACACAAAATTATGCCCTTCCTTACAAATATATGACATTTTGGTTTTCAAATATGCATTTAATTTCTCGTTTGGGTGGTGATACAGTAGTGATCATGTTTATCTGGGAGATTAACATGTAAAATATGGTCAGGACAGGTGAAAATTTCGTTGCCTAATGAACAGATCTGTCGGCCTATAGAACATTTTATTTTGGATAAAAATGTCTATTTCCTGTTAATCTTACACACTAGTGGCAGAAATTTTATTCTCAGCCAGAGGTTTATGTACTTGTGCCTAAAATAGTGAATAGTTCTTTTACTAGAAATTTCGACTCACCTTGTATCCAATTAAATGGTCTGTAGTCCTTTGATTCAGAATTGTGGACTTGTAGAGCTAAATGATCTTAAGAGGTTATCTTGTTCAACTCACTGACTTTACAGATGGAGAAACCAAGGCCAGAGAAATTTAGTCACATGGTCACCAAGCAGAGATAGTAATAAAACCAGGAGTAGAACTACTTTATAAGTTCTAGTTGCTCTGAATGAAGAGCCCTTTTTACATCATTGTGCTGTCTGGGTTCCTTCCTCATTTTTTTTCTTTCCTCTTGCATTGTACTTGGTATGGGGTGACAACTCAAACGCTAACTGCTATTGTTATTTGTGTTTCTGTGATTAGTATTACAAATCTGAGTAGTACTATTGATTTCCTCAGATTCATGTGTTTTGAATGTATGGGATACTGTCTCCTAAATGGAGGCCTTCAGGTCTACTCCGAAAAGACCAACAATGTCATAATTTGACTTTTTCTTCCTCACATTGTCTTGGCTGTTTGTATTTATACCAGAGTTTATAAAAAGATTATTTTTTCAAAATATACCATTTATAGAATACATTAGCTGCCTTCCAACTTTGTAGCAAGTGTTGATTTTCTTTCTCCACCCTTCAGTCATAAAAATAACTATCTTAATTGGACGCTGCTTTTATTTACAAATACCATTAGTAATGTGACATTATAAATGTTAAGGCAGGGAACACTGAAGACAAACATTTTGACCTACTTTAAATTTTATTTGCTTATAAAATTAATGCTTTTTTAATTTTTATTTTAAAAAATTTTTTTAGACAGAGTCTCGCTCTGTCACCCAGGCTGGAGTGCAGTGGCACGATTTTGGCTCACTGCAAGCTCCGCCTCCCGGGCTCACGCCATTTTCCTGCCTCAGCCTCCTGAGTAGCTGGGACTACAGGTGCCCGCCACCATGCCTGGCTAATGTTTTGTATTTTTAGTAGACACAGGGTTTCACCATGTTAGCCAGGATGGTCTCGATCTCTTGACCTCGTGATCCACCTGCCTTGGCCTCCCAAAGTGCTGGGATTACAGGCGTGAGCCACCGCTCCCGGCCTAACGCCTTTTTTTTTTTTTTTAAATCTCCTGGGATCACAAATACTTTCTTTAGAAAAATTTGGCCTCTACAGCCTCACAAACTTTAATGTGCTCTGCAGGGATTTTGGAAATCACCAGAATGTTGTAGCTGGTGCAAAACTTGGAAATTCCCTTCTTTAGCAAAAGGAGCATTGATTGTACTCTGCTGTAAATTTTAGGATCTTTAGTTTCCATCATATTTATCTGTTGTGTGTTTCTTTTTCCTTTAAAAATTTTAAAGATTTTTTTTAGAAATTAATTTTTTTTGTTTTGTATTTTTAGTAGAGACGGGGTTTCACCATATTGGCCAGGCTGGTCACAAACTACTGGCCTCAAGTAATCCCCCTGCCTCAGCCTCTGAAAGTGCTGGGATTACAGAAGTGAGTCACTGCACCCCGCCCTTTGCCCAGCTTTTAATGGAGTTGATTTTTTTTTTTCTTACTGTTTGAGTTCCTTATAGATTCTGGATATTAGTCCTTTGCCAGAATCATAATTCGCAAATATTTTCTCCCGTTCTATAGATTGTCTGTTTACTCTGTTGATTATTTCTTTTGCTGTGCAGCTTTTTAATTTGTTTATTTTTGGTTTTTGGGCATTTGCTTTTTTGTCTTCGTCATCAATTACTTGCCTAGGCTAATGTCCAGAAGAGTTTTTCCTAAGTTTTCTTCTGGCAGTTGACTGCTAACTTTATTATTACCTTAAATATCTGCTACTTTATTTTTACCTTTTTCTCTTTCTTTTTTGCTGCTATTCAGACACATTAAAAGTTATTTGGAGTCTTAAGTTCCTCATCAGCATTTTTAATGCTAAATCATCAGCATTTTTAATGATAAATTGGAAATCTTGGCTAAAACAACTGGTAAAAACAAGTAAAGTTCTAAAGCCTCCTTTTGCTTAAATGAAATAGTTGACTCTCAAAGCTGAGATTCTCTTCAACTTTCCTCCTTTGGGAAATTTGCTTAGTAAGTTTATAAGGTTTTGGTTTCAAATTAAATTAGATGATACATATTTGAGGCAGTGACCCACAACTTTTTCACTTAATTTCATCTTTAGTGACCACACTTGTGTATAGATTATTTAATCCACTACAAAGCATATATAAAATGCATTGTATGTACTGGGAAAGCTGGCGTTGTTTGTTTGTTTGTTTTTGAGACAGAGTCTCTCTGTCACCGAGACTGGAATGCAGTGGCACGCGATCTCGGCTCACTGCAACCTCTGCCTCATGGGTTCAAGTGATTCTCCTGCCTCAGCCTCCCAAGTAGCTGGAATTACAGGCGTGAGTCATCATGCCCAGCCCAAAGCTGGTGTTTTCTGTATAAGTAGTTTTAAACATGTTCTAAATGTCTGGGCTGCTTTTTAAGTTTATAGTTGCACTTAAAGATAGTATAAAAGAGGCCCGGTGCAGTGACTCACACCTGTAAACCCAGCACTTCGGGAGGCTGAAGCGGGTGAAGTTCGAGACCAGCCTGGGAGATGGTTCAAAGGAAAACCCCGTATCTACAAAAAATACAAGAATTGGCTGGGCGCGGTGGTTCATGCCTGTAATCCCAGCACTTTGGGAGGCCGAGGTGGGCAGATTGCCTGAGCTCAGGAGTTTAAGACCAGCCTGACCAACATGGTGAAACCCCGTCTCTACTAAAAATATAAAAATTAGCCGGGTATGGTGGCACACACCTGTAATTCCAGCTACTCGAGAGGCTGAGGCAGGAGAATCGCTTGAACCTGGGAGGGGGAGGTTGCAATGAGCTGAGATCACACCACTGCACTCCAGCCTGGGTGACAGAGTGAGACTCTGTCTCCAAACAAACAAACAAACAAACAGCAACAACAAAAATTAGCCAGGCATGGTGGTGTATGCCTGTAGTCCTAGCTACTCAGGAGGCTGAGGCGGGAAGATTGCTTGAGCCTGGGAGGCAGAGGCTGCAGTGAGCTGGGAACACGCTACTGCACTCCAGCTTGTGTGACAGTGTGAGACTCTGTTTCAATAAATAAATAAATAAATAAATAAATAAATAGTGTTTACTGACGTCTCCAAGCAAGAACTAACTTGTAACAAAAACTGAATTCTCATCGTGTCTAAAAAACTGCTATACACATTTTCTTCTTGTGATTAACCTTTTTTTTTTTTTTTTTTGCCATGGAGGTCATGCTTGAGATAACATTGTTTTTTTTTGGTAGCAACTGACCAAGCTGGAGAGTCTACTTTTTAGATAAACAGGTTAATTTGAATAACTTAATGTATATGGCTATAACTCAATTTCACTTTTAGTTAGAAAACTCTAAAAAGTAGACTTCTCTTGGTCTGCATTAAAATCTTACATTTGTATTATAGTAAAAAAGATGTACTAGAAACTAAGTTTACCTTTTAGGTAAACCAGTAGAGTAAATGGCTAGGGCACAAGTTTTAATAAAGATTTCTTGTATACCTTCTGTGTGCTAAACTATCGTCTAGCTATCGTTCTAGGCACCTGTGGTAAGGCGACTTATGACATGCTCCCTGATCTCATAATAGCTCATGACTTGATGAAAGAGAGAAGAGGGCAGTCATTTCTTATGAAGGGAATAATCAGAATTCCTCAAGGAAGCAGTTCATTTAATAAAACAGTGGTAAACTAACAGTTGGGACTTAAAAACGACAACAACAAAAGTATTCCCTTTTGATGTGTTTATATCACTTTTTACAGATGACTCTGTCTGTAATGCTTATTTGATTAATTAAAATCTCTTTAATTTGGGAACAGAAGGGTAACATACCAGAAGCTCAGCCATTAGCCTATTGTTGGAGTTTAGCTTATTGTTTTAGAAAGTTGATTTTAAATAATTGGGATAGTTAAAAATGCTGGTCTGACCTATGTCATCTTCAAAGTGACTGGATCAGTGGTTTTGAGTGACTTCTGTTTTTGATCACAAGCTACCTTGGGAATCTCATAAAAAGCGTGGACTTCCTTCTCCCAAGTGATGCACATCCATGCACAATTCTGCATTTATTTTAAAATTATCTTCCCTAACGTACTTCTTGGACTCCAAGGTAGAACATTTTCTAAGTTGGTTATTGGTTGTAATGCAGCTGTTCTACTGAATATACTTGCCTCTTTTTGTCTTTTTTCTCAGAGGATTCCCTAAATTTTGAGCCTATAAGCCTTTTTAAACTGAAAGGTTAGTAAATTCCCGTATATTATATTGTGCTCTACAGGTTGGCTTTTCAGTCACCTCTTATTAAAGGATATGTTCTCACATATTATACAGATAATTGGGATGGGCTTTGGTAATTGGTAATAGGTAAAAGTTTCATGCTAAATTGCACAAGGTCAGAAGACGAGAACTCTTAGGCCAACTGTCAACCGCAGAACTCCCAAATATAAATTTAGCTTTTTAGGTTAAGAAACATTTCTTTCTTTCTAGATTCTGGTCTTACTAGGTCATCTGAAAAATTCAACATTTTTTGGTCACTTTTAAATGATTCAGTCCTTGACCCTAAGGTTTCAGGGACAAAGTATGGTTGACAGTTGGCCTAAGAGTTCTGCGTTTGACAGTTGGCCTAAGAGTTCTTGTCTTCTGACCATGTGCAATTTAGCATGAAACTTTTACCTATTACCAATTACCAAAGCCCAGCCCAGAGTGGTATGTTGTTGATTAAAATGAAAGCCCTCCATGGCCCAGGGTTGTGTATATACCTTCCCAGCTGTCATGGAAATTGGAGGTACTCATAGGGGACAGAATGATTCACAGGGGTATCTGTTAATGATCATCAAGACTCCAGAGGTTAGCTGAGCCAGAAATTAATGTGTTCATTCATTCCTCCAAATTATTTATTTATTTATTTTATTATTTATTTATTTTTGAGTCAGGGTCTCGCTTTGTCGCCCAGGCTGGAGTGCAGTGGCACCATCTCAGCTCACTGCATCCTCCGCCTCCTGGGTTCAAGTGTTTCTCGTGCCTCCGCCTCTCAAGTAGCTGTGACTACAGGCATGCACCACCATGTCCAGCTAAGTGTTGTATTTTTAGTACAGGTGGGGTTTCACAATGTTGCCCCAGGTTTTTTTTTTTTTTTTTTTTTTTTTTTGAGACGGAGTCTTGTTCTTGCTCTCTTGCCTAGGCTGGAGTGCAGTAGTGAGATCTCAGCTAACTGCAACCTCCATCTCCCAGGTTTAAGTGATTCTCCTGTCTCAGCCGCCCAAGTAGCTGGGATTACAGTGTGCGCCACCACATCTGATTGATTTTTGTATTTTTAGTAGAGACAGGGTTTCGCCATGTTGGCCAGGCTGGTCTTGACCTCCTAACCTCAGGTGATCTGCCTGCCTTGGCCTCCTAAAGTGCTGAAATTACAGGTGTGAGCCACTGTGCCTGGCCATCCAAATAATTTATTGTCTGCCTTGTACCAGGCACTGTGCTGAGTGTTGGGAAAATGTCTCTAAATATATGCTTATGTATATGTGTGAGATTTGGATTTCAAAATGTTGGACATACTAAATATCATTTTATATGATAATGTGGACTCAAAATCAGTCATTACTATTAAGATTTTTCAAGTTTCTTTCATAACAGTGTTCTTTTTTCTTCCTCCCTTACAGTATACACTTTGGAATTTTCTCCCAAAGAATCTGTTTGAACAGTTTAGAAGAATTGCAAATTTTTATTTTCTCATAATTTTCCTTGTACAGGTAAGAGCTCCTTAAACAGCCACTTAACTTTTAGAAACTTGATTGCTTTAAACAAATTTTCAATCTATTTCTAACTTTAAAATCATGTAATTAAAGACATTCCAGAGTTTATTATAATATGACTTCTTAAAGTAGAAACATAATATTTAAAGATTATCATTTTATAAATTTCTAAAGTTGCATTTTTACTAGAAAACCTGTTGAGATTTTGTTTCATTGTTACTTTCTTTGAAATTTTATGGATATCATATCTTTGCTCATCCTAGGACGATGTGTATTGTGTACTATTAAATGAAATGGAATATATCAAAATTGAAAATAGTTCAAACTAATAGTTTTATTTTGTTACATACCAGTTTCAGCCTAATTAGAAACTTCTCACTCATCTTCCTGATTACCATTTTTGCTCTCCCTCATTCATTTACTCACTTTAAGGATGAGAGCCTAGTTAGATCAATCTGCTTCTCCGTATTCTTTCTACTGTTTTGTGTTTTAAATTTTAGACAGTTTAAATTGCATCTTCCATCTTTAAATCTGTAAGCTATTAAAATCTTTTCGTCGCCATAATTACCCCTGATAATTTTACTACATTAAAGGTACTTTTTTTCTCATTTCATTTTTTAAATGAAGCAGGAAAATCCCATTGAAATTGCTCAAATTCCCTGTTGATGCTAAGTGCTTCTGTTTACCCACTTTGAGGCTTTGAGTAAATGGTACTGTAATTGAATTTAGCCTTGCTACTTAAAATCAATCTGGGATATAATATGGGCAAGAGCCTATTTTAATCCTGAATGATGGAAGATTTGAAAAGGAGCTCCTCTGGTTCCATAGTCAGATGTCTTACAGATACAGAATAAACTACCCAGAGGATTCTGCTTGAAAGAATCATGCTACTTGGTGGGCAGCGCATTTCATTTGAGTTCAGCAAACGTATACCACTCATCCACCTACTGTGTGCTGTGCAGTAGGACATAACAAAAGTGGTAGCAGGTACAATGAAGATCAAGATATAGCTTTTATCCTCTTAAGGAATTTATGCTATAGCTGAGAAGACCAGTCACATTAACAGTCATATATTCACTTAATGTAGTAAAGCCATTCAAGAAGCATGAACAGAATGCTTTGTGTATACAGTGTAAGTTATCATTTTTTTCTACCCAAGAGGAATTTGAGAAGGCTTCAGAGAATAGATGCTATCTGAACGGAGCGTTTAAGGATTAGAAGGGGTTTACCTGGCGGAGAATGCTGAACTGGTATTTCAGGGATAGGGAAGAGATTGCCTAAAGTCACAGAGCCATGTAGAAGCGTTGCATACATGGAAGTATATGTTGTATCTACAACACAGGGTGTATGATAGAGGCAGGCCTGGTTGAGGGTTGGTGATGAGAGTCAACGAGTTGGGAGGGCAGATTGAACTCAAGATCATCCTCCTTAAATCTAGTTCTCTTTCAGTATTTCCTGTCTCAGTGAATGACAGTATCCACCTAGACATGCTAACCTGATACTTGGAAGACATCTTTAATAAGCACTTCTATCTGTTGCCATTTTTGCCTCCTAAATATTTATAGAACTTTTTTCCATGCCTGCCGCTAATACTCTAGTCCAAGCCATCATCTTTCACCTAGATTACAGCAATAGCCTCCTAAATAGACTCCCTGCCTTCACTCTTGTTCCCTATCTAATTCATCTTCCACAGAGCAGTGAGAATGATCTTTTCAAAATGCACTTCTGTTCATGTGACCTTTCCTTGCTTAAAACTTTCAAGGATTTCCTGCTGTTTGTGGGATAAAGAATGAACAGCTTACTTTGGCCTAGAGGGCCCTGCACAGTCTGGCTCCTGCCTCCCTTTCCAGCCCCATCTCGCACCACACTCCCTCTTGCCACTGGCTTCCTTTATTTCCTAGAGACCTGCATATACTGTTCACTGTGCCTAGAAAACTACCTTTCGTCTAGTTAACTCCTGTTTGCCCTTCAGACCTCAGACTCTACACACTTGTTTTACTGTCTGATTTTTTCCTATAAGCTGCCAGCTACATGAAGGCAGGGACTTGTCTCCATCTTGTTTAAAGCAGTATCTTTAGAGCTTGGCTGATAATAGCACAAGGGCTGACAGAATGGTGCTCAGCAAATAGGTGGTAAGTGAATGGATATATTTCAATAAAGGGGTTAATCCAAGCTGGGATAAAAACTATGCTTGAATTTAGGACTATTTCTTTAACTAACTGCCATGTAGTTTGCTTTTGTTTTAATGAAAATTAATATTTACCCTACTACTGGAATGTGTTTTATCTATGTTTCTGTTTGAAATGTTTGCAGCATGTAAGTGCTGCATATGAGTTAATGACAAATTTTCATTTTACTTTCAATTTAATTTGTTTACCTAGGTCACAGTAGACACACCAACTAGCCCAGTTACCAGTGGACTTCCACTTTTCTTTGTTATAACAGTTACAGCCATCAAGCAGGTAAATTTCTTATTTACACTTCCACCTGCATTTCAGTCCAGGCTTGTTGGAATTGCATTATCAAAGGCTCTTTTTCATATTTATATACAGTGGGTAGTATCCTTTATGGATCTATTTTATATTTGGTTCCTCTTGAAAACCTATTAAAATGATAGTAAGGCACATCCTTCATGTATTTCCTTGTTTTCTCTTCAGTATCTGTGTGTGTGGGTGTAAACGTTAAAGAAAGAGCAGGTAAAAGGTACAGCCCAGTCAGGAAATAGGAGGTAGATTTTTGATGTACATTAATTGTTTCAGTGTGGTATGTCTGTGTGGAAAAACTCCCATTTTTATGGATTTTTTAAATTGTTTATGACTGTAGCGAGAACTTAAGGGAAGAATACTTTAATTTTCTTGTTTTTTCCTTATACTGCTTCAGGGGGTAGTAGGTAGAGGGGACATTTCCTGTTTTTTTGTCAGAGCTGATAGACTGCCACAGATTGTGATATGGATATCTTTGAAGTATTTTGAACATTTTGTATGCTAGTATGTTTGAAAAATTCCAGATGAAAATGGAAACAGGAAATTGGAGGTGAAAGGGTAGGTTAACAATGTTAAGCATGTTTTGTGTCAGTCCACAGCATCTGACTATTTACAAATATACTTTTAGATGATACTTAACAAAGTACTTTTTAAAAGGATACCAAAGAAGCTTGCAAAGCAAAGGTCTTCTTAGCAGTATTGGGAACAAGATTACCTTTCCTCATGGGGTTATCTGGTCTTACATCTTGCCTACCCGGAACTACAAGAATATTTTATCAAGTGTTCAGTTGCAAAATAAAGACTTTTGGAATGTTCTTTTCCTTAGACTGGTAGGATTATTTTCTTTAACATCATAAAATTGCTGGTTCCAAGAATAGCATGTATGGTTTTCAAAGGCTTTTTTACTGATTCATTCTACTCCCAATACTGGTTCATGTTAGGGCCTTTATTTCTTCACCAGTATCACAAAATGTACTCTATAAAGTGATAGCCTAGCATTGTCATAAAGAGGACAGAAGAAGAATGGATATAGCACCTGAGGGGAAAAAAGTGGGGGGAGGCGATGAAGAGATTTTTCCAACAGTTGTATTTGAAAAGGTACAGACATTATTACAACGAAAAAAGGCAAAGGTATATAAAAAAGGAGAGGAGGTCATGCTCAAACATTCATGAGCATCCTCCTTCTTTAATCTTTTGGCTTAAATCTACTTTAGGTGAGAAGTCCAAAGTAAAATGAGCCATTTAATCTTTCTCTGATTACTTTTAACTGTAAAAGATGAATACCAATTTATATTTTCTTTTATCACCAAGTCAGTTGAAAAGTTTAGCTGTTGATCTCTAAAACTTATCATAGCTTCTCTGTTAAAACAATCCCAGCTTGCCTTTTATATTCTCTGTGGGTGAGAAATAATTAAAATATTCCCTCGGAGATGATTACTCGAACAGTTTACTACAGCATATACAAAAGATTATATGTAAGTGATTATGGCTATAAGAAAATACAAACTCAGGACAATCTTTTTTTCAAATTAAAAAGTAGGGAGAATTAACATTAACTCAAATAAGAGTACAATTAAAATAAATCATAGCCTTTCACACATGAAAAACAGTAAGTCTCCAGTGCTTGTGTTTTAATCATTAATGTTTAAAGAATGGAGAATACTTTTAACACAATAAAGCTATTTATCTAAGGAGTATTTTGAAAACGTATCTCAGATTTGCTATTAAAATGCGTAGCATTGTCTCTAGCATTCTGAGTTTAAATTAATGCTATAATTATAAATATTTGGTGTTGACTCATGGGAGGATATATAAATTTATTAACAGCGTTATTTCATCTGAACTCGATTATATAGTTATTTTTATGTTTCAGGGATATGAAGATTGGCTGAGACATAGAGCTGACAATGAAGTCAACAAAAGCACTGTTTACATTATTGAAAATGCAAAGCGAGTGAGAAAAGAAAGTGAAAAAATCAAGGTAGTTTTTCTTATTCCACTCCTTTTTTAATGGTAAAAATACACCTTTTAAAAGTGTATAATTTAGTGTCATTTAGTACTTCATAATGTTGTGCAACTGTTAACTCTATCTAGTTCCAGAACATTTTCATCCCCTAAAAAGGAAACCCTATACCCATAAGCGGACACTCCACATTTCTCCCTCCTCCCAGGCCCTGGCAATACTAACCTTCTTTCTGTCCCTATGGATGTATGTATTTTGAATGTTTCATATAAATGCGATTATCTACTATGTGTCCTTTTTGTCTAGCTTCTTTCACTCAGAATGTTTTTGGGGTTCATCTGCATTATAGTATATAGCAGCATTTCATTCCTTTTGATGACTGAATAACATTTCATTTTGTTGATTCATCAGCTGATGAACATTTGGATTGTTTCTACCTTTTGGGTATTATGAATTGCTATGAACATTGAATTACAGTTTTTGTTTGAACACCTGTTTTTAATTCTTTGAGGTATATACTTAGGAGGAAAATTGCTGGGTCATGTTGTAATTACATGTTTAACTTTTTAATGAACCACTAAACTATTTTCCACAGTGCCTGTAACATTTGTAACATTTTGTATTCCCATCAGCAACATATGAGACTTCCAAGGTAGTAGTATTTTTTTTTGACAGTCTCAGGCAATTATTTATTCCAGTTAATCATTATTTATTATTTACCCAGTAAGACCCCTGTCAAATAACATTTTCGACTTGTCAAACACTAATTTTTTGGTTCTCATTAGATTTTTTAAATGAAAAAATTATATTTTTAGAGCAGTTTTAGGTTCACAGGAAAATTGAGTAGAAAATACAGAGAGTACCCATAAACCCACTGTCCCCAAACACATTTTCTCTGGCTGTCAACATCCCACACCAGAATTGTTACAATCAGTGGACCTATTTTAGCACACTATCACCCAGAGTCCATAGATTATATTAGGAGTCACTCTTGGTGTTGTACATTCTGTGGGTTTTGTCAGATATAGGATACATATCCACATATCCTGCATTTGTATACATGTACATATGTATCCATAGTAGTATCATACCAGGATAGTTTCACTGCCCTAAAAATCCTCTGTTCTCTTCCTGTTCATTCCTTATTCCCCCCAACCCATGGTAACCAGTAATCTTTTTGCTGTCTCTATAGTTTTGCCTTTCCTTGGATGTCACATATTTAGAATCATACAGCCTTTTCAGATTGGCTTCTTTCACTTCGTAATATGCTTTCAGGTTTCTTCCATGTCTTTTTCCATGGCTTGATAGCTCATTTGTTTCTAGTGATGAATAATATTTCATTTTCTGGATATACCATAGTTTATCCATTCACCTACTGAAGGGCATTTTAGTTGCCTCCAAGTTTTGGCAATTATGAGTAAAACTGCTATAAACATTTGTGTGCAGGTTTTTATATGGACATACATTTTCAATTCATTTGAATAAATACAAAGAAGTGCTGAATTGTATGGTAAGAGTATGTTTCATTTTGTAAGAAACTGCCAAACTATCATTCAAAGTAGCTGTATCATTTTGCATTCCCACCAACAATGAATGGGAGTTCTTGTTGTTCCACATCCTGACTGGGTTTTGATGTTGTCAGTGCTTTGTATGTTGGCCATTTTAACAGGCGTGTAGTACTATCTCACTTTTGTCTTAATTAGCATTTCACTGATAACATGTGATTCAGACTTTCTTTTCATATGGTTCTTTGCAATCTGTATATCTTCATTGGTGAGATGCTGCTTAGTTTTTGCCCATTTTTTAAGCAGGTTGTTTTCTTATTGAATTTTAAGAGTTCTCCATATGCCCAACAATAGTTGTTTCCTCACATCTTCTTACAGTAATGATGGGAGGAATACTACAGAGTGGGAGGGTCACCAGTGTTTCACATAGAATGTCTTCCTTTTTCTACTTTTTCTTTTCTCTATTCTCTACATCCTGGTCAAGGGGGAACTTGTGCTGAACTAGGTTAGGTTAAGATCTGAAGTTTTCGAAACAGTTGTAGAAACTCAGCATTATTGATCAGCATAAGAACCAAAGGCAGACTGAGTACAGTGGCTCATGCCTGTAATCCCAGCACTTTGGGAGGCCAAGTTGGGTTGATTGCTTGAGTCTAGGAGTTGTAATCCATCCTGGGCAACATGGCGAAACCCTGTCCCTGCAAAATAATTAGCCAAGCAGTCCCAGCCACTTGGGAGGCTGAGGTGAGAGGATCACCTGAGCCCAAAAAGTTGAGGCTGCCGTGAGCCAAGATCGAGCCACTGCACTCCAGTCTGGGTGACAGAGTGAGACCCTGTCTCAAAAAACAAAAACAAAAACAAAAACAAAAACAAAAGGCTGCCTAAATGATTCATAGCATCCAGTCTGTTGTTCCCAGTACACTACGTAAAATTGCAAAGCAGGCAAAGTCCTCCTATATCTCTCCCGTTCTCTCATTTCCTCTTTCTGATTTTGTTGACATTCTACCCCACCCCCCTTTACAAAGGCCCCCATTTTTCACTTTCCCTCCACCAGGCTTCTTTGCCTTGAGGCTGAACTCAACCAGGTATAATCTTGATTAAATAAATGTGAAACTGTTGTGATTAAATTGTTGTGTGAGATGCTATTTGATGTAGCTGTTTCTGGAGTGTAAGTGTGTGGGAAGAGATGCTTATTAGCCAGCAGTCTCTAAATAGCAGATTGCTTGGCTGGGGAGTAGGGGGAAAGAGTTTGTTGAGACTCCTTTTGAGCAAGAGAGAGACTTGGTCTGCATCCTCAGTGTGGTGGGGAGTCTTTGAAGTGTTAAAGCCGGAGAGTGACTTGATGATTTTTTAAAATAAAACTGGAGAGGGGCAAAATGAAAGCATGGGCAAATGTGCAATCAGAGAGATATAGCTTAGGCAAAAAATGATAAGGGCTTATATTAGGATGATAGTAGTATTGATAACAATAATAAAAATAGTAGTCACCATTTATATAGTATGTAGTATATACCAGGCAACCTTTTTTACATTCTATTACCTCATTTAACCCTCAACAACAGCCATATGAAGTAGGTATTTTTATTATCCTCTCTTTACAATTGATGAAACCGAGGCATAAGGAGGTTAAGGAACTTGCCCACTACTAGTAAGTTGGAAAGCTGAGATTTGAAAAAAGCAAGCCTAGGTGTAGAGTCCATACTCTTAACCATAACTCTCTACTACCTGTTTAGATTTTAAGGGAAATGGATATATTCAGGATATTTTTTGGAGGTAGAATCATCAGAATTAGTGATTTATTGGATGTAGTGGGTGAGAGAAACAGAAAAACAAAAAAAAAGAATAATTGAGATAGCCTTCCTGGTTTTGGCCTGAGCGACTGAGTGAATTAGATAGTGCTGTTAAAGAAAATGCTGGTGCTTTTAAATAAGATGGGAAAGCCTAGGAGAAAAACAGATTTAGGGACAGAGGTGGGAGTGAAGAGAAATCAGGAATTCACTTTTGGCTATGTTAAGTTTGGGAAACCTATTAGACGTACAGTTGGAGTTGTCAATCCTGGAGCTCAGAGGAGATGCTTTAAATAGAAGTAGAAATTTGGGTGTCATCAGTCTGTACATACCATATGATGCCATGAGACTGGATGGAATGTCATACGGCATAGAGAATGAGACTTAGTAACAGGACTTGAGGAATTCCAGTGTAAAGACACTATTGTTTTTAATGGAAGGAGTATTTTTTGGCGTAAATACCGGAAACTAGACGTAGTAAGACACCTCTCAATCATATGTTATGCTTTAGTGCCAAATAGAAATGAAAGTTATGCTCTAGTACTTCAACCAATGAATCAACCAAGATGTATTGAAATATTGTGCTGAGTTCTAGAAGGGTTACAAAGAATGAAAAGAGATGGTTCATGCTCTCAAGAAGTTTTATAGTTTAACTTAGTAGTCATGCCACATAATGCTAAAAGAATAAAAATACAAGACGGTAACTGGTCAGAACCCAGTGAGTGCTTCTGAAAATAAATACTCTGAATTTAGAAAATGGGAATGAAAACAGTTTTCTCACATGAGATGGGCATGAAATAGATTGTAAAATTTAGAGAGGCAGAGTGTGAAAACGTACGGCTTGTGGCAGAGAGTGAGGAACAATGCTAAGAGGTAAAGAAGAAGCTCCTTGGGTAAAAATGAGGTGTTAGGTTAGATTTAGTTAAAGGAGTTTATTTGAACATCTTTTCTAATATAAATGTTTAATGCTGTAAATTTTCCTCCAAGTGTTGCTTTAGCAACAGCCTACAAATTTGGATATATTATGTTTACATTTTCAGTTAGTTTAATATTTTCTAATTTCTCTCTAATTCTTCCTCGGTTCATGGGTTATTTAGAAGTTTGTTATGTAATTTCTAAATATTTGGAAATTTTCTAGTTATTATTATTATTTTTTGAGATGGAGTTTCGCTCTTGTCACCCAGGCTGGAGTGCAGTGCCACAGTTTTGGCTCACTGCAACCTCCGCCTACCGGATTCAAGCGATTCTCCTGCCTCAGCCTCCCAAGTAGCTGGGATTACAGGCATGCGCCCCCATGCCTGACTAATTTTGTATTTTTGTTAGAGATGAGGTTTTACCACGTTGGTCAGGCTGGTGTCGAACTCCCCAGGTGATCCACCCACCCCGGCCTCCCAAAGTGCCGGGATTATAGGCGTGAGCCACTGTGCCTGGCCTAGATACCTTTTTGTTATGGTTTCTAATTTAATTCCATTGTGTTCAGAGAGCATATTTTCATTTCCTCATTCATACCCTTTGTGTTATTGTTGTCATACGTTTTACTTTTACATATTATAAAGCCCACAATATGTTACTATTTTTGCCTGTGAGTTGTCTTTTTTGGTAATAGAATGTATAAAATAAACTTTACCATTTAACTTTTTTTTTTTTTTTGAGACAGAGTTTTGCTCTTGTTGCCCAGGCTGGAGTACAATGGTGCGATCTTGGCTCACCGCAGCCTTCGCCTACTGGGTTCAAGTGATTCTCCTGCCTCAGCCTCCCAAGTAGCTGGGATTACAGGCATGTGCCACCATGCCCGGCTGATTTTTTTGTGTTTTTAGTAGAGACGGGGTTTCTCCATGTTGGTCAGGCTGGTCTTGAACTCCTGGCCTCAAATGATGAACGCCCCACCCCCGTTCCCTTGCTTTTTCTCCAGTGGTAGACTGCTGTTTCTTGTTTGTTACTCAGTTACTCAGTGTAAGGCTCTTGGCGGGAACAGAATGGTGTCTTGGTTTTCTCGTTCCAATCTCAATATTAAGCAGGCCATATGCACCAAAGCCTTAGGGTAAGACTTTCTCAATATTCCTGCCCCCGCCCCCATAGTAACTGAACTTCTACCTTGTATCAGTGCCAGGTTCTTGGTATGAATAGGTTTCCTGTCCCATTCCCTGTAGCAGGTCCCATCCCCTGTAGCAGGTCACTTTTGTTTCTACCTCTCCTCTAACAGTAGTGATGTTTCCCCGAGACTATGCCAGGGAAGGTTTTCTGCCTTTCTCCTAGATGCAGATGGGGTTTGCTTAATATGAGAAAGGGGTCCGTGATTCTGGCATGTTATTTTTTTTTTTTTTTTAATTTATTTATTATTATTAAACTTCAAGTTGTAGGGTACATGTGCACAACGTGCAGGTTTGCTACATATGTATACTTGTGCCATGTTGGTGTGCTGCACCCATCAACTCGTCATTTACATAAGGTATAACTCCCAATGCAATCCCTCCCCCCTCCCCCCTCCCCATGATAGGCCCCAGTGTGTGATGTTCCCCTTCCCGAGTCCAAGTGATCTCATTGTTCAGTTCCCGCCTATGAGTGAGAACATGCGGTGTTTGGTTTTCTGTTCTTGTGATAGTTTGCTGAGAATGATGGTTTCCAGCTGCATCCATGTCCCTACAAAGGACACAAACTCATCCTTTTTTATGGCTGCATAGTATTCCATGGTGTATATGTGCCACATTTTCTTAATCCAATCTGTCACTGATGGACATTTGGGTTGATTCCAAGTCTTTGCTATTGTGAATAGTGCTGCAATAAACATACGTGTGCATGTGTCTTTATAGCAGCATAATTTATAATCCTTTGGGTATATACCTAGTAATGGGATGGCTGGGTCATATGGTACATCTAGTTCTAGATCCTTGAGGAATCGCCATACTGTTTTCCATAATGGTTGCTACAGCTGAGGATCCTGGCATGTTATTTTTGTGCCTGTTTCTTCACAGCAGTCAGTCATCACCTGTACGCCTGTACCAGTGAGAAAGGTTCTTTTAGGTCTCCTGCCCGTATGCTTTCTCATGAACACTGAGTAGAAGCCTCTAGAGAAGAGCTGGTGAATGGTTGTGGTCTCTTCTTGTCTCCCAGGCTTGTAGAGATTCTGAACTGTCATACTAGCTCACACCCAGTCTTTAAGAATTGGTTAAAAATCTAGTTGTTTTCTTCTTACCCACTTTCATGGTAGCTGTCTCTCATCTCTTCCTTCTATGCTTGGTCAGTTATGAAAGAGTTCATCTGTCCTGTCTCTCCTCAGAAACACTTGTTACCCTTTGAAATTCAGTTCACTTGGTTGCTTTGCAACCTCAACTCTCTGATGGACTAAAAAATACATATTATTTTTTAGATTATCCATTTTTTCCCTAATGTTCGTAATGGGAAGTGGTGATGTTCTATTGTGGCTTTTAAAATGGTAAATAGACCTCTAGAGTTCATTGTCTAACTAGATCATGTTATTCCTTGTCTTTAAAAGTCCTGTACCTATCCTTTTACTTTTAGGGTGAGGCCTAAATCACTTAGGCTGGCCTGCCAAGCCCTTTGTGTTCTGACTCTTACCCATCTTGTCAGTCTGAGCTTGCACTGCAGATGTAGGGGCCTTTATATTTCATATCCGACTACATCCTAACCGTTGAAAAAAATGCTCTCTTTGTGTGTTTTATTTATCAATGCCTGAGAGTCATCTTGCAACCTGTAATGGGTATTTCCTTCTTGTAAGATGTGTTAGGATTCTGTTTGTTATCTCCCTTCTGCATATGTAAGCATAAATTGTGGTTTTATGTAAGCAACATAAGTGTTTATGTAAGTGAGGAAGGAACAATCCAACAAAACAAAATATTGTTTACAAATTAGTTCAATTATTGATGCTGTTGATCTTGGCTAGTGATTAAGATTGGCAAAGAAAATAAAATTGTTCCTGAATAGGTCTTGAAATCCTCATCTTTATCTGCCAAACCATATTGCAAATAGGGTCAGGTGTTGCATATATTACCTAGCATTTCACAGTCAGTGTGTTTAGGTCACTGTGCTAAATATTGACTCCCTTCTAAAGTGGGTTATCTTCTGCATCCAGCAGCCTCTTCCCTTTACCTGAAGGTGCTGTACAAAAATATTATTTATAATTTTCAACATGTACCATGATGTGAAAATCTTGGGAAGCACCAGACTGGAGGATTTCTTAACATCTTTCCAAAAAAATGTTATGACTATTCGTAAGTTGGGAGTAAAGTAGTTGCAGGATGTTGGTAATAATTATAATTAACACCTTTGAAGTGGTTAATACGTGCCAGGCACTTTGCTCAGTACTTTTCTTGTATCATCATTTCAGGCTCACATTAATTCTCTGAGGTAGTTGCAATCATCTAAGACACTTATTTAAGGTCGTCATACGGTTAAGTGGCGGAGCTGGTACAAGAAGTCAGGTTAGAGTCCAAACTTTTAACGGTTATGATTTACTTAACCCTACATTATTAAATTATTCCTGACTTATTCTCTCAGGTTTTTCCTCTCCTTGAGCTTTGGGTGCTTGCCGATAAGAAATTGTTTCTTATTGCTGTATTAAGTGATTCTCCTGACAGCAGGTGAATTCATAGAAAGTGACCTGTAGAAAAAAAAATTCAAATATTATGGGAAAAATCAATGCCTCTCTAATTAACTGGGATTTTCTGAGCACTGAAGAAGGACCTGGCACCCAACAACACAGTTGTTATCACATGGCGGGCAAAGTATGTTGAAATATGCGTGGTACAGAGTGGGAGTGTGGCTGCTCAGTGTTCATGAAGTGCCCAATTTGTGACATGTAGATTTTCTTGATTCATTCATGAAGTGATAATGTCATTGTTTTATCAAACATCTGTGCAAGAAATATCAGAGAGCAAAAGGTGTCAGAATCATTTATTAAAGGTAAAGGTCAGTGCTAAGGTAATCTGAAAGCATCCTAACTCCTTCTGACTTTAAAGAGGATTCTGAATATTGAGTAATATTCTTTCATCACCTTTCACATGCTGTAGGATGCTGAGATACTCTCAAAGCCCCAGAGCTAGAGATAATCTCTTGCTAATGTTTTGACTTTTGTATGAGTATAATGAATGCTTTGTTTGGAATTTAAAATATTTATATTTATTTATCAATTCTAGGTTGGTGATGTAGTAGAAGTACAGGCAGATGAAACCTTTCCCTGTGATCTTATTCTTCTATCATCTTGCACCACTGATGGAACCTGTTATGTCACTACAGCCAGTCTTGATGGGGAATCCAATTGCAAGGTAACAGACTAAACCTTACCTAAACATTTTGATCTCAGGATAGTTAATCATACAATACTGTCTCCCACCACCCTCTAATCTTTTATTTTTTCTTATTTTTATTTTTTCTTAGGTTTTGTATTTGAAAACAGCTGTTATATAATTGTTTTTTAACTTCTAAGCAAACACTCATCTTTGGATAAAAGGGTGGTTGGTAATTAGGTGTGGAGAAACTGAGCCCCAAGTAAAAGCTACCACAATTTTTATAGCACTGCTTGAATTTAATATTGACACAGCCTATTTAATATTTAGACTCTTTAAAATGGGAGTAATCATAGGCTTAAACTGTGTAACTATACAAATAGCTTCATGTATGCTAACCTTACAATTTGATCTATTTTTTTTTCTAAAATGTTGTATAGTTTCATTAAAAATGTATATTCTTGGGATATAAGAAACCTAACCTGGAGTAATTTGATTGCTATTTAAAAATAACTTAGGGCTGGGTGCGGTGGCTCACGCTTGTAATCCTAGCACTTTGGGAGGCTGAGGCAGTCGGATTATTTGAGTTCAGGAGTTCGAAACCAACCTGGCCAACATGGTGAAACCCTGTCTCTACTAAAAATACAAAAAAATTAGCCAGGCGTGGTGGTGGGCGCCTGTAATCCCAGCTACTCAGGAGGCTGAGGCACGAGAATTGCTTGAGCCCGGGAGGCGGGAGTTGCAGTGAGCCAAGATCACGCCACTGCACTCCAGCCTAGGTGACAGAGCGAGACTCCATCTCAAAAAAACAAACAAACAAACAAAAAAAACGGGTGTAGTTTGGAAAATGTTTGCTTTATAAGTAAGTTATAAAGCAGCGTTTTATGTACGTATAACAAATTATAACTCACTTATAATTATAAGTGACTTAAAGTAAATTTGGTCAAATGGGGGTAACTTATTTCCCTCATATACTTTCTGGCACAGTCGGTTTTCTTGGCCATGGTCCAGAGCTCCACAGGGCATGAAGATGTATCCTCTCTATGCTGCCTTTAAGGAGGGTTACTGTAGTGGTTCACCTCTGGCCATATCCTTGGAGGGCTCCTCTGTTTGTTTATTCCACCAGGAGTTGAAGACTAGGACTCAGTATGTAAAAAAGAACCTTTACCTATTGGATGACTAATTCTGTATTTCAAAAGCATGGTAATGACCTGCTTTTAACCTGTTCAAAAACAAAGTTACAATTTAGGGATATAAATCAAGAAATCTACATACAAATTTACTGGTAGTGAAAAAGTTATTTCGAGTAAGAAAACTTTCAGGTAGTTTCTTTTTTCAGTTAAGTTGTTCTGATCATATCAGCTAAAAAGTACAGAGGTTTTCAAAATCAGGAGTTAGTTTTAAATGTAGTTCAGACATTGCCGTAATATTCCCCCAAGACGATGACAACAACTTTCTCTTCTGCCTAAGTGGTGAGCTCTTTGCATCTGCTTTAGCCCTTGTTTGATGATTTATAAATGGGTTTATTGGCACCTGCCTTGAGTTCTGGATGAATCAAGTGCATAATATACACTGGTAGAATATTCTAATTATCTGACTATTGCAAGACACATCATCTCCCTGCCCCTCGTACAAAATGTATCCATATTGAACGTTTTCAAGATCATTAAGCTATTTGTGTAATGGAACTATTAATGATTTTTTCTTGCTGTTGGCAAAATTTTGGCATTTTTGTGACCAAAAAGGTTATGTTCAATTCATATGTGTATATCTCCATTGCCCATACACTATAGTGAGCAAAATAATAAGTCTCAGTTCGTAAATAGGAAAAAAAAATGTATTAACTTTTTCACGTGGTTTCAGTTAATTATATGCATGTTGTGAATAGAATCTTCTCAGCTGTCAGTGTTAAGAAGAGCTTTTAGGTATTTAATTGTCTTTGAAACCCCCCTTGCAGCAGGTTATCTTTCTAATTATTTGTAATATATTTTCATAATAATACCATAAAACTTATTTAGTGGGAAATGTTAATATTTGTTTATTCTGCCAAAGCCTCTTACTAAAACATACTAAATTTGTTCCTGAAGTCAGTTGGGTGTATGATTATGAAAAGAAACAGTTTTTTTGGTTTTCACTTTTTCTTCTGCTTTCAACTAGATACATTATGCAGTACGTGATACCATTGCACTGTGTACAGCAGAATCCATTGATACCCTCCGAGCAGCAATTGAATGTGAACAGCCTCAACCTGACCTCTATAAGTAAGAATCACCTGGTTTCATTTTACGTCTGTTTCTTGGCTCTGCTTCTCTTTGCTAATAGTATTGCAAAAGAAACACCCACCACTTACCAGCCTACTCTCATTTGTGTTTTTATGGGCTATTCCTTCCTTCTGGCAGAAAAATGAATCAAATCAGCCTTGTTCACTATCAGCCCAGGATAAATCATTGTGGGCCCAGGTATCTTATGATTTTTCTTTTATTTTTATTACTTGTAAACATGGCCATATATCAAAATTTTAGATTATGTTACCCTGTAAAGCTGATCTATCAGACTGACATAGTAACCAGAGTTAATTAAATAAAAAACAAATCCTTTTACGTGCCATCTAACATTAAAGAGAGAAGGAGGATATCCTCTTCATGCAATTAGTAGGCTCTATCCTTTCTTACAATGATCATGATGCACTAAGGATTGCAAATAGGCTATTTCTTGTCCACAGTAAACAGTTAAGGGATGAGTAAAATGATGTAATTTCCTCTATTTTACTATACTTAGGCTCTCTGGAGTAGATTTGCTGATTATTAGTCATTGTGAGTTGTCAAAAATTTGGCATTTGATTTCAAGACTGGTTAGTTTGGTTGATTAGAGCATAGTACTAATGAGGGTAGCATAACAGGTTTTATCCCCACGTCGGCTAATTAATTTTATCCTATTCTACCATTGCAGATGGCATCCATTACCCATCTTGTTCATGCACGCTGTTAGTCATAATGAGCGACCAAGTGGTTGGATGTAGTTTATACTAACACCTACTAGTGGAAAAACAAAGTATTCATTCTACTTCAAGAACAATGACCTCCCTCCTTCTCATCAATTTTTTCTTTCCTTTTTCCCTTCCTCTTCCGTATCCACCTTGATGATAGGAACTAGGGCCAGAAAGTGTAACAGCTATTCTCTGCCTTCAAGGGACTCACTGTGAGCAAAAGAGATAAAGTAATAAAGCTAAACTTATACAAGGTGATAATAGAGGTGAGTGTAAGGTCTATGGAATCGCAGAAAATGGAGTAACTTATTCTGCCTGAGCTAGAGAACAATATCTATACCCTTGTATATTTATAGGACAGCCCCCATATTTTTTCAGTTGCTTTAAGTATGAAGGAGAATGATAGGACAGGGAAGGTTATTCCTAATTTCTTTAGACGACTGAATGCCTTGCTCTGTGCCTTCAGAATACCTTGTACTTCTCTTACTGTAGTGGTAAGCACTTGCATTGTAATTGCCTATTTACTTGTCTTTTTAGGGCAAGGAGCATTTCTTTTTTGATTATTAGTATATCTTCAGCACTTAGTATAGCACTGGCACAATTAATATATGATGAATGAATGAGCAAACCTTCATATTTTGTGTATATGAGTAATTTCTATTTTCTGGGGAAAATGCTGTTTACAATGCAGCTTATAAAACACTCATGTTAACAAGGGATTAGGTATTTTTACCTTATTTTGCAGAAATACAGGTTACCATACACCTATTATATTAAGTGATTAGGTCAAACTCAATATTGAGATCAACTACAAGTCACAGGCTGGACATTTCCAAGATGGCACTCAAGTGTTCACTGTCTAAGACTTAGTACTATGGTTTAAAGAGTGGTTTCAGGACCAGCAGCAGCAGCATTACTGGGGAACCTGAATCAGAAGCTCAGGGATGGGACCTAGAAATCTGTAGTTTAATAACCGCTCCAGTGATTCTGATGCACACTCAAGTGGAAGAACTACTGAACTAGCAGTTTTGAAAATTGTATTTTAGAACCAGAAACCTTTCTTCACACGATCCAAGATGGAAGTTACGTTATTTATATACCTTATAAAAGAGAGAGGTGTTGTGTGCTTGCATGATGTTAAACAGAACTTGAAAATCAATTGACAACGTTTGTTTCTGCTCCTATAATCCCATCATGTTATTTAAAAATTATATGAAAATGTTATACACCTTATCAATTCAACATAACTTTTTTTTCCCAGAAATATAATGGGCTTTTGTAGTTCATTCACAGTTTTATCTATCTCTGTTTTATTATTTGTATTTTCATTCATTCTCATATTTCTGGTACATGGATTTCACCTGGATGTGGAAAACACATTTGCAATTTTGTTCTTTTTACAGATTTGTTGGGCGAATCAATATCTATAGTAATAGTCTTGAGGCTGTTGCCAGGTAAGTTTGTTGTTTCTTTAATTTGTCCTTTGGTTGCATTGGGGGGGGGTGTCTATTTTTCTTTTAAATCGACTAAAATAACCAAATACCTTTCTATTATAGAAAGGAATATAGGCCGGGTGCGGTGGCTCACGCCTGTAATCCCAGCACTTTGGGAGGTTGAGGTGGGTGGATCACCTGAGGTCAGGAGTTTGAGGCCAGCCTGGCTAATGTGGTAAAACCCCATCTCTATTAAAAATACAAAATTTAGCTGGGCGTGGTGGCACACACCTGTAATCCTAGCTACTCAGGAGGCTGAGGCAGGTGAATCTCTTGAACCTGGGAGGCGGAGGTCGCAGTGAGCCAAGATTGAGCCATTGCGCTCTACCCTGGGCAACAAGAGCAAGACTCCATCTCAAAAAAAACCACAAAAACAAAAACAAAACAGGAATATAAAGGTGAATAAGCAACTAACCTTGTGATTGGTAGGGTTATGGTAATAGGGTCTCTGTGTTGTGGGGAGGGGGCTGTTAGAAGTAATGCTTAGGGTTTCAAAAATAGTAGAGCTCCAGACACTTTGGATGATATTCCCAAACCTGTTCTAGCCATGGTATTTATTATCCTCGGTTGTAGAGTGGCTGACAACATTGAAATTACACCTGGAGAACAGTGGGAGAGTAATTGAGAAAGTAAGCAGTGGGTAAAATGCTGGAAGAACTACCTGGACTTACGTAAAATGAAAGTCTTCATTAAAATGATAATTAAAACTTCAGTAAAATGATAAATTGTATCAGCCTTCATACAATTTATCAAGGAGTTCATACAAAAAGGGATGCTTTCTTTCCTCTTCTATCATCGTATTAATTACCGCAACTTTTCCACTTGGCCTTTACAACCACACTCAAAAAGAAGTTAAAGAAATACAGGGTCCCCAGTGATCCCCCAAAAGGAGGGTTTATTCTCTCCAAATATGTCAGTGTATTTTTCCCACCTTGACATTTGCATTCCCAGTCTTTTATCTGTGACTCTCTGCTTTTGTGTCTTGCGATCTGCTGCTCTGTCCTGTTCTCGTCTTGCTATCTATGATTCATAATCCTTTTATCCCCCCATGTATTTTTTTGCCTCTGTGTGTTGCTGGCTACTCCCGTACTGTGCTTCCATCTGTGCTGTACCCTCAAGTAACTTCAGAATGAAGGACCTTTCAGCTTGTCCTGGGGAGTAAGCATATGGTATAAGTAGACAGATACATTCTGAAGCCCTTGGAAATAGGTGTGTGTCAGGGCAAAATCTGTCCCCAGAGTTGTTGATGCTATTGGCTTGTTTGGATAAGCTGTGTTCATTTTTTATTTAGGTCTTTGGGACCTGAAAATCTCTTGCTGAAAGGAGCTACACTAAAAAATACTGAGAAGATATATGGTGAACAATTTTTAAGATATACTTATCAAAAAATATGCTTTGTAAAGGCTGTGAATAAATAGTGCATATTAAAAAGTAAACATGGCAGGTTTGCCATTTAATCTAAACCTATATTTAGATATTGGGAATTTATAAGGTGGTAAACTAAGAAGAAATATGACAAATACTCTATATAATTAAAATTATACTATAAATGATATACAACTGGTGAGTGGAAGAGGGCCTAGATTTCCTGCTTTTATAAGCTTAAAAATTCATAGAGCCAGCTGTGTGAGGAGTTGGTTGATAAGTTCTTAGTTTTCATTATATTCTGTAATGTCTTAGGAGTTGCTGTTTACACTGGAATGGAAACCAAAATGGCTTTGAACTACCAAGGGAAATCTCAGAAACGTTCTGCTGTTGAAAAGTTAGTATGAGTATGCGCCACAATTTATTTAGTCATTATTGATTTAAAATAGTTACTTTTCTCGGTAATTCTAAGTAACAAGCATAACAAAAAACAACATCAATTATAATAGCAACTACTATTATAAGCACTTGTTTATGTACCAGAAACTGTGCTCAATGATTTGTATGTCTGATTTGGTTTAGTCCTCTGAAGAACACTGTGAAATAATTCATGTTAACCTCTCCACTTTACAGATGAGGAAATGGTCTTGGAGATGGTATGTGACTTACCTAAGCTCACATAGCTATTAAAGGGCAGAATGTACCTGAACTATAAATTCATTCCTTTTTGCTAGTGGAGTCAATAGTTTGGAGTCCTTTAGTTGCTATATGCAAGTTGGTTCTATAATATAGATAATAGTCTCCTAGCACCTATTGAAGCATTACCTGGTAGATCCTCAAGCCAGGTGCCACAGCCATAGACCTCACCCTATATTTGGCATGGATAACCAGTACATCACTGGCACCCTTTCCATAGCTCCACTTTCAAACTGAAAGAACCTACACCGAGCTTGAGGATTTCACATTGCTACCATGCCCTCTACCCCAAACATTTAGGATTCAGGGAAATGGAGACAAGATACCCCTTCTATAAGGGTTGAGTAAGTAATGGTGTTTGTATGTGTGCATGTGTGTACGTCCCCTTTCACTTTACAGGAACCTTACTAAGGTGTGTTCCACTAGTCAGCCATTGCACTTGGGAGAGCATTGGTGGTCAATAAACAGTTCATGGCCAGCTTTTCATTTTGCCACTTGAAAGTAATTCTCCAGCTATGATAACTGAGGTTCACACACAAAGGCTTGTGCTATAGTTATGCGTTGTACACAGAAAAAGCTTTAGATGACTCAGTAGTTTAATTCATATATGGCTGATGTCTTAAGTATTAATAATTAGGTGGTTTTAAAATCCATGCTGTCTTATTTTTCAGATCTATTAATGCTTTCCTGATTGTATATTTATTTATCTTACTGACCAAAGCTGCAGTATGCACTACTCTAAAGTACGTTTGGCAGAGTACCCCATACAATGATGAACCTTGGTATAACCAAAAGACTCAGAAAGAGCGAGAGACTTTGAAGGTAATTTGTTTTCTGCTGAAAATTGAAACTCTAGAACTTTGTGACTGAGCCAACTTTCACTGAAATGCTGCTCAGGGAAATTGCACCTTTTGTAAGCTTCTGAATTTTCTCTTGATTACATGGTGGCTCTAAGCCAATAAATATTTAAGAAGATTTAGAGTTTTTTTTTTCTTTTACTTTAGGCGTCTGTGCTTGTTTTTAGCTCTTTATATAAGAATTTAAGATGAAACAATTTGGCAAGATGCTTTGGCATTTTAATATGATAGGAGTATGTGAGATGTCACGATAAAAGCATAATGAATGCTTACATACGAACTTTGATCTCACATTCATATCTTAGGGTGGAGTGAGCAAAGAGAACTTAAAGAAGTGAAAAAGTACTGACTGAAGTCGTATATACTGAAGAATAATGATAAAATTGAGGGTGTTCTTAAATATCATTCTCACATACTGTGATAATTTTGATTACAGTGATGTAGTGTTATTGGGAAGTTCCATCTTGATAGTAAGAGCAGTGTTTTCAGCATTGAAATAAAGATGAAATTAATTCTTCCTTTATATTATATTGGTCTGATGGAATTGTATGTCTAATTAGCATGAACTATCTCTTTTATTTTAGGTTTTAAAAATGTTCACCGACTTCCTATCATTTATGGTTCTATTCAACTTTATCATTCCTGTCTCCATGTACGTTACAGTAGAAATGCAGAAATTCTTAGGGTCCTTCTTCATCTCATGGGATAAGGACTTTTATGATGAAGAAATTAATGAAGGAGCCCTGGTTAACACATCAGACCTTAATGAAGAACTTGGTCAGGTTAGAGCATGTTTTTTTTTAACTTAAAATAATTTGTCAACATACTGAAAATATCTTTTTATGTATTCTGGATTACTAATATATGTGATCATGTCACATTTGGAAAAATGATTCAGAGAAAATTCTTTAATGCAGGCATGTAATGAAGGTAAGCAGTGTTTTCATAGTTATAGCATCAGTTCTTTTGCTGGTGTTTTTGAGAAGGATGCAATTTATGTATTAAATTTGAATGTTACTGAAATTCTCCTTGGAACTGGGTGATGTTACCTTATTAGCTATTGCTTTGGAACAGGAAACAGTCTTCATGACCATCTATAACCATTTGTGGATAGAATATGGGGTAGCAAATATGGCTCTTTTATAAATGTATTTTGTTCCATAAGCAAAATTGACCAGAGTTGTCCTATTGACATTTTCTTGGTACATTTCTGATCAGGTAGAAGATAGACCTAACAAGCAGAGTTATTTATTCCAGTACAAGAATTTCAATGAAGGGAAAATGTGAGGGCATGCACTCCTCAAAATGCGTTCTTCTTTATATACCAATGTAACCCAGACTGTGACCCCATTCTAACCCAGGTGCTTTTATTTTCCAGTGCAGCACAGTCTGGCTGTAATTCTTCAAGTGATGATTTCTCGGGTACTTTTCTTATTAGTATTGAGGAAGTTTTCCCCTTTTTTTGATTTTACTCTGTCATGTAATGATCTTCGCGAGCCGAAGGAATTTTTTGGCTTGCATTTTATTCTCATGACATTTAGAATGTCAAGACTGTGGAAATGTCATTTTTGTGACTGGGAGTTCCAAATTGAGTTAATGAAACTGTGTGACTGGAACAGAGCCTCACAGTTGTTTAAATGGGGCTGATTTGCATTCTCACCTCAAAACTCTTACTTCCTGACTTTAACCCTCTCCACAGTCCCTGCTTTGTGTTTCTGCTCTTGAGACAGCCTTTGCCTAAATCAAATTACCCACATGACAACTGCAGTTGAAAGGTAGAAAGTACTCTCCAGATACTATTTTGTTTACATTTGACTTCAGGACACCAGTATCTGAAACCATGGAGTCTACATCCCATGTAGATACAAAGGCACTAAGAATAGGACAAAAATTGAATGGACAAATGGCTTTTCCTTTGGATATTGTTCCCACAAGGTTATTTTGTTGGTGATATGGGCTGCCATACCTGACCATTGTCTTTTAAGCCAGAAGTTTTCATCCAGGGTTAGAGCTATCTGAGTAGAACTGCTCTAATGTCAATAAAAGGCATCAAATTGCAGAATGCATGAGAAAAAATTTCGAGTATACAGGCCACCTTTAGTGAACCCTTCCCTGACAGTTAATTTAGTGGTTCATTCTGGATGCTGAGCAAATCTACCTGTTCTGGATTTAGTGCCTGGCTGTATGTATTAACCTACCCAAGGTTAAGCGTGACTAGCTTGGGGCTAGCCTCAACTACTATTACAAATAGAATAGCCATCATTCCAAATATGACATTTAATGTTCACTAAAAACAGAAAAGATGCCTGGGTCAGGTTCCGTTTGATGAAACTCTTATACCTCTTTCAGATCTTCATTTCAGCAGATTCCATATTACCTATGGGAATGCAGTCTTCTTATCATCTAGACTATGTTAATACTGCAGAAAGTAAAATAGATCTTTGGGTAATGATCTAGTAAATTTGATGAGTGAAAAGAAGATACAGTCTTCCTTTTAGTCACCACTCCTTTCTCCCACGAAACTTTGCATTTCTAGCTGTGGTTGTCACTTAGTCAAATCACTAAGTTAATAGCCATTCCATCACTTCAGTTAATACAGAGTATAAGCAACTTGCCATTGTTACTAGTTTGCATGTATAGAAATGACCTAAATGAAAGTGCAAAGAAGTCTTAAAATGGTTTCTTAGGCCATTTAGTATTCAATAAACCAGTACACACAAAATTAAGTGTAACCTGTTTTCTCTTTGTTGAGTCAAATTTAAGATCTATGTAACTTTTTATGTTATTAAAGGCAATGCCATTTAATTCCTATTCATACCATTGCAAGCATTTGCTTAACCTCGTTTAATGTGACCCACACTGGGATTAAAAATAGAAAGATATGTTTAGAACAGTGCTTGACATGAGAAACAAAAGGAAGTGGACTGCTCAGCTCAGTTGGAAAATAATGCAGTCTTTGATGATTAGACATCAATCTTTTAGACTACCAAATGATTGTAATCCATATTGAAAAACCTCTGGGGCTACTCTTTATGTCGCCTTCCCATCTTGCAGCTCTGCCTAATGGTGGCACTTTGTAGTATAAGTATATATTCTGATTCCAATAATTCAAGCCAGTAGCTGTTATTCACCTTTTACTGTCTGGGATGTGTGTGTGTTCTAGCTACTGTTATGAAGTTAAAAAGAAACCCTCAAATTTTTAAAAATATCATGGGGGAGACACACACATCAGACCTGACTATAGCAATGTCATCATAATCAATCACAAAAAATGTGGGACAGTGCAGAGTCTGGTGCTCTTTGATTTTGGTCAAGTGAGCATCAGTGACAGTCACCATGTATATAGCACCTTTTAGGTTATAGATCATTATTTTTGAGCTTTATTTTTTAATCTTTTCATTCTTGTGCAGCAGGTATCGTTAAGGTTAATATTTGAAGTTCATAGAGATAAAGAGATTTTCCTAAGGTCACAGAGTTAGTAGGTGGTGGAGCCAAGATGGAGTCCAAGTGTTCCATTAAGTTGAACCGTATGGTAATTTTTGATCTACAAAATAGATGATTTCACATGTTCAACATATACTTCAGAGCCTTTTCTACCTACAGCAGTTGTCTCACTAAGAGATAGGGAAAAAAAAGTCTTTTTTCTTTTTTTAGAAATTATAGTTTATTCAATGAAATACTAATTAATCCATAAAGGTTATTCTGTAAATCTATATTCTTGACATGGAAATACATATATATGTATATGTGTGTGAGAAAAATAGATTACATAGCAAACATAATGAGATTACATTTTTGTTCAAGTGGTAAATACACATTTACCACTCAAAATATTAACATGATTGTTTCTGTATGATGGGATTAATATGTGTTTCAGGGAAAACTCCCAAAATGTGTTTTTACTGTGCTCTCACACCAAGCAACACAGAGACTTCTGTGTCCAAATGTGGGAGGGAGCAGTTTTTCTCACCAACAAACAGTGGACGCCAACTGGGTGTCCTCTAGTTCAATTCTGTCTACCTGGAGATAACATCAGATCCCACAGGGTGAGGGTCCAGTCCCCAAGCCTGCCCCATGCCTCCTAGACACCAGTCACAAGTCTGGGCCTCTGGAAGTTTTGATCGATCAGCTTCAAGTTGGGCTACCCACAACCCCCTCTTTGGGTTTGATTAACTTGCAGCAGACAGAAGTCAGGAAAACACTTATGTTCACCAGTTTCATATAAAGGATATTGTAAAGGACACAGATGAAGAGGCATGTGGGATGAGATATAAGGGAAGGGGTGTTGAGCTTCCATACCTTCCCTGGGCGCACCACCCTCCAGGAACCCCCACATGTTAGTTATCCGTAAGACCCTGTTTTTCTTTCATTATTCTCACATAGCCACTCAACACTTTTGATACAAGATATGTGAAGTTTTTTTCCTGATACACCAAGCAAGCAGTTCTCCAGCAAACACCAGCTGGGTATCTGCCAATTCACTTTTGATACTGCCTACCTAGAGATAGTATATTGTGTCAGATCTCACAGGTTGAGGGCTCAGTCCCATAAGACTGCCCCCAACTTCAGATGCCAGTTGCTAGTTCAGGCTGTAACTTATGCTTCTGATTGAGCAGCTATAAAATGGGGTCCAGTAGTTTACTAGACCCCCTCCTTGGATTTGATTAGTTTACTAAAGCAGGTCATAAAACTCAGGGAAACAATTGTGTTTACTGGTTCATTATAAAAGGATATGACAAAGGATACAGATGAAGAGATGGGTGAAGTATGGGGGAAGGGGCGTGGAGCTTCCATGACCTTTCCAGGCATCCTTCAAGAAATTTCATGTGTTCAGCTATCCGGAAGCTCTTTGAACCCAGTTTTTTGGGGAGTTTATGGAAGCTTCATTAAGTGGGGATGATTGATTAAATCATTGGCCATTGGTGTTAAGTTTAACCTTCAGCCCCTCTTTCCTCCTTACCCAGGTCAGATGTGGGGCCGAAAATCCCAACCCTGTAATCATGCCTTGGTCTTTTCAGTGACCTGCACTCATCCTGAAGCTATGTAGGGGCCCTGAACCATTTGTCATTTCATTAGCATACAAAAGCACTCATCACTCTGGAGATGCTAAGGCTTTAGGAGCTTTATGTCAGGAAACAGGAAGGAAGATCAAATATATATTTATCAAATATATTTTACAATATCACGCAAATGATGGCTTTGAGCTTACTGATATAGAGGAGTCTTTTTGGCAAGCTTGAAGAAGAGAGGCTGCTTGAGAGTCAGAGGAAAGCAGCAGCCTCCCCCTTCATTCCTTTCTCTCCGTAAAATATGAGAAGAGTTAAATTAATTACAGTCGATCTGCTTCTCTTCTTTTTCTGAGTATAGATCATATATTAGGGTGGTGGTTCTGTAAATATGATCCTGGGACCAGCAGCATCAACACTACCTGAGAACTTAGAAGTGTAAATTATCTGGTCCCACCTCTGACCGACTGATTCAGAAACTCTGGTGATAGAGCAGTGATCTGAGTTTTAACAAGACCTCCAAGTACATGTGATGCATTCTACAGTTTGATAATTACTGCATTTGAGTATAATTTGTAGGCATATACCTGTGAGATTCAACGTATCCAGATTCATACTGCCCAAACTGTTTCATATAGGTGAATAAATTGTACTTTATATTTTAAAGCTACCATCTTCGACACTAACAAAAGAGATCCTAATGCTCATCCAAGTGCAGGAGGTAAAATAACCCAGGACACCCTTCAGGAGAAAATGAAGGTTAATAATTTTGATCAGAAGAAAGCCCCAAAGAATTTCATTTAAACTAGAAGAATCTAAATGATACACAAGTAATACCACTTGGATTAATTTAAAGAGAAAGTTCAAACTTGGCTGGCTTAACAGGGGGAAAAAATAAAAAAGATTGGAATGCTCTATTTGTGCCAGTGCTGCTACCGTGAAAAGCTTTGAAAAATAATTAGAAAGCAACTACTGCTGTAGTTCATCTCTTTCTCCCTTACATAATAAAAACCTTAATCTTGTGCTTATGCTTGTTCCTGTCAGCCCATAATTTTAACTATTTAAGCATAAATTGCCAAAACGAGGATAAAATTGTGGGTTTCCAAAAACCAGATGTTAAAAATAGAGAAAAAAAACTGAGATAAAATAGAAATGCTCTAAATGATTTATCTTAGTGGCAAGATAATGATTTATCTTATTTCTTGGCTTATGTTTTCCATTATTTATGAAAATATACTTGTGTTATACTTCAACCTATCTAGTTTCTAAATTTGGAAACTTGAGTGTATAAAGAAGGAAATTTAAGTTATGGTTTAGATCACTATTGACGTATAATGTATCTTCTAATTAGGTAACTGTTAATGTTATTATTAATTCTTGTGTATATTATATAATGTGCATTTTATTTTAATTCAGTATTTTTATAGAAAATTTTACTTGTAAAAGGGGAAAAAACCTTCATCAGTTTCCATTTTATTTTGTTACATCCCATTTAATTTATTAGTAAATATTTTTAATGGGTAATGTACATACTATCCCACAAAGTATAAGAGTGTGTGTTTGTGTGTGTGTGTGTGTGAGAGAGAGAGAGAGAGAGAGAGAGAGAAATAAGTGGTCAGTATAGTCTTACTTCCCACTTGAAAAACTGACTTATGTAACTTTTTTTACATCAAACAGGTTAACTGGCTGGGCATGGTGGCTCATGCCTATAATCCCAACACTTTGGGAGGCCAAGGCTTGATCCCAGGAGTACGAGATCAGCCTGGGCAACATAGTGAGATGCTGTCTCTACAAAAATTACAAGATAATTAGCCTGGTGTGGTGGTGAGTGCCTGTGGTCCCAGCTACTTGGGAGGCTGGGGCGGGAGGATTGCTTGAGCCCAGAAGTTTGAGGTTACAGTGAGCTATAATGGCTACTGCATTCTGGCTTGGGTGACAGAGTGAGACCCTGTCTTTAAAAAAAAAAAAAAAGAGGTTAACTTACATGAGAAGGGCTCTTAGTTTGATAAAATAGTCACTCCCCCCCCCCCCTGCCCAAGACAAAGTCTCACTCTGTCGCCCAGGTTGGAATGTAGTGGTATGATCTCAGCTCACTGCAACCTTTGTCCTGGATTCAAGTCTCATCAGCCTCCCAAGTAGCTGGGATTATAGGTGTGTGCCACTACACCCAGCTAATTTTTGTATTTTTAGTAGAGACGGAGTTTCACCATGTTGGCCAGGCTGGTCTTGAACTCCTGAGCTCGAGCAATCCTCCTGCCTCAGCCTCCCAAAGTGCTGGGATTACAGCCGTGAGCCACCGTGCCTGGTCAATAGTCACATTTTTTTCTATTCATCTTTTATATTTGAGTAGATCTACCTTAGACATGTGACACCATTTTAGTGTCTTTAAAAATACTAATTTATTCCTCATTTGTTTGGTAATATTACCTCTGTAATTCCCTGACATTTGACATAAGTCTTAGAAGAGGTGATTTTCTATGGATATGAAAATAGCTTTGCGTTACAGCAGACTAAAAATTAGTCACACTGAAGAAACTAACAGTGTGTATGTTTGTGTCCTTGTTTTAGGTGGATTATGTATTTACAGATAAGACTGGAACGCTCACTGAAAACAGCATGGAATTCATTGAATGCTGCATAGATGGGCATAAATATAAAGGTGTAACTCAAGAGGTTGATGGATTATCTCAAACTGATGGACCTTTAACATATTTTGACAAAGCAGATAAGGTACATTTGCATTATTGTTTTATATAAGAAATCAATCTGAATGCATGTTAATGTTCCATAGTAGAAAATAATTTTTAGGTGGACACATGACATAGGCTTTTGTTTGTTTGTTTGTTTTTTGAGATGGAGTCTCACTCTGTTGCACAGGCTGGAGTGCAGTGGCATGATCTCAGCTCACTGCAACCTACACTTCCCAGATTCAAGCGATTCTCCTGCCTCAGCCTCCCGAGTAGCTGGGATTACATGCGTCCGTCACCATATCTGGCTAATTTTTTTGTATTTTTAGTAGAGACGGAGGTTCACCATGTTGGTCAGGCTGGTCTCAAACTCCTGACCTCAGGTAATCACCCCCCACCCCTGAAAGTGCTGGGATTACAGGCATGAGCCACTGTGCCTGGTGACTTTGGAATAACTATTGTTGGCTTCACCTTTCTTGTTTTACTGATACTTCTGAAATATGTAAATGAGTAGAATTTACAAGTAAAGAGAATTGTGGGAAATGATATTTGGGTAAAAGCTTGCTTGTCTGTATGATCATAATTTTTTTGTGTTTTGTCTTTTAAAGTGTAAGCTCCCCCAAGAATGATGTCTGTTCAAATGATTAAAGTCTCAGGAGTGTCTAGGCATTAAATTAACCAGTGTCTCCCTACACTTGAGCTATTGCTAGATTGTGAATTAGTTACTGAATGAAGTCTTTTAGGCCATGAAGAAGTCATTGCTTTGGCTTAGGTGGCACTACAATAACCTCAATGAGTTAACACAGCCTATAGGGTATGCTAGCTGAGAACCAGGAACTCTTATTAAGTACTAGGAGAATATATAGCTGATTTGAGTGTTAGGAATTTATACATATCTGCTACTAAGTTTGTTAGAAGTTATAACATTCTCTCACATTAATATATTTCCTCTGTTCACTGCCTAGTTACCGAGTGATCAAATTAAAAATAACAATCATTATTTTGTTACTGTTCCACAGAATCGAGAAGAGCTGTTTCTACGTGCCTTGTGTTTATGTCATACTGTAGAAATCAAAACAAATGATGCTGTTGATGGAGCTACAGAATCAGCTGAATTAACCTATATCTCCTCTTCACCAGATGAAATAGCTTTGGTGAAAGGAGCTAAAAAGTAAAGTATACATTCTTAAACTTCTCCTATGAAAGTGAAACCACAGGAGGACAGAAGTTACTTGCTTTTTTCCGTTTTCTTCAGTGACCTTAGCACCTACGTCTCCTGTTATTTAATAAAAAACATAACTGCTTTAGCCAAAAATTTGTGGAAAATTCCCACACCTAACCAGTTAAGACCAAAAAGAAAATAGTTACATGTAGGTATTACTTGCTTTACTATTTATGCATGTCAGCCAGAAGTCTGAATGTTCATACTATGTTTTGCAAATAACATAACAGTGGCCATTTTTTGTACAACACATGTTATTTCTGAGGTGCTCCCAGCAATTTTGACATCATTTGAGAACCGAAAGTCTAGTTTTACCCATGAGTTTCAAGATAATTAAGTGGCTAAAAGGTCACCCAGTGTGTTAGCTGTAGAATCAGAAGCCCAAATTGTCTTTCTCTTGGTTACAATAGTTGTGGCTGGGCGTTGACTTTCTCTGTTACCAACTTATCCAGAAAAAGAAAGTACAGTTATATATTGAGATCATATGAAAGAGAAGAAAAGCATAAACAAGCATGAATTGCCCCATTGAAAAGTAATCATTCTAGACCAGGTGCGGTGGCTCACACCTGTAATCCCAGCACTTTGGGAGGCCAAGGCGGGTGGATCACCTGAGGTCAGGAGTTTGAGACCAGCCTGGCCAACGTGGTGAAACTCTGTCTCTACTAAAAATATAAAAATCAGCCGGGTGTGGTGGCACACGCCTGTAATCTTAGCTACTCAGGAGGTTGAGGCGGGAGAATCGCTTGAAACTGGGAGGTGGAGGTTTCAGTGAGCCGAGATCCCGCCACTGCACTCCAGCCTGGGCGACAGAGCGTGACTCTGTCTCAAAAAAATAAAATTAAATTAATCATTCTTTAGAGATACACGTGGTCTTTTTTATTGTTTTTGATAGGTACGGGTTCACATTTTTAGGAAATCGAAATGGACACATGAGAGTAGAGAACCAAAGAAAAGAAATAGAAGAGTAAGTAGCTCTGTGTTTGATGTTCGTCATTTCTTAACCCCATAGTCAAATTTAAACGGATTCAGGCAGGGCAGCAGAGGAAATGATGCCACTGAAAATACAAGACTTTTCTCTCCCAGTTCAGAGTTTTATGTAAATATAGTTGGGGTAGAAGCCATTTTACATAGAATGGCAGAAACTGTAGTTTGAGGTAGAAATTCCAATCTGGTTCACATCTGGGTCCAGTAGCCAGAATGAGAGTCTGCCTGAAATGTTTCTCAAATTTAGATGCCATTTCAGGTTTCTAACACATGCTACAAGAAAAATCAGTGAATATATGTGAAACCTGCTATCTGGTGTCCAAGCAATCGCTCTGGGATTGCAAGCCGAGCCAATAAAGGCAGCTTTGCTGTAAACCAGAAGCCTTGTTTTGTTCGGAATGTTCAGGTGTGAGCCTCAGGGCAAGTACTCTGATGCCCCAGTGTCTTTTCATATGGTGACTCGCATAAGGGAAGGGACTCAGGCAGATTCACCTCTATTCCCCAGCACCTAGCACTGTGTCTGGCACTCCATGCATAAATGCTGCCAAAAAAATTGGCAGAGTGGGACTGTTTCTAGACCCCTCCAAATATGGCTTGGTGGGACAGCTCTTTATTCTCCATTTCTATGTGGTCATTCTTACCATTTTAAGTAATATAGTGAGGGGCTATAAATACCCCTTAACTAACACAGGTGTCCTCTGACAGCATGTTCTATGTTCACAGAAATTCTAAGACAAAGGAAAGTACCAGTTGTGCACACAACTAATGACCCTCATGCAAAGAGAATAGCTGTCTTCTCTCTTAAGATGTTTAAATATCTTAACATATTTCTATTGTGCTTTATTTTTCTCAGTATATTCTAGGTTTTTTACTTTTCTCATTTCTCTTCTCTTAAAGATATGAACTTCTTCACACCTTAAACTTTGATGCCGTCCGGCGACGTATGAGTGTAATTGTGAAGACTCAAGAAGGTACATATCTGAAAAGCTTGAATTTTTCTCTTTGTTGATTTGTAGTCTTATTGGTTGATTCACTCTTTCAGGAAAGAGAATCATTTCATGTAGTATTGTAGGATTAGTGAAAGTCATGCAAAGCAGTAGCTTTTGCATATTCCTTCATGTATTTTTTTAAGCACAGATGTTCTATTTACCAAATTGTTAGTGATAGAACCCTTGTTATGACAGGATGTGCCTTTTCTTGGTAGCAGAACCATATCCCTCTGCCCTGGGTGTTCGAACAGGAACTGAAAGGATGACTTTTATATGGATCGGGGTACTGACCAGTCTACCAGTAATGTTTACATGCAGCCACCCAACGTAGTTATGGTTTGGGATTACTAGCAGCAGAATCCTTGAGTATAGGGAGTTGCTTCTTATCCCTCACTGACCTTCCTGCTTCCCCTACTGCTTGACACTCCCTGGAAACAGGTGAGGTAGAGAGGACTGAGGGCCTGGTTTCTGGGAAATGGCATTGCAGTTTCACTACAGAGCTCAGGTTCTTTGTTGAACAGAGTAAAGCTTGCCCTTTGCAGGGGAACTGGTACCATAATCCTGGGCTCCCTCATGTCTTTGGAGGCACCATGGTGGTTTGCCTTCTGCTCAGATTCTGCAAGACTCATGGGCGAGCACTCCTGCTTTATTCAAAGGCTTTCAGATATGTGTGTGTGTGTGTGTGTGTGTGTGTGGTATGCCCAGGTGGTTTGTTTTCTAAGAGTTCTTGATTTATTTCCCATTAATTTACTTTTTACTATTAAATTTTCTAAATTCCTTAATGTGAGAATGGGAGGATACAGGCAGATCCTTGGGGGAACGTATCCCACTTTATTCATACTTTGTGGTATGATTGCATAGTCATGAAATTCATTTTAATAAGTGACCATGGAGTTTGTCTTGTGAATTTTAAAATACTTTGGATGTGTAAGAATAAATAAAAAAAAAAACACTTAACATTTCAAATACTTGCTATTATGTGTGCATGTCCACGTGTTCTACAGCAAATGGTGAAATGTCTGTGGAACTGGTCTACAAAGGTCATTGACCTCAGAGCTAAACTTTTTAATTTGTTGACCTCAATTGTTTCCCTGATAAGGATAAAGTGTCTGTCTTGTGCACAACTGTGAATATTTCCTGGGTGTGTGAAGTGATCTAAAGCTGCACTTATACCAGCATTCTAGAGAGCTATTCTCATCAGTAAAAACTATGAAGCCAGTGTTTTAAAAGCTGGTTAATATAGTTTATTGAAAATTATTTCAACTTGTTTGAGCTTGAGCTTTCTTCTTGACATCTGTAGATGCCATATGTATGTATACTCTAGACCATGACTTCACTGCATTTATTTTTTTTTAAGACATAGTATTACTCTGTCATCTAGGCTGGAGTGGCAAGATTATAGCTCACTGCAGCCTCAACGTCCTGTGTTCAAGCAATCCTTCCACCTCAGCATCCAGAGTAGTTGGGACTATAGGCATGTACTACCATGCCCGGCTAATTTTTTAACTTTTAGCAGAGTCAGGGTCTTCCTATGTTGCCCAGGCTGGTCTTGAACACCTGAGCTTAAGTGATCCTCCCACTTCGGCCTCCCACAGTGCTGGGAATACAGGTATGAGCCACTGCACCTGGCATACATTTTCAGAAGAAATTCAGATGCAGCTCCTTGACACAAGCCCAGCCCTCCGTGAATTGGTGGGAGGAAGTATATTTTAACAGAGGTGCCTATTGTAAACTCTGTCTTATTAATTGTGTTCATAATGACCTGAAGAGGTGGTGCATGCCTTTCTGACAGGCTAAAGGCCAAGATTTCTCATTCCATTTAGGTGAGTATTGCGAGGCATGCTCAGAATATATAACACTTGGGTGAGAGAGGCCGCTTTAAAAGTTCCTCTTATTAAAACCACAATACCAGCCTTAAAATTTTAAGTCAAGTACTATGGTTCTTTATTTTAGGAGACATACTTCTCTTTTGTAAAGGAGCAGACTCGGCAGTTTTTCCCAGAGTGCAAAATCATGAAATTGAGTTAACTAAAGTCCATGTGGAACGTAATGCAATGGTGAGCCTATACTCCTTCCCCCACCAATAAGTAAGCAGAGAAATGCTGAAGATGACTATGTTTATTGGATTTCTGTTTAAATGACAGTTTAAATACATTTCAGCTTATTTTTGTGGTCTATGTTTTGTATTTGGGGATTTGATATTACTTTTTTTTATCTTAATATAAAACATCCTGGAGCAAGTTGCTGATCAGAATTTGCAGCCTTAAAGACTTTTCAACAACCTTTGTTAAAAGAACTGTTACTTCCTTTTTCTGAACCTAATTCAATGTTGCCTTTTCAGGTGTGGTTTGTTCATTTTTTCAAACTGAATAGGTGTCAGAATTTCTCTTTTGTACATATGGCTAAAGCAAGAGTATTTACAGAGTGTGGTTTTTTGTTTTTGGTTTTTTTCCAACTATTATTAGAATAACTATGGATCTCCTACTTTACTCCTAGGATGGGTATCGGACACTCTGTGTAGCCTTCAAAGAAATTGCTCCAGATGATTTTGAAAGAATTAACAGACAGCTCATAGAGGCAAAAATGGCCTTACAAGACAGAGAAGAAAAAATGGAAAAAGTTTTCGATGATATTGAGACAAACATGAATTTAATTGGAGCCACTGCAGTTGAAGACAAGTAACTAGAAAATGATACTCTTACTATTTTAATGACCAGTGTTTTGGGTGTGATCTGCCCCAGATTAGTAATTTAATCTTGAAGTTTGAAATCTTTGGTTTAGTTTTATTGTTTAAGTGGGCTTAAAGATTTATTTATTGTAGTAAGTATGAAAAATTACACCAGATTTTGAGCTGTTAGTAGGAATGATTTTTAATTTTTAAAAATTTTTTTAAGCTTTTAATTTTTTTTTTTTTTTTTGAGACGGAGTCTTGCTGTGTTGCCCAGGGTGGAGTGCAGTGACACAGTCTCGGCTCACTGCAAGCTCCACCTCCTGGGTTCACGCCATTCTCCTGCCTCAGCCTCCTAGGTAGCTGGGACTACAGGCACCCACCACCACGCCTGGCTAATTTTTTGTATTTTTAGTAAAGATGGGGTTTCACCATGTTAGCCAGGATGGTTTCGATCTCGTAACTTCGTGATCTGCCCGCCTCGGCCTCCCAAAGTGCTGGGATTACAGGTGTGAGCCACTGCGCCTGGCCAGTAGGAATGATTTTTAAGGTAAATTCATGTAACCTAGAAGAATGAATCAATTTTCACTAAGGTCTTTTGAATATTTACTAAGCTATCCATATATTTATGCACATATTATCAAATAGTCTTGACAGGTGTAGGGAAGGGTACTGTAGCCATTGTTTGTGCTGGTGCCTAGATGAAGGGGTAAGATTTTGAGAGACAGATGAGCAGAAAGGAAATTTAAGGTAGAGTGAACAACATGAGAGCTTAATCTAACCTGGTTTAACAGACCAGAGTATGTTTTTGCATACTTTTAAATTTTATTTTTATTTTTATTTATTTTTATTTATTTATTTTTTGAGACAGAGTCTTGCGTTGTCACCCAGGCTGGAGTGTAGTGGCACAATCTCGGCTCACTGCAACCTCTGCCTTCTGGGTTCAAGTGACTCTTGTGCCTCAGCCACCGGAGTTGCTAGCTGGAATTACAGGCATATGCCACCACATCCAGCTAATTTACGTATTTTTAGTAGAGACGGGGTTTCGCCATGTTGGCCAGGCTGGTCTTGAACTCCTGGCCTCAAATGATCTTCTGCCTTGTCCTCCGAAAGTGTTGGGATTACAGGCATGAGCCGCCATGCCTGGACTGCATACTTTAAAATAATATGCTTTTAACTTACAGGCTGACCATTTTCAGACTTGATTGCAGGACACTGCCATTGATCTGCTTGAAATAATAAGTTTTAGATTCTTAATATTTTTGGAATTTTCTAAATATTATATATGAAAATTATGAGACTTAAAAAGTTACAAACATATATTTAGTCACATTAAAAGGTATTGAAATTCTAATGAAATTCATTTAGTCTGATTTCATTGTTATTCTGTGGCCAAGAGAAACCCGGAGGAAAGTATCATTTTTCTCTCCTTGCCTTTAAGAATTATAATTAAATTCTCATTCAGGATGATTGGCGTTCCTCTTTTTTTGGAGGGTGGGTCAGGGTTATACATTCAGGTAGTACATGTGCAGGTTTGTTATGTGATTATATTGTGTAATGCTGGGGTTTGGGCTTCCTTTGATCCCATCACCTAAGATACTAACATAATACTCAATGGGTAGTTTTTCAACCCTCGCTCCTCTCCCGTCTTCCCCCTTTTAGAGTCACCATTGTCTGTTATTTCCATCTTATGTCCATGTGTACTTATTGATTAGCTCCCACTTATAAGTGAGAACATGTGGTATTTGATTTTCTGCCTCTGAGTTATTTCACTTAGGATAGTGGCCTCCATCTGTATGCATGTTGCTGCAAAGGACATGATTTCACTCTTCTTATGACTGCGTAGTATTCCAGCAATCTTGCCTAATTGCTCTGGCTAGGACTTCCAGTACTGTGTTAAATAGGAGTAGTAAGAGTGGATATCCCTGTCGTGTTCCAGTTTTTAGGGGAAATGCATTCAACTTTTGTACATTGAGTATGGTGTTGGCTGTGGGTTTGCATGTAGGGTTCTTATTATTTTGAGGTATGTTTCTTCAATGCCTAGTTTGTTCTCAGGGTTTTTTTTTTTTATCATCAAGGTATGTCAAATTTCATTGAATATGTTTTCTGCATCTATTGAGATGATCATATAATTTTTGTTTTAATTCTGTGTATGTGGTGAATTACATTTATTGATTTGCATATGTTAAGCCATCCTTGCATCCCAGGAATAAAACCCGTTTGATCTTGATGAGTTATCTTTCTGATGTGCTGCTGGTTTCAGTTTGCTAGTATTTTGTTGAGGATTTTTACATCTATGTTCATCATGAGTAATGGCCTATAGTTTTCTGTTTTTATTGCATCCTTGCCAAATTTTGATATTAGGATGATACTAGTTTTGTAGAATAAATTATGGAAGAATTCCTCCTCGTCGATTTTTCTTGGGGTAGTTTTAGTAAGATTGGTACCAACTCTTCTTTATATACATCTGATAGAATTCTGCTGTTAATCTCTATAGTCCTGGGGGTTTTTTTTATTAGTAGATTTGTTATTACTGATTCAATTTCATAGCTTATATAGGGTTTCTTTTTCCTCCTAGTTCAATTTTGGGAGGTTGTATGTTTCCAGGAGTTTATCCATTTCATCTGTATTTTCCAGTTTGTGCTCGTAGATATGTTCATAATAGTCTGAGAATCTTTTGTATTTCTGTGGTATCAGTTGTGATGTCACCTTTGTCATTTCTGATCGTGCTCATTTGCATCCTCTCTTTTTCTTGGTTAATTTAGCTACTGGTCTATTTGTTTCTCATTTTTGTTTCATTGGTACTTTGTATGCTTTTTTTGGTCTCAATTTATGTTAGTTCTGCTATGATCTTTGTTACTTCTCTGCTAGCTTTGGGTCTGGTTTGTTCTTATTTTTCTAGTTCCTTTAGGTGTGACATTAGGTTGTTCATTTGAGATTTTTCTGCCTTTTTGATGTAGGCAATTAGTGCTATAAACTTTGCTCTTAACACCGCTTTTGACATAACCCATAGTTTTTGGTATGTTCTGTCTCTATTTTCTTTTGTTTCAAAATTGTTTTTTTGGTTTCTGCCTTAATTTCACTGTTTACTCAAAAGTTATTCAGGAGCAAGTTGTTCAGTTTATATGTACTCGTGGACTTGAGAGTTCCCCTTGGTATTGATTTCTAATTTTATTTCACTCTGTTCAGAGAAGATGCTTGATATTATTTTGAGTTTTGAATTTCAGGAGACTTGCTTTATGACCAAGCATGTGATCAATTTTAGAGAATGTTCATGCACAGATGAGAAAAATGTATGTTCTGCACTTGGTGAGTAGAGTGTTTTGTAAATGTCTATTAGGCCCATTTGGTCAAGAGTCCAATTTAAGTCCAGAATTTCTTTGTTAGTTTTCTGCCTCGATAATCTGTCTTGTGCTATCATTGGGGTCTTAAAATCCCCCAATATTATTGTATGACTCTCTGTCTCTTTCCTTAGGTCTAGGGATGATTGTTTTATCAATCTGGACACTCTGATGTTGGGTTTATATATATTTAGGCTAGTTGAATCTTGTTGAATTGAATTCCTTTTCATTATGTAATTCCCACCTTGTCTTTTTATTTACTGTTGTTGATTTAAAGCCTGTTTTATCTGATACGGGAAGATCAAACCCTACTCCTTTTTGTTTTCCATTTGCATGATAGATCTTTCTCCATCCCTTTAGTTTTAGCTTGTGGCCATCATTATGCTGTCATCACGCCTGAGATGGGTTTGTTGAAGTTTTTGAGATGGAGTCTTGCTCTGTCGCCCAGGCTAGAGTGTAGCCAGGATAGAGTGTAGCGGCGCGATCACGGCTCACTGCAACTTTCGCCTCCTGGGTTCAAACCATTCTTGTACCTCAGCCTCCTGAGTAGCTGGGACTACGGGTGCCTGCCACCACACCTGGCTAATTTTTGTAGTTTTAGTAGAGAAGGGGTTTCACCATGTTGGCCAGGCTGGTCTCGAACTCATGACCTCAGGTGATCCTCCTGCCTCAGCTTCCTTAAGTGCTGGAATTACAGGTGTGAGCCACCACGCCCGGCCTAACAGATGGTATTTTTGTACTCATTGTGCCAATCTATGTCTTTTAAGTAGAGCATTTAGGCCATTTACATTCAAGGTTAATATTGATATGTGAGGTTTGTTCCTGTCTTAGTGTTGTTAGCTAGTTATTTTGATAGTCTCAAGTATATAATTGCTTTATAGGATCTATTAACTTTCTACTGACATATACCTTTATAGTAGCAAATATCATCCGTTTGTTTTCTGTGTTTAGAGCTCCTTTAAGCATTTCTTATAGGATAGGTTTGGTGGTGACAGATTCCCATAGCATTTGCTTGTCTGGGAAAAACTTTGTTTTTCCTTCAGTTAGGAAGCTTAGTTTAGCAGGATATAGAATTCTTGGCTGCAGTTGTTTTTCTTTAAGAAGGCTAAAGGCCAGGTATGGTGGCTTATACCTGTAATCCAGTGCTTTGAGAGGTTGAGGTGGGAGGAACACTTGAGCCTGGGAGCTCACAGCCAGCCTGGGCAGCATAGCAAGACCCTATCTCTACAAAATTTTTTTTTTAGATAACTAGGCATGGTGACACATGCTTGTAGTCCCCTGCTTGGGAGGCTGAGGTAGGAGGATTACTTGAGCCCAGAAGTTACAGTGAGCTATGACTGCACCACTGCTACACTTTAGGTGACAGATTGAGATTTTTGTCTCTTAAAAAAAAAAAAAAAAAAAAAAAAAAAGGCCAAAAATACATCCCCAATCTTCTGGCTTCTAAGATTTCTGCTGAAAAATTCACTATTAGTCTGATGGGATTTCATTTATAGGTAATTTGTCCTTTTTATCTAGTTGCCTTTAAGATTTTGTTTGTTTGTTTGTTTACCTTGGGTTGTCTGATGACTATATGCCTTGGTGATGGTCATCTTGTGTAGCATATAACAGTTGTTCTCTGAATTTCTTGTATCTGGATGTTGACCTCTAGCAAGGTTCAAGAAATTTTCCTGAATTATTCCCCAAATATATTTTCCATGTTGCCTTTTTTTCTTCTTCTCTCTCAGAAATGCCAAGAAGTTATAGATTTTGTTGCTTTACATAATCCCATATTTCTCAAAGACTTTACTCATGTTTAAATTTTTTTTTTTTTAATCTGACTGGGTTAATTCGAAAGACTGCTCTTCAAGCTCTGCAATTCTTTCTTCTGCTTGGTCTAGTCTATTGTTAAGGCTTCCAGCTGTATTTTGAAATTGCTTTAGTGAGTTTTTCAATTCCAGGTGTTCTAATTGATTTGTTTTATTATAGCTATCCTTATCTTTCATATCCTGAATCATTTTTCTGGTTTCTTTGTGTTGGGCCTCAACTTTCTCTTAGATCTAGTTGAGTTGCCTTGCAAGCCATATTTTGAATTCCTTATCTGTCATTTTAGACTTTTCATTCTGGTTAACCTGTATTATTATAGAGGTAGTACAATCCTTTGGATGTGTCAAGACACCCCCCAGCTTTTTGTACCGCTAGAGTTCTTACACTGATTCCTTCTCATCTGAGGGATCTGTTGCTTCTTATTTTTGAATTTGCTGTAGTTTGGATAAGACATTTTTTATTTTTTAGTTCTTTTTTCCCTTGAGGATATGACTGTGGTATATGTTGTATATGATTGTTTGGCTTTGTTTCTGGGTGCTTTCGGCAGGGCAAGGCTCTATATGGTTTCCTTGGTTGTGGATAGCTTCAGTGCAATGGCTTTCTCAGATGCTGTTGTAGTGATGTATTGGATGCAAGGGCCGACACACTGCCTCCCTCAGGGCTAAGGGTGTGGAGGTGTCAGAAAGCTTAGCACTAAACCCTTCTGGCAGCAAGTTATTTATTTGGGGGTGCAGCTCAGGCTTCAGTCTGGTAGGTGGAGCTTAAGAGTAAGAGTCAGTTCTTCCTCTGGGAGGCTGATGATGAGTGGAAGCGCCTATCCTGAGGGAAGGATGGTGGCAGGGGTTGGAGATCGGGTTGGGGTATGCCGAGGTCTTGGGGGAAGGAACAAGGAAGGGTGCACCAGCTCCTCATCCTGTGCAGATAGGAACATGATCCACTTCTCCATTATGCCCCTGTCATGCTCACAATCTTCAGTTCGTATAGACTGTATCCTTTGGTTCCTGGTCACAGTGCGGCTGCAGACCGTGGATACATCTCTCTGGTGGTTGCAACCAAAATGGGCTTTGGCCAAGCCTTTACCCCAGGTTCAGAGCAGCAACTCTGCAGCTTACCCGTCTGTTGCTGGGATGCTGCTGCTCTGTGTAGGGAGTTGGAGTTGGGTCCCACCCTTTGTGAAAGCCCAATTGGCACGAGCTCATTTTCAGCAGGGGTAGAACCACTGTGAAAAAGGTGAAAAGTTTCTCCAGGTACATATGCGCTACCCTCCACTGGGAAGAACTGCTGCTGGCCGCATCAACAACAGTGTACAGGAGTGGGCACAGTGGGAAATGCCTCCATGACTGTTCCTGGCCCTCAGTGCTACCTCCTTCAGTGATTGTCACTGTGCCCACATTTCCTTTGTCCCAGGAGGGCCCTTAGCGGGCTGTGCTTACCTCCCCCTTAGGGGCACTCCATGCTGAGGGATAGATCTCCAGGGGTCCCATAGCTCCCTGGGGACTCACTGATCCCCCCTGAGCTTGCCAAAGTCAGAGCAGGTTGGAGTATATTTGCAGGGGATCTGATGGTATGATAACTCAAGGGCAGAGATTCCCCTAGGTATGGTATTGGCCCACCACAGCAGCACAAACAGAATCGTTCCTGCCCTCTAAGTTTGGGTCTGAGGGGAGTACTGACATGCCTGCATGAGCTGGCCACTCGGATCTCTGTCCCTGAGAAGCTCCTATATTGCCACTGATGGCGTTGCCCTAGGTAAGGAGGGAAGGGTTCCCCAGCAGTTTGATGGTCAGGACATTGTCACAGGGTGAGGAAGCAGAGAAGCATTTCCACCTACCCTTTACATGGGGCTTTGAGTTCCTCGGGGGACAGTCTCTGCCAGACTCTCGCTACTTTCCTTTTCTGTATCCCAGCTTTCTCTTGTGGGCTCTCCAATAGGTCCTGGCTCTCTTTCTGCAGTTTTCAGTTCAGAAAATGTCCATTCACCAGTAACTTTGATCTTTTTTATGAGGACAACTGGCATCTGATGTCCCTAGTCAGCCATCTTGAAAACCCATGTTCCTGTTCTTAAAGCTCCTCAAGGATAGGGATTCACTAATTTCCTTCATCGTCTGATTAGAATGTTTGGACCTTTATACTTTGAATGATGTTAAGTGATGTTAATTGGTATGGTAAGATAGAACATAAAATGAAATATGCTAAAGTGACATTGAGTACAAATGTTTCAGAACATTTTAGCTTAGAATGATGATACTCAATTCTGCCATTGGATACCAGTTACCTCAAGGTGTCACAAACTTCAGAACCTCATTGTTTGAAATTTGCTTTAATAAGTAAAACTATGCCAGAGACAGCACTCAGAATGAGTAGGGGATGTATATGAAAGTCAACCGTGATAAGATGTCAGGACTCTAGAATTGCTGCGAATTATAAAAATATTCTCTTTAACAAGCCTTCCTGTAGAATCTTTGTCAGGAATTTTAGAAGATCACAAGGCTTCTTTTGTGTTCCCAGGCTACAAGATCAAGCTGCAGAGACCATTGAAGCTCTGCATGCAGCAGGCCTGAAAGTCTGGGTGCTCACTGGGGACAAGATGGAGACAGCTAAATCCACATGCTATGCCTGCCGCCTTTTCCAAACCAACACCGAGCTCTTAGAACTAACCACAAAAACCATTGAAGAAAGTGAAAGGAAAGAAGATCGATTACATGAATTATTGATAGAATATCGTAAGAAATTGCTGCATGAATTTCCTAAAAGTACTAGAAGCCTTAAAAAGTAAGAAAGTACATCAGTTTCTTATATTTAGACATTGGTGCAGATGTAAATCACAGCTGCGTATACAAAAGGCTTCATTTTCTGTAATTTGTGTTTTTCTGTTTGCAGGTGTTTTATCATTATAAGTTAAAATTGTCCCTGAGGACTTGACTAATGGCCCATCTGAGATTATTTGGCACTTTCCACCTTTTCTTTTAACTTAAAAGAAAACTGCACATTTCGGAAGGTTTAGAAAAATAGCTCAATTTTTAAATATTTAGAGTCTAGGTATTCAGTGTTGATATTCTGGCCTGGTCCATGTTAAGAAAAAAAATACTCCTTTCACAGTCTCTTAAACTGAATGTAATAAAATCAATCTCTGTGACAATTTTCGTGCATTTTGAGGTTCTGGAGCCATTTTCTATGCATTTTTATACCCCAGAGCTCCAAATGGAATCAAATACTTGTTAACGTGGCCACTTTATTTAGAGGACATGGCTGCTTTGACTCTGCTTTCAACTAGGAAGAACTTGTGGAACATGAAGGTGTCAGGGAAAGCCACTGATAAACAATAATTCAATGCCCAGAGATATATTTTCTATACTTTCCATTGACCAAGGGTCAGCCTTGTCTAAACCAATTACTTGAATTTACCTTGGCCGTAAGCAAATTGATTTCCTTTTTTGGAATGCCACTGGATGTGTCTGTACTAACTTGAAATATCCCTAAGCAATATTTTCAATTTCTTAAGCACACTTTATGTTCCAGGAACAGTGTTAAGGGCTTTGTATGATAATTGTCATTTAATCATCATTAACAACCCAGTTAGGCAACCGTATTTTCTTCATTTTACAGAGAGAGATCACACAGCTAAGAAGGAGTTCAGAAAGTCTATCCCATGCTTATAACAACTATGCTATATCTGTATCCTCATCTCTAATGTTTAAGCAAGCTTTAAAAATGAATAGCCTACATTCATGAGGCTATGGCCAATTCTAAAGCAGCTGTTGTTGTTCTAGTACTTAGGCATCAATGAGAATAAATAGGTTTTTATTAATTGCCTATGAGAAACATTTTCCTTTAGCCAAATGGTACTTATAAAGACATTCCAAAGTATGTGCATTTTACTTCTCCTTTTGTCTTAGTCTGCTTGAGCTACCAAAACAAAATACCATAGATTGGATGGATTAAACAGTAGAAATTTATTTTTCAGTTTTGGAGGCTAAAGTTCTGTGATTGGAGTGCCAGCATGGTTGGGTTCTTGTGAGGGCTCTCTTCTGGCTTGCAGATGGCCGCCGTTTCCCTGTGTCCTCACATGGCAGAGAGAGCTATGCTGTCTCTTCCTCTTATAAGGGCAGTAATCCCATCATGGAGTCCCCACCTTCATTGACTCATCTAAAGTCAGTGTATTCGTCTGTTTTCACACTGCTGATAAAGACATACCCGAAACTGGGAACAAAAAGAGGTTTAATTGGACTTAGAGTTCTGCATGGTTGGGGAGGCCCAAGAATCATGGTAGGAGGCAAAAAGCACTTCTCACATGGCAGTGGCAAGAGAAAAATGAGAAAGAAGCAAAAACAGAAACCCCTGATAAACCCATCAGATCTCATGAGAGTTAATTCACTATAACGAGAACAGCACAGGAAAGACCAGCCCCCATGATACAATTACCTCCCCTTGGGTCCCTCCGACAACACATGGGAATTCTGGGAGATACGGTTCAAGTTGAGATTTGGGTGGGGACATGACCAAACCATATCATTCTACCCCTGGCCCCTCCAAATCTCATGTCCTCACATTTCAAAACCAACCATACCTTCCCAATAGCCCCCAAAGTCTTTCAGCATTAACCCAAAAGTCTACAGTCCAAAGTCTCATCTGAGACAAGGCAAGTCTCTTCCACCTATGAGCTTGTATAAAATCAAAAGTAAGCTAGTTATTTCCTAGATACAATGGGGGTACAGGTATTGGGTAAATACAGTCGTTCCAAATGGGAGAAATTGGCCAAAACAAAGGGGTTAGAAGGGCCCATGCAAGCTGAAATCCAGCAGGGCAGTCAAATCTTAAAGCTCCAAAATGATATACTTTGACTCCATGTCTGACATCCAGGTCGTGCTATTGCAATAGGTGGGTTCCCATGGTCTTGGGCAGCTCCACCCCTGTGGCCTTGCAGGGTATAGCCTCCCTCCTGGCTGCTTTCACGGGCTGGCATTGAGTGTCTGCAGCTTTTCCAGGTGCACAGTGCAAGCTGTCAGTGGATCTACCATTCTGGCGTCTGGAGGATGGTGGCCCTCTTCTCATAGCTCTACTAGTCAGTGCCCCAGTAGGGACTCTGTGTGGAGGCTCTGACCCCACATTTCCCTTCTGCACTGCCCAAGCAGAAGTTCTCCACGGGGGCCCCATCCCTGCAGCAAACTTTTGCCTGGGCATCCAGGTGTTTATACATACACCTTCTGAAAGCTAGGTGGAGGTTCCCAAACCTCAGTTCTTGACTTTGTGCACCCGTAGACTCAACGCCATGTGGAAGCTGCCAAGGCTTGGGGTTTCCACCCTCTGAAACCACAGCCTAAGCTCTACATTGGCCCCTTTCAGCCACGGCTAGAGCAGCTGGGACACAGGGCACCAAATCCCTAGGCTACACACAGCACGGGGACACTGGGCCTGGCCCATGAAACCCCCTTTCTTCCTGGGCCTCCCGGCCTGTGATGGGAGGGGCTGCTGTGAAGGTCTCTGGCATGGCCTGGAGACATTTTCCCTATGGTCTTGGGGATTAACATTAGGCTTCTTGCTTGTTATGCAAATTTCTGCAGCTGGCATGAATTTCTTCTCAGAAAATGGGTTTTTCTTTTCTATCACATCGTCAGGCTGCAAATTTTCTGAACTTTTATGATGTTTCCCTTTTAAAATGGAATGCTTTTAACAGCACCTAGGTTACCTTTTGAATGCTTTGCTGCTTAGAAATTTCTTCTGCCAGATACCCTAAATCATCTCTCTCAAGTTCAAAGTTCCACAAATCTCTAGGGCCAGGGACAAAATGCCACCAGCCTCTTTGCTAAAACATAACAAGAGTCACCTTTGCTTCAGTTCCCAACAAGTTCCTCATCTCTATCTGAGACCACCTCAGCCTGAACCTTACTTTTCGTATCACTATCAGCATTTTTGTCAAAGCCATTCAGCAAGTGTCTAGGAGGTTCCAAACTTTCCCACATTTTCCTGTCTTCCTATGAGCCCTCCAAACTGTTCCAGCCTCTGCCTGTTACCCAGTTCCAAAGTCACTTCCACAGTTTTGGGATCTCCTCAGCAATGCCCCACTCTATGGGTACCAATGTACTGTATTAGTTCGTTTTCATGCTGCTGATAAAAACTTACCCAAGACTGGGAAGAAAAAGATTTAATTGGACTTACAGTTCCACATGGCTGAGGCCTCAGAATCAAGGCGAGAGGCAAAAGACACTTCTTACATGGCTACGGTAAGAGAAAAATGAGGAAGAAGCAAAAGCGGAAACCCAGTAAACCCATCAGATCTCATGAGACTTCACTCACTCTCGCGAGAGTAGCACAGGAAAGACCGGCCCCTATGATTCAGTTACCTCCCCCTGGGTCCCTCCCAAAGCACATGGGAGTTCTGGGAGATATAATTCAAGTTGAGATTTGGGTGGGGACACAGCCAAACCATATCAGTCAGTTACCTTTCAAGGTCCCCACCTCCTAATTCCACAACACTGGGAGTTAAGAGCTTCAACAGATAAATCTTGGGAGAACACAATTCAGTTTATAACAGACGCAAATCCCATCATTAGGGCCTCACCCTCTAAAGGTGCTATCTTCAAATACAGTCACATTGAGGGGTAGTGCTTCAACGTGAATTTGCAGGGGAACACAATTCAGTCTATAGCACCATTCAGCAGCCCTGAGGACACTTTTGTAAAAGCCAGGGCTTATGGAAAACTTAAATGTACTATCACTGTCTCAGATCAGCCCGTCTTCCTGAGTTGGGCACAGTCTTTACTTACTTACACAGGGTTCAGACTCAGTCACCTTTGCCAGCTTCTGCTCCTTTGCCCTTTCCCCTTCAAATCAGACCCCAAGCCATATTCATACCCCCATTCTCACCTCTAGTGCCCCACCCACATCAGAGGCCTAGTACCTCATGCATGAAATCCCTTAAGCCCCTCTGCCAGATGAATGATCTTTAAATGAAGCACTGTCCATGTCACAGTTCCGCTCTGAAAACTTTGGTGGTTCTCCATTACCCACAGATTCAGGCCACACCAAAGGCCTTAAGTGACCTTTACAATGTGCTTTTCCAGTGCACCCCAACATAACATTCTATTACTTCACCTCTTTTGTCTCTGTTTTTCAAGTCCTACTTTAGATACCACACCTCACAAAGAATCCACTATTTTCTCCTGTGTGGATGTGTCTCAGTAACTGGGCATTAGCCATGGATTATCTTGGTTGATTGGGTAGTTCTCTCACGTATGCTTCTATCAGTCTAAGGAGATATTCTATTCTCCATAAAAAGATTAGTCCATAATTCTTTGTATTTCTCTATATAGTGTGCTTATAGTTGGTGTTCACAAGTTATTTCTTCATTGGTTATTGAGTTGCTGTTTTCAGCCCCGTAAGTAAGCTATTAATATATGAGTAGGGGGGCAAAGAAAGAGAACACATCATTGATGTCTCTTTATTTAGTGAATAAAATTATACAGCAAAATATGGGTAAGTATAAAATGTTACAGTATTAGCAGTATACACTGAAGAAATATGGAATAAAGGAATGATGAGGTATATTAGGCCCTCACTACTCAAAGCTTCGTCTATAGAATGGCAACTCCATTGTCACTGGGCAGCTTTTTAGAAATGCAAAATCTCACATCACACCTAACGAATCCGAATTTGTAGTTTAACAAGATTCCCAGGTGATTCCTTTGCACATTAAACTTTGAGTAGCATTAAATTAGATAACAATCTCTGAGATCTTGCTTTGTCGAACGCTTCCACTGCAGTGGTTGTCAAATGGCATCCAAGATTCCCCAGAGCAAAACTTGAATAACCACTCGTTTGTTTCCTAATTGAAAAATAAAAGTTAATTGGCAGAATTTTCTCAGTTGTCAGTTTTACACTATATTTTTCTTAAATACTTGGCACCTGTTACACATTTGTCTTTCCTGACACCTAACACCTCTTAGTCCTGGCTACACATGAGAACCACCTAGGAAGCTTTTACTATATATATATATATATATAACCAAGCCCTGGCCAAGGTACTCTGATTTAATTGGTCTGGGGATAGGCCCCAGGCATGGGCAATTTTTAAAGCCACCCAGATGATTCGAATGGGATGGCTAGAGAACCACTAAGCTAGTATGTAAAATGATACATTTAAAGAAAAAAAAAATACATACGTGTGTGTGTGTGTGTATATGTATATACACACACACACAAATGGCTTTGCCCCAAAGCCATTTGTCTTTTCCCTGTATTGTTAGGGAGTTTCAGACTAATTGATGATTTGTCTTCATAGCAGAGTTTAACTAATTGATTTTAATTCCAAATACTCACTATATGTTTCTTAAACAGAGGCAGGCTGCTTAATCTCTTTATTTTCTAAACATCAAAAAAAAAGTTTGTATTAGTCAAAGTTCAACCAGAAAAATAGAACCAGTAAAAGAATATATTGAGAGATTTATTGTTAGGACTTGGCTTGGGCAACTAACTGTATTATCTAGCTGGGCAGGTCTAGGTTTGTGGGATAGGCTCTTAGGAAGGGCTGGGACTCTCAGGTATGAGCTAAGGCTATTGCCTTAGGAAGTCTCAGGAAGTAGCTAAGGCTACTGCATCAGGAAGTCTCAGCTTTGCTCTTAAAACCTTTTAAGTGACTGAATCAGGCCCACTCTAGTTATCTAGGATGATCTCTCTTACTTGAAATCAACTGCTTGTGGATTTTTATCACATCTACAAAGTACCTTTACAGCAACACTTAGACAATTGTTTGATTAAATAACTGGGAAATGTGGCCTCACCAAGTTGACCTTTTAGAACTTGTAGTCATCTATATGTGCAACTCGGGTCTCAAAGATATGATTGCAAATCACTGTTGTGCCATTATTAGAGGCAGTTGCTTCTTTAGAGTGAACAGGTTGAGGAACCAGATTGATGACTCCCCTTACCTGGGACCACCCCCTTTGTTGTTAAAAAAAAAATCTGGATCCTAAATAGAATCTATAATAAATTCAAACACAGCATTGTTTTTCTTTTTCAGAGCATGGACAGAACATCAGGAATATGGATTAATCATAGATGGCTCCACATTGTCACTCATACTAAATTCCAGTCAAGACTCTAGTTCAAACAATTACAAAAGCATTTTCCTACAAATATGTATGAAGTGTACTGCAGTACTCTGCTGTCGGATGGCACCGTTACAGAAAGCCCAGGTAACTGTGAACATTAGTTAACGTTCCATTCTGGATACTTCTGTACACATATGTGGAAATGTTTATTTTTTAAAAAATTATTTCTTCTTCAAAGGGCCATTATTACCATCTAATTTCTTCCTCCAAGGCTTCTTTCTTTTTGTAATCAGACTCAGAAATCTTTTCCCATTTTGAATTAAACTTATGCTGCACCTTGTTGTCCCCTCAATCTGGCTATCCCAGTTCCTCACCTTCCAGACTTTTTTCTCTGATGAGTGCTTTGTGCCTGCTGCCACTGCTCCTGGATCCCTTATGACATTAGCTCTGTGTGTTCTTTCTGCTCTTCTTACTCCCTTGGCTTGCCTGCAGGTAGACCTGGCCCATCCCTTGTGTAGTCTTCCATTCTCTTTCTCATTTCTCCTTTGTTCTTGATAACATCAATTATATCCTCCTTAAAATTATCCTTTCATGGTCTCTGTGATGGTCCATGGTCCATGGTCCTAACATTTTATTTGTCAACGTAGTGACTTTTTATTAGATCTTAAAATTTTCTTCCTCAGACCAGTATGGTTTTTCTTTTATATTGTTCTTGTTACCGGTGCCATTTTTCTCTTGCTCCCTATGTCTCAAAACTACTTTTGATCCTTCTCATCTCCCTCTATATATAGTCACCATGTTCTGTTGGTCCTACCTTTTGTTATAGCTCTCATTTTGATGCCATCTTTCAAAACCTTTTACTGCCCAACTAGTCCAAGCCCTTATGACTTTACACATAGACTATTTGATTTAGTCTCCTCACTGGCTTCCTTGCTTTCACCCATCCATTTTTAATCTCTCCACACTCCCAAATTAATCTTGTTAAAACATAACTCTTCCTATCATATATTCTTTTTCGGACACTTTCAGTAGTTTCATAGTCCCTTAGGATGAAGGGCAGTTGACTGAGTGTGGCGCCTGGGGCTCCCCACTGTTGTCCCTTAACATGGCTCTACATATTTTGTACTTTGTGTCCACTGTCACTCCTTTCTCTGGCGTACATTCTCCACTCCTGTTGGTTGTTCTTCTGTGGTCTTCCATATGTCATACTCAGGGCAACTTTCAAAACTTTTGTCACATCATTTCCTCAACTGGCATTCTCTCTGAATTCCCCTGGACTAACAAAAATTTTACTCATAATGAAACCTAGCTGAAGGGCCGCCTCCTACATGCTTTCTTTTCCAGCTCCTCCAGTCCAAATTGATCTGCCTCATCTTGCTTCTTTGTATTCACTAGGTACAAGGAAACTTAGAGTCTCTGTTACTTACTTTTTCATTTCCATATATGCTATAGGATATTCTTTCATATGTGTTAGTCTTGCTTCATCAGATTCTTTAACCAGTTGCTCTAAACAAGGGGATGGCTGTGTCTGTGGCTTTTCTTTTACATACTGCGCGCGGGGACACACACACACACACACACACACACAGCACCCATCATATTTGGGGCATTTCTTCTGTCTGCCTTCTAGCTCTCAGTCCCCACTGCAATCAGAGGCTCTTCTTTCTTTTCTTCAATCTTGAAAACCTCTCTTGGCCCCAGGTCGGGAATCAGATCCAACCAGAATACACTATTCAAAAGTATCCGTCCCCTTAGTCAGAGGCTTTTCTGCAACAGCGACCTCTTTTTTTCCCCTTATGTTCAGTGTATGCTGCTCAAATTGCTCACCTGGGTTCTGACTGCTTCACTGCCAGGCAGGTATGTGAATTCCTGACCCCATGCTGCTTCTTCCATCTTAATTATGCCACCACTTGTGGTTTAGTCCTCATTCTGTTTTATTTCTGTCACTATAGTTATTTTGTGCAGGATATTACATATTTAGCTGTCATGGTCACGTAGGTGATATTCAAGTCACTACCTCCAATCCAAGAATTTGGTGATCTACTTTACTTCTTCACCTGTTTCCCAAACATGTATTCTTGGGTGTGGCATTATCACCCCAAATGTGACTTCTCTAGAGTCCAGCCATCATCTTCCCTGGCATCTTCTTTTTCTATAACTGACCTCAGTGCACTTCCAGATTTCTAGATTCAAAACCTTGAAACCTGTGTCGCCTTCCCACATACCACATACATTACTCTTCCATTGTAGTCTTAGTCACTAAATTTTGTCTGTTTCTTATTACATTGTCTTTTCCGTCTATTCCTTTCTTTTCATTACCTTTCAGGGCCAGGCCTTTCAATAGCTCACTGAACTCCTGGAACTAGCCACCTAACTTCTCTCTTCACCCACAGTCTTGCTTTCCTCCAGTTCTTCCTACATCCTGCTGCCACTTTCATATCACTCCCTGTTGAACTAGCTCCAGATATTTCTGTCCGTGTTCCCTATATGAAAATTCCAGTTGATCTGGGCAAGCCAGACCTATTCTCTCAGCATTTACTGTATTTATCTGGCTATGTGCTCTTAGATATGCTAGTCCGATTCTCTGGAATACTCCTTTCTTTGTCATCTATGCGAGTCATACTAATATTTCATGATTTACATCAAATCACTCTTCCTTCTGTAAAATTCCTGATCACTCTGTCGTGTGGTGTCTTCTCCCTTCTCTGGCATCCTAGGCCTTCTTATGTGAATGACAATATCATACATTCCTGCACAGATGCTACATTTTGTTACTTTGTATTGTTCATCTGCTTATCTAATATTCTTGTACTCATGACCTAACTCTACTACTTCATTTATATGCTTTTTAAGGTGTGTAATGAAACCTTATATCTGTTTTGGCTCTTAGCACATTCCTGTATACAATATAAAGCAAGCTATTATAGTTGATGAATAAATAGTATTTTGGTAAATTTTTTTTTTTCATGAAGCTATCCTAGAGATTGAAGAGGTCTTAATCCAGTTGACCTAGGGCTGAGTGAAAAAGTCGATGTTTACGAATCTAAATCCCTTCATGATTTTATGGTCCATGATTGCATATCCTTTTATCTTTCTACAGTGATGAGTTTTACTCTTTGTAGTCTATATTTTCATGCAGAAGCTGGCACCCTTGATCATTTTATTGCCTTCCCTAAACCTTCCCTGGCTGCGTATTTTTTTCCTTGAGGTGCAAATCGTTACTGCACACAGTGTAACAGGTGCACTTAGTTAACCATTATTGTAGCCTAGTAAAAACAAATTTAGTTTGGGTTCTTTAATTTTGTCTTTTATTCTTTTACTTACAGGTTATTTCTGACAGTCTTCTATAAAGTTTTTAAGAAGAACCAAGTTGAGGGGAAGGATTGGGGGAAGTTGGCATTTCATAGTCACATCATTTTTGTGTGAAGTGGAATTTGATGTGGGGTTTTTTGTACTATTTAATACAACTAAAACCTGATTGAATTCTATTTAAAGAAATAACCGCAGGGTGCCTTAGTCTCATGAATTATTTTTAATCACTCCAGTTGTGTTGAAAATGGATTTTATTTATGTTAACTGGTCAGAACAATTGTGAGGACAGTATTTTTGCAAAGCATTATTTAGCTACTAAATTATTTTTTTTAAACTGCTAGATTCCAAGGGGTTTTGTGGCTTACCACATCAAACAGTGATTATCTAAAACATAGGGTAGGAGGGCAGCTGATTACCCAATACACTTCCCACAAGTAACTCTGCCAGGAGGTTTTTGGAGAACCCCAAGGCAGAAATATTTTAATACCAGGGATGAACATCTTATTCAGTTCCTGTTATGAACATGTCCCTAAACTACACAGTATCATTTATACATCTTGAAGAAACACTCAGGGAATAGTGACAGGCTTTGTACACGTATCTTGGGCATCTTTCTGCAAATGTCAACCCCTTTAGTGCACCTTTTTTAAAATACAGCTACTCATAGGAGAGGCCAGACCATATTGAGCAGTGAGAGATTTATTAAAGTTTAGTTGGCAGCCAGATAGGTGCAAGAATTTAACATTAGGTAAGTTGGAATAAGTGTTGATGTGCTCCTAGGGAAGGTGAGAGTGTCAGCAGGGAGGAGAGAGTAGCAAGTAACCAAAAACATTGTTCACTGACTTCCTACTTGGTTCTGGTGGCCCTATGTGTGTTACCCCAAATCAGCTTTCTGGCTTCTACTGTTACACATTCAACATCTGATCTGAAAGAACACATGATGCAATGACAAAAGAAGGAAATGTATTGACCTCTAATATGCATGAGAGGCAAAGTTTTTGGTCGTTCATATATCACAGAACTAGGACAAGTGGGTGCTGGTGTTACATTTTGAATGGCTGTGTTGTTCTGCATCTGTGAATTTGACACTATTATACATACTACAGTTGGCCCTCCGTATCCATGGGTCCTGCATCCACAGATCCAAACAACTGTGGATTGAAAACATTAGAATAAAACTAAAACAATGAACAGTATAACAATAAAAATAATACAGATTTTAAAACAATACAGTATGACAGCTATTTACATAGCATTTACATTGTAGTTAGGTATTAAAAGTAACCTAGAGATGATTTAAAGTATGCAGGAGGATTTTGGTATCTACGAGGGTCCTGGAACCAATCCTCCAAGGATACTGAGGGATGACTGTATATGCACAAACTACCTTTCTGTTTGCAAGGCCGCTATTTACAATTGTGAATGAGGCATAAACCCCTAAAGTAGTCCAATCTTGCATGCTTCTTTGACCTTTTTTATACCTCTTTTGTATTTAATATTTAGATTGTCAGAATGGTGAAGAATTTAAAAGGCAGCCCAATAACTCTGTCGATAGGTGATGGTGCCAATGATGTTAGTATGATCTTGGAATCCCATGTGGGAATAGGTAAGATACATCTAATGAGATGGCAGCTGTAAAAAGTATCACTATTGCTTTTAGGTAGTGTGGTCTTACATTCTAGAGTGGCTGTTTTGGTTGCTCATCTTGAATTTGAATTTTGGAATTAAAATTGTTAATTAAATGAATGCCTCATCTGATCATGCAACATGTCCATCCCAAGGTCCTGCCCTGTGGTAGAAATGTAGCAATATAACAAAGTTAAAGGATGTTTTTCAATTAGCCAAGTAGAGTAAATTTCCCAAAGCTACTGGCAGCACAATTGATTGTTTAGCTCTTACTTTGACAGCATGTGTGAAACTTTTATTGATTTTCTGCCCCTGGCCAGACTGCCTACTTATGTTGCTGTCCTTTATCTTTTGAGACCTCAACTGTTTGGGGCTAAGAAATGATAATTGATTGGCTGTTTTTAACATGGCAGTATTAATGGGTGGTTTGGGCTGTAGTGTTGAATTTATATATTGACATGCAACAACAGCTTTTCCACCACCTGTATCACTTTTTCCTTCTCTGGTTGCTATTAGGCAGCACAGCTAACTCCCCAGCAAGTTAGTTAGCTAGTTTGTTTGTTTTGGCAGGGTGGTGGGACCAGATATGGAATTCGTATCTTGGGAATTATTGTACTGCAGTTTAGATTCCCAAATTGTTCTTTTCATTTGGAAGTATTCCTATTTATTGTGCAACTTTTAAGTTCTACTCATTGGTTATCCAAGTGTCAAATGGCCTAAAGCTGCTCGAGCTCATAGAACCCTTGCGCTGCTAGTCAGGGTTTCATTCATGGAAGAATTTCACCGTCTTCTCATTGAGCCCCTAGACCACTAACCCCAGGTTTCTGAGTTGCCTTAATATAGCACCTAGTCTAGGGTCATACACAATTTAGCCCTTACTGAGTGACTTAATAATTTTTAAGTTGAATTTTTTTCCTTCAGATAATTTTTGCCTTGTAATGATTGAAATAATGATTCTATTTAATTGTTGTATGCTGTGTTACAAATAGGGAGTTACCAGTTAAACTTAAATTATTTGGTAAGTCTCAGTGTCACTGTTAAAGAAAGCTCTTTTGGTTTTTAAAAAAGGAAAACTAAATGATAGAATTGAACTATAACATTTAACCAAGTTGAAACTATGAAAATAAATCAGGGAGTCATTTATTCTAGAAAATGCTCACTGTATAGAGATGCTCTCTTTTAGGTATTAAAGGCAAAGAAGGTCGCCAAGCAGCTAGGAATAGCGATTATTCTGTTCCAAAGTTTAAACACTTAAAGAAACTGCTATTGGCTCATGGACATCTATATTATGTGAGAATAGCACACCTTGTACAGTACTTCTTCTATAAGGTATGTGATAAAATATATGTAATTTAATTTCTTTTTAATCCAGCATTGACTCAGCTTGGTCATGGTGGTGGTGTTCTTCCTTTTTTTTTTTATGCTGCTTTTGCTATCTCATACTGAAATTTGCAGTCAACAAAGCAGAGGTTGTCTATTGGATGAATCAGAAAACAGAGATTCCTTTTGATGCAAAATATTTGATAGGAATTTTTAAGCCCTCTTTATTGAAATATAAATTAAATACAATAAAGTATATTCATCAAAAGTGTACAATTCCATGAGTTTTGCCAATTGTATACATCCATGTAACCATCACACCAGTCAAAAAATAGAACATTTTGGCTTGCTAGTGGCTCATTCCTGTAATCCTAGTGCTTTGGGAGGCCAAGGTGGGAGGATCACTTGAGGTCAGGATTTTGAGACCAGCCTGGGCAATAATATGAGACCTTGTCTCTACAAAAATAAAAATTTTCTAAAATGAAATTTTTGCAGTCATTTATAAATTGTCTATAAGCATGCCAACCAAGAGAACTACTGGTAACATTTTGATATGTGACCTTGCTTGTCTTTTGTCTGTATGAATTAATGTATATATGTATTTTTTTTGTACTTTTATACACTATACACTACATATGGGTTTTTAAAATTTTTTTGAGACATAATTTAACAAAATTCACCTTTTTTAAAGAAACATTTTCTTAAAGACAGAGTGTCTCTCTGTTGCCCAGGCTGGAGTGCAGTGGTGTGATCTTGGCTCACTGTAGCCTCTGTGTCCTGGGTTCAAATGATGCTCATGCCTCAGCTTCCCGAGTAGCTGGGATTACAAGCCCTTGCCACCACACCTGGCTAATTTTTGTGTTTTTAATAGAGACAAGGTTTCACCATGTTGGCCAGGCTGGCCTTGAACTCCTGACCTCAAGTGATCTGCCCCCCTCAACCTCTCAAAGTGCTGGGATTACAGGCTTGAGCCACCACACTTGGCCTAAAATTCACCATTTTAAAGTTTATAATTCAGTGACTATAGCGTGTTCACTATGATGTGCAACCATCATCATTGTCTAATTCTAAAACTTTTCTATCATTCCCAAAAGAAACCTTGTACCTATTGGTATAATACATATTGCTTTGCACTTTGCCTTTTTCACTTAATTTATATTGTGAACATTTTTCTCACCCAACTTAATATTCTTCCAAAACATAATTGTGCAACATCGCAAATCCCCAATATTGGACACTGAAGTAGTTTCCTCAACAATACCTTGGTTTCCTTTTATCACGAAGCATTAGTGTATACATTAGACTGAGTCTACATACCTGTTATTGTCTACCAGGGAATAGAATTTACTAAATTTCTTAATTAGATTCTAGTTTGTAGATAGAGTATTTAGTGCAGCTTCCAACTACTCGAATCATATAGTATTTAGTATATGATTCAAGTAGTCATATTTGAATTTCATACCCTATATTTTATAAGAGTTAAAGCTCAGCACCTGATTTTGTGTGTCAGTTGTCTATAGTCAACTCTAGGTCTTTCTTACTAACTTTATATTTAAAGAAAGTATTTATTTATAAAACTATGAACCCAGTTTCACACATTTTCTAAGACCCTGCTAGCTGGTATTTGCTGGTAGCCAGGCCAAACACTGTGGAGGAGGAAGATCATGATAATGATGATGGTAACCCAATATGTGTAAGGTGTTTTGTGAGTTCACAAAATCACTTTTTAAAAAATGTAATCCTCACAAACATCCTATGAAACAAGTAGTGTTATCTCCATTTAAGATACATGGAAAGTAGAGCTCAGAGAGATGATACAACTTGCCTTTGGCTTTCCATCCAGGAGGCGATGTTCCACCATAGACTCATTTACTCCAAATCCGGGACTTTTTATGTGTCACGGTTAGGGTCTTTTGGGCCTTGCACCCAGTAACAGTAGCTTATGGAAATAAAGAGTTATTCTGTCTTGACCTCCACCTAGCAGTAGATCCCTTGAAGATTTGTCATTCAGATCTGCCTAGTAATCTGAACCTATTCCAGAGGCTTATTTTGCCTCTTTTGAGTTTTGGCCTGCAGTTTAAGCAACTGCCACCAGATGGAAGGAATGCTCTGTTAAGGAGAACAAAACAAGCTTTAAAATGGCAAATGTTGACCAGTGGTTATTTATGTAGATTATATTCTCTGTCTTCGTTAGTGTCTCTAGGCTCATTATCATCTTGGTTACTGACTCAGCAGTATTTCTTTTTTATTACTATCTTCTGTGCCAAGAGGATTTCTAAAATTTTCAACTCTATTTGGCTGAGCTAAGAAGTCTTTCTGTCCTCTCACCATCATCTTCAAATTGTTATTGCCCACTCCTGGAGTACTTCAGTGACAGGTCTTCCTACCTTCTGTTTCTCCATTTAATCCTCCTTACATAATTCAGCTAGATTAGTGTTTAAAGAATGCCACTTTTCAACTTGTCCCTTAGAAACTTTACTCTCCATTGTCTCAGCTTTAGTCTGGCTTTTAATGCACCCCACAGTGTGACCCTGTCTTACCATATAAGTTTAAAATATATACATTTGGCCGGGCGCGGTGGCTCAAGCCTGTAATCCCAGCACTTTGGGAGGCGGAGAAGGGTGGATCACGAGGTCAGGAGATCGAGACCATCCTGGCTAACATGGTGAAACCCCGTCTCTACTAAATATTACAAAAAACTAGCCGGGCGAGGTGGCGGGTGCCTGTAGTCCCAGCTACTCGGGAGGCTGAGGCAGGAGAATGGCGTGAACCCGGGAGGCGGAGCTTGCAGTGAGCCGAGATCTGGCCACTGCACTCCAGCCTGGGCGACAGAGCAAGACTCCGTCTCAAAAAAATAAAAAATAAAAAAAATAAAATAAAATAAAATATATTCATTCTTGCCTTGGTTCCTGCCATCAACATGTCCTGTTCATCTTTATTCATAGTTCAAGTTCTAACTTCTTTATTCAGTCAGTCAACAAATATATTTTAAACGTGTTACCATGTGCCAAGGCCTGTTTTAGGCGCTTGAGGATACACCATGGTGTAAGACAGGCAGTGAGTGTCCCTGTTCTCATGAAAATTAGATTCTGGTGGGTGAGGTAGATACCCACTCTCCCTTGTCATGATGCAACCCTGTGATCCCCCACTGAGCTCTACCTGCTTCAACCTCAGAACACTTATTTTTTTCATAAACTGTGACTCTAGAAATACTATGGACTATATTTTGCACTGTACCAGAACTGATAATGTACAAATGAGTGTTGCTTTTCCAGGTGATGACCTTGGGAGCTCTGACTCATGCTGCAGGGGTGATTCAAAACATGTTGAGCTCATTTCTTTCGAAACATCCTCCAGAGTCAGTAGTACATTGATCTAAATATCCTCAGCTGTGGTAGATGTTCATCCTTTGGGGTTGCATTTGATTATTAAAAACAGTCTCGGCCGGGCACGGTGGCTCAAGCCTGTAATCCCAGCACTTTGGGAGGCCGAGACGGGCGGATCACGAGGTCAGGAGATCGAGACCATCCTGGCTAACACGGTGAAACCCCGTCTCTACTAAAAAGTGCAAAAAACTAGCCGGGCGAGGTGGCGGGCGCCTGTAGTCCCAGCTACCTACTTGGGAGGCTGAGGCAGGAGAATGGCGTAAACCCGGGAGGCGGAGCTTGCAGTGAGCTGAGATCCGGCCACTGCACCCCAGCCTGGGCGACAGAGCGAGACTCCGTCTCAAAAAAAAAAACAAACAAAAAAAACAGTCTCAAGTCTCCTAGAGCTCATTCTGGAGAATTAGCTGACAGAAGGGAGGAGACTAGTTTTCTGGCATGACTGGAAAGTGGGCTGTTGAAGGGGCTTCTCGAAGAGAAGTTCAGAGACGTCATGAACAAGTAACAGCAAAGAAGCTCACAGCCTGCTTTGAAGAATAGCACTTATTTGAAAATTCTAGTCCTGGTAGTTTTGCCTAAAGACATTAATATCAGTATTTTATAATCACACTTAGTAACTTTTACTACCTTATGACTTCCCAGCTTGTGTTTCTTTTCTGCTTATCTTTTTAGTATTTCTAAAATTAAACAATATGTCCCTTAGGACAGTGGTCCCCAACCTTTTTGGCACCAGGGATCTCAGGCCCTAATGCTCACTTGCCTGCCGCTCACCTCCTGCTGTGCATCCTCGAGGGAGGGGAGGGGGTCCCTGACTTAGGAAAAAGAAGTTGACTCTTTTTTTGGTGTCATCTGTGTGCCATCTTTGTGTGTAGTAGATGTTCAATAATGATATGTTGATTGTTTGATGAGATAGTAATAAAGGCATTAAAGCATTAGTTGATATTGTTAGTGTCAACATAATCTATAATAATTTCCCAACTATTTGTTGGCATTAATTGACTTTAAATGTACACTTGCAGCATTGTCAGTCTACTATATGGTTTGCAAATCTAATTGGTGTTAAAGATACAGTGTCATTAGGTGTTCATATTGGATGAGCTCATTTATTTCCTGGAAGAAGGATAGCAACAGATTCTCATTAAGTAAATAAGATCCTCTTCTGCCTTGATAGGGCAAAAGTTGGCCTTGATATGAATTAATCATTTTTTTAGTTGTTTCCTTATGTCTGTGGAATAGAGGTTTATTGCATTCTGGCATTAGAAGGATTTAGGAATAATTATAAACTGTTTGGAATATAGTTTCCCATTTTAGTTTAGCAAGTTGATTAAGTGAAAATGTTAATCCTTGTCTTCATTTTTTTTTTCAGAACCTTTGTTTCATTTTGCCACAGTTTTTGTACCAGTTCTTCTGTGGATTCTCACAACAGGTTTGTTTCCCAAGTTTTCGTTATAATGTAGTTTACATTTGCTGTTAATAAATTACCCTTATATATTAGATTTATAGAGATTAGAGATGTATATACAAAGTAAAAGCATCTCTTGGTTTTGACGATAGCAAATGTGTATGTCTTTGCTTTACTAGCTTTCTTATTGTTACCTTCATTTTGAAATGCTTTTGGTACATCCTGTTGGAGATGTGATAACATTAAAAAGAGTATTTTGAATTTTTTCTTTTTATCAATGTATAAAATGTTTCATAATTCTAAAATGTTATAGTTTAATATTTTATCAGATGAAATCTCCCAACTTTGCAGGCTCTCAGGTTAGTTTTATAGAAAAACATTAATCTTTAAGCTATCCAAGAACCTGTGATTCCTAGAGAAAGCCTTGGATTACGTAAAGCAGCTATAGATGTTTTGCCTTCTGTTGTTTTCTGAACATGTATTACATAAGGAATATGTTATATATTAACTTGATACATAAGTGGTAGGATGGCGAGGCATCTTTGTTTTAGAAACTGTAATGGATTTGACATTGCTTCTAATGGGAGGTATAGCAAAATACAGGAACTTATAATACTCAGTGACTCAGAAATTTTATAATTAATCTATGAGAAGTTCAATGATTTTTCCAAACTGAGCTACCACATTGCCATAGGTGTTAAGTTTCTAAATTTCAAAGGCAAGCTTTACATATGCTTCTGTGAATACAAAGTACACTTATGAATACACTTATGTATTCTTCTTGGTTCCTCCTGGTAGGAAGTGATTTTTTTCTAATTCTTTGGCAGCATTTTTTTTTTTTTTTTTAACTTTTAGGTTCAGGAGTGCATGTGCAGGTTTATATTGGCAAACTCATGCCACAGGAGTTTGGTGTTCAGTTTATTTTGTCACCCAGGTAAAAAGTATAGTACCTGGTAGGTAGCTTTTTGTTCCTCTCCCTCCTCTCACTCTCCACCCTGAAGTAGACTCCAGTGTCTTTTTCCCTTCTTTGTGTCCATATGTTCTCATTGTTTAGCTCCCACTTACAAGTGAGAACATGCTGTATTTGGTTTTCTCTTTCTGCATTAGTTTGCTTAGGATGATGGCTTCCAGCTCCATCCGTGTTGCTGCAAATGACATGATCTTATTCTTTTTTATGTTTGCGTAGTATTTCACGGTGTATATGTACCACATTTTCTTTTTCCAGTCTACCATTGATGGGAATTTAGGTTGATTACATGTCTTTGATATTATGAAGAGTGCTGCAGTAAACGTGTGTATGTGTCTTTATGGTGGAATAATTTATATTCCTTTGGGTATATACCCAGTAATGGGATTGCTGGGTTGAATAGTAATTCTGTTTTAAGGTCTTTGAGGAATCATCACACTGCTTTCCACAATGGCTAATTTACATTCTCACCAGCATTCTACAAGTGTTCCCTTTTTTCTGCAACCTTGCCAGCATCTGTTTTTTTTTTTTTTTTTTTTTTTTTTTTTTTGACTTTTTAATAATAGCCATTCTGACTGGTATGAGATGGTATCTTGTTTTTGTTTTGATTTGCATTTCTCTAATGATTAGTGATGTTGAGCGTTTTTTCATATGCTTGTTGGCTGCGTGTTTGTTTTCATTTGAAAAGTGTCTGTTCGTGTCCTTTGCCCACTTTTTAATGGGGCGATTTGATTTTTGCTTACAAATTTATGTAAGTTCCTTATAGATGTTGGGTATTAGACATTTGTCACATTCATCATTTGCAGATATTTTCTCCCGTTTTGTAGGTTATCAGTTTACTCTGTTGACAGTCATCTTCTTGTATGCAGAAATTCTTTATTTAATTAGGTAACATTTGTCAGTTTTTGTTTTTGTTGCTATTGCCTTCAGCATCTTTGTGATGAAATCTTTGCCAGCTCCTATGTCCAGACTGGTATATCCTAGGTTATCTTCCAGGGTGGTTATAGTTTTAGGTTTTACATTTAAGTCTTTAATCCATCTTGAGTCGATTTTTGTATATGGCATAAGAAATGGGTTCAGTTTCAATCTTCTGCATGTGGCTAGCAAGTTATCCCGTGCCATTTATTGAATAGGGATTCTTTTCCCCATTGCTTGTTTGTGTCAGCTGTGTTGAAGATCACGTGGTTGTAGATATGTGGCCTTATTTCCGGGCTCTCTGTTCTGTTCCATTGTTTTATATATGTCTGTTTTTGTACCATACCATGTTGTTTTGGTTACTGTAGCCTGTAGTATAGTTTGAAGTCAGGTAATGTAATGCCTCCAGCTTTGTTCCTTTTGCTTAGGATTGCCTTGGCTATTCGGGCTCTTTTTTGGTGCCATATGAATATTAAAATATTTATTTCTAATTCTGTGAAGGATATAATTACTAGTTTGATAGGAATAGCATTGAACTTGTAAATTGCTTTGGGCAGTATGGCCATTTTAACAATATTGATTCTTCCTATCCAAGAGCATGGAATGTTTTTCCATTTGTTTGTATCATCTCTGATTTCTTTGAGCAGTGTTTTGCAATTTTCATTTTAAAGATCTTTCACCTCGCTGGTTAGCTGTATTTCTAGGCATTTCATTATTTTTGTGGCTATTGTAAATGGGATTATGTTACTGATTTGGCTCTCAGCTTGGATGTTGTTGGTATATAGGATTGCTACTGATTTTTGTACATTAATTTCGTATCCTGAAACTTTGCTGAAGTTAACAGGTCAAGCTTTTGGGCCAAGGCTGTGAAGTTTTCTAGATATAGAATCATATTGTCTGCAAACAGGGATAGTTTGACTTCCTGTCTTCCTATTTGGATGCCTTTTATTTATTTCTCTTGCCCAATTGCTTTGGGTAGGACTTTCAGTACTATGTTAAATAGGAGTGGTGAGAGAGGGCATCCTTTTCTTCTTCTAGTTTTTGAGGGAATGCTTCCAGCTTTTGCTTGTTAAGTGTGATGTCGGCTATGGGTTTTTCTTAGATGGCTCTTATTATTTTGAAGAATGTTCCTTCAATGCCTAGTTTGTTGAGAGTTTTTTAACATGATGGATTTTATTGAAAACCTTTTCTGCATCTATTGAGATGATCATGTGGCTTTTGTTTTTAGTTCTGTTTATGTGATAAATCACATTTATTGATTGGCATATATTGAACCAACCTTGCATTCTAGTGATAAAGCCTGCTTGATCATGGTGGATTAGCTTTGTGATGTGCTGCTGGATTCAGTGTGCTAGTATTTTGTTAAGTGTTTTTGCATCTATCTTCATCAAGGATATTGGCCTGAAGTTTTCTTTTTTGTTGTTGTTGTGTCTGTGCCAAAGTTTTCGTATCAGAATGATGCTGGCCTCAGAATGATTTAGGGAGAAGTCCCTCCTCCTCAATTTTTTGGAATAGTTTCAGTAGAAATGCTACAGATCTTCTTTTTGACTGTGACTCCATCTGGTCATGAGCTTTTTTTTGGTTGGTAGACTTTTTATTAGCATTCAGTTTTAGAAGTCATCGGTCTTTTGAGGGATTCAGGAAATCCCTGGTTTTCTGACTGGTTCAGTCTTGGGAGGTTGTACATGTCCAGAAATTTAACCATTTCTTGTAGGTTTTCTAGTTTGTATGCATAGAAATGTTCATAGTAGTCTCTGGGGTTTTTTTTTTTTATTTCTGTTGTGTCTGTGTATCATCTGCTCTGTCATTTCTGATTTTGTTTATTTGAATCTTCTCTTTTTTTTCTTTATTAGTCCAGCTAGTGGTCTATATATATTATTAAATGTTTTCAAATAACCATCTCCTGGATTTCTTGGTCTTTTGTATGGTTTTTTGCATCTCAGTTTCCCTCAGTTCAGCTCTGATTTTGGTTATTTCTTGTTTTCTTCTAGCTTTGGGGTTGGTTTGCTCTTGTTTCTGTAGTTCCTCTAGTTGTGATGTTGGGTTGTTAATTTGATTTCTTTCTTTCTCTCTCTCTCTCTCTTTCCCTCCCTCCCTCCCTCCCTCCCTCCCTCCCTCCCTCCTTCCTTCCTTCCTTCCTTCCTTCCTTCCTTCCTTCCTTCCTTCCTTCCTTCCCTCCCCTCGCACTCCCCCTCCCCTTCCCCTTCCCCTTCCCTTTCCCGAGTCTTGCTCTGTCACCCAGGCTGGAATGCAGTGGTATGATCTTGGCTCACTGCCACCTCCACCTCCTGTGTTCAAGTGATTTTGATTTCTCCTGCCTCAGCCTCCTGAGTAGCTGAGATTACAGGTGCCTGTCACCACACCTGGCTGATTTTTGTATTTTATTAGAGACGGGGTTTCACCATGTTGGTCAGGCTGGTCTTGAACTCCTGACCTCAAATGATCTGCCTATGTTGACACCTCCCAAATTGCTGGGATTACAGGCTTGAGCCACTGTGCCTGGCCTTCTTTTTAACTTTTTGATGTAGGTGTTTAGTGCTATAAATTTCCCTCTTAACACTTCCTTAGCTGTGTCCCAGAGATTCGGGTATGTTGTATCTTTTGTTCTTTATTAGTTTTAAAGAAATTCTTGATTTTTGCCTTAATTTCATTATTTACCCCCAAATCATTCAGGAGCAGGTTAATTTCCATGTTGCTGTATGGTTTTGAGTGATTTTCTTGGTATTCATTTCTATTTTTATCACACTGTGGTTTGAGAGTATGGTTGGTATGATTTTTGTTTTTTTGGAATTTGCTGTGGATTGTTATGTCCAATTGTGTGGTTAATTTTAGAGTATGTGCCATGTGGCGATAAGAGGAATGTATATTCGGTTGTTTTGGGGGTAGAGAGTTCTGTAGATGTCTATTAGGTCCATTTGGTCACATGTTGAGTTCAGGGCCTGAATATCTTTGTTAATTTTTGACCTCAGTGATCTGTCTCATACTGCCATCAGTGCCATATCATTAGCCCCCAGTAGTGCCAGTTAAACAGATCATCTTTCATTATAAATTAAGCATCTTTCAGTTTTTGGAAGTGCCATCAACCTTCTTGTATTAAAATTAATAGTATTAGAGAGTTTCGTAAGTTCTGATCAATCCGTTTTTCTTGAACATTCAAATTACTAGTGAGCAAAATGTTGCTAATTCCTTACTTTCTTGGATGAATGCAAGTATTAAAAATATATGAAATTCTCTTAACTAATGTGTAGCAGTGTGCTAAAGGTTAAGTTGGCTTGTTCTGGTGGAAATACTGTTTTCATTTTGAAAGGAGTCTGTTGCTTTATTATCCTTTTAAAACGTGTTTACCAAGCACAAGTTTTAGGGCAAAAAGGACTTACTCCTTATAAAACCAGCTGAGATTTAAACCGTGGATTGTCTTCAGTCTTCTTAGATTACCTTAACTGCTTATGGTTCCATAGGAGTTGATGTTTGGCTCCTTCTGTTGCTCAACTGGTAGGTTCATTCATTTGGCAACTATTTCTTGATTGCCTGCTTTGTGCCAGGATAAGTGCTGAGAATATTGCAGTGATCAAAACAAACTTCTTCCCCCCGTGAAACTTGCAGTGTATAGTGATAGGGTGAAAGCCAACAATCAAATATATTATGCTGGGTACTGATATATGCTATGGTGGAAAAAAGAAAGCATAATAAAGGGATAGAGTGTGACTGGGAGAGAGAGAGCTGCTGTTTTAGACATCTGAAAAGGTCTCTCTGATGAGATGACATTTGGGCAGAGACCTGGAGGTAAGGGAAGGAATAACGTGGACATCTTAAAGGAAAAGTATACCAGGTAAAAGGAAGGTAAAAGTGTACCAGGAGAGCTCAGGAGGTAATGTGATGTGCAAAATCTTTATTTTTGATTTTGGTTTTGTGCTAGTGCTGAATGTAGCAACCTTTATTGCAAATATCTTTGGAGTGCCTATGAGTAGTCTGTCTTTTTCAGTCCAGAAGCACATTAGGCATTCTCTGGAACTTGCAAGGAAGACTATGAAGAATGTAGAAATGGACCAGGGTTCAGATTCTTTACACAAAAAGCTTCCCTTTCTTTAGCAAAACTAGGATACTAAATGTCTTTTGTTTAATGAAAAGAAAACATTGTAACAGGTTTCATAAAAAAAAAAAACAGTATTATCAACTATATCTGTTTGTTTTGGGAATATTCTGCCTCTTCTAATTATGTACCTAAGAATTACAATTATCGGTCATGTGATTTTAAAGTATCATAGTGAAACAAAAGTAGATTGATGCTTCTTTTGTTTGAATGAAATTCAAGACTAAATTATACACCAGTCAATCTGAGTTGTACTTTTTAAAATTTACTTGTTAGTGAAAATGAGTAGTTTCCAAAGAAAGTATGGTGTTATGTGCCACGGACTAGTCCTCTCCTTTGAAAACAAAAAGGAATGCAACACCTTTTTTTGTACTTTTAAATTCAGTGGAATATCTTTGTTGAGCTTAAATCTTTGTTTATAGAAAGTATGTTGGAAGTGTCTTTTAACTTCATGGAGAATGTTGCATCCATTATCATTTGCTTTGTCTCTCCTGCCAGCCAGAGTTGTAGTCCCCTCCTCGGGGTTTCCCCAATTCCGCCTCTCCATCTAGAATTTGAACTCTCTGGTGGACAGGGGATGAATCATCTCTGTCCCTAGTACTTGTCATTTAGTAGGCACTCAGTAAATGTTCTGAAGTCAACTAGTAAACTAACTAATGCACCATTCAAGTAATTCCCAGCCTTTTGGAGTCAGTCTTCATTATGGTAGTAATTATCTTTAGTAGCCATTGATTGAAAATACATTATTTTGTTAATTTTTGTCATAGTTAAATGCATTTTATTAAGGGACATTTATACATGTGAAAAATACATATGAGTATGGGGAATTATTCAGGCCACAGAAAATGTTTGTATGACAATCTTTAGCACTGTGTAGATAAATACTGATGTAAATACTTTCATCAGAATGAGGTTCATAGAATTTTTAAAATTTTTTTCAATAAAGGAGGATTTATAATATCAGAGCAGGCCTTTTCAAATGTTACAGCTTCCAATCTGTACTCATTCATTTATTCATCTAGTATTTATTCATTGTTTTTTGTATGCCAAGTTCTGTTATAGGAGCTCAAGATTGTCCAAGTTGTCCAGTCAAAGACCACCAGGAATACACTTGTAGTTGATCAAATTAGGTTTATTACTCAGTTCAGGAAGGAAGAACACACACCATGGGAAACTGTGGGGCTTCTCAGGAAGAGGATGTTAGAAAAGACTTACACAATTTGGACTTGAAAATACTAACCAAAATATGTAAAATATTAACCAACACGTTTGTGACACAGGCTGATTGCTGCCTATATTTAGTTTCTCTAAGAATTCCTCACTTACACTTAATGGTGTTTGCTGAAGTAACTCCTGAATAGCTAGTTTTAGCTATTAAGCAACCTTGAAAAGTTATTAATGTCTATTAGAAATGCAACTTATAGCATGTAAACATTCTGAATAAGATTCTGTTAAAGGGGAGGTATATTAATGTGATACATCACAATACGTTAGTTTCTTTTTTATAGTTACTAGGCAGTGACCTTGTTTACAGTTTCCTTTGCCACTACCAAAAGCATGTAAAAAAGTTTCTTATTTTAGCTAGTAAGTTTTCCTCATACATAAATATCATCTTGTAGATGATTGTTACATGAAATTTCTTTCTTTCCTCTGTTGTTTTTCATTTTAGCCACTGTATGATGCTGCTTACCTTACAATGTACAATATCTGCTTCACATCCTTGCCCATCCTGGCCTATAGTCTACTGGAACAGCACATCAACATTGACACTCTGACCTCAGATCCTCGATTGTATATGTAAGTTAAATATATAGTTAAAACCCCCTAAGACTTTCAGTGTTGTGGTTTTCATTTTATCTGTAGATGGGAAGAATGCAGAAGAATGCACTTGGTTTGTGGTATGATTATGCGGTTCTCTTTGGAATTTTTAGCTATTGAAAGCAGACTGCTTAACAGGAAAATGACATATTTCCTAGGTGTGGGTTCTGTACTTGAATATATGTGAAACATTTAGTTCAGAGTCACTAATTCCTAAAACTTAAACCTACATTGTTATAGTGTTCTGGTGTCTCATGGGAAGACATGATATTTTAACTGCAAAGAAAAAAAAAGCATACACAAAGATCTTCCGTAGTTTAGAATATTGATTCCTACTTGTTGTAGATTGAACCGATGAAGTTATATTACCCTTTCTCATGTAAACTGTGCCTATAGCATTAGCCGCCCCACACCCCTCCTTTATTAGCCCCATTCTAAAACTGTTTTGTTGAAGAAAATAATGGACTCATAAGCCATTGTATTCATTTTGTGTCAGTTGAAAATGGATGCTTTTCTCTGTGGATGGGGGACTTGGCACTAGCCCCAGTTGTTTAACTTATGATTTAATTGGATTTTTAGAATTGTAGCCTACAGCTAAGGATAAAGATATTAATTTACAGCAGATTGTAAGCATTGCTAAATAGTAGGTAGCAAGTGCAATAGAGAGGTTTGGATAGTTTATTTGTATGAAATGATGATACACAAATTTAAGGGATTTTTTTTTTAACCGGCATGACTCATAAAATTTACATTTAGCAATTGTTAAGAATTATACAGTTGTAAAATTTATCATTTTAAAGGTCTTTATTAAAGAAAATTTCAGACATACATAAAAGTAGAGAGAATGCTATTTATATAATGAATGAATGTAAATAGTTGTTGAACCACTCAGCTTGTCCTAACCACTTAGCTTCAACAACTCTCAATTCCTTGACATTCCTATTCCACTGATAACCCCGTCTACTCTATCACAGGCTTATTTTGAAGCACATCTCAAAAACAGTTATTTCAGTATGCATCTCTTAAAGATAAGGATTTTTAAAAATAATAATACCCTATCACTTAAGTCCTTAATATCAGATAGTCAATGTTCACATTTCTCCAAGTGACTCATTTTTTTCATAGCATGCTTATTTGAATCAAGATCTAAAGAAGGTCCGCACATTGCAATTGGTTTATATACTTTCGGAGTCTCTTTTAATGTGTAGGTTAACCTTGCAATTTATTTGTGGAGAAAACCAGATTATTTATGTTGTAAAATTTCTCCCAGTCTAGAGTTTGCTGATTGTATCCTCATGGTGTTTACATATTCTGCTGATCCTGTATTTGTTGTAAATGCATAATTAGATCTAGAGGAGAATCATTAGAACTTTGGTAGAAATCTTACAAGCATCAGCTCCTACTACGCTCTTTATGAAAATAAGGAACCAGGGCCCAGAAATGACTTACCTAAGGACACAGAGTACAACCAGATGCAAAATGAAGATCAGAATTCAGCCCTCTTTCCAGTGCTTTTTCTAGCAGGCCAGTGGTTTTAAAACATTGTTTTAACTGTAGTTGTTTCCAGACAACTTGTAAAGAGAAGCCCAATAGTGCAGTTGCTCTGATTGAAGTGGGGTTTGAGGAGTAGTAAGCAGAATTCCCCCCATTCAGTCCCACCAAGAGCTCAGACTAACATCTGGGCTGAAAGCCTCTGCCACTTACCGTGTGACCTTATGCAGGTTACTGCAATGTGCCTCAATTTCATCTTCAGTAATATATGGGCAACAGTAGCACCTAATCACAGTGGTTTTGTGAGGAATAAATGAACCACTATGTATTAAAGAACTTAAAAAAATAGTGCCTGACAAGTTTTCAAGCAACGATAGCTATTAATCTTACTATTCTAACACCCTCCTCCAGCCTTCAGGGCTCTGCTGAGTACTTGTATAAATTAAGAATGTCAAAAATCTGCAAAAACCTGTTGAGTACAAAATATCGTAAGGGTTTCCATAAGGTTTTAGTGACTGTGCTGTAGGTGTAGGTCATGATTTATTGAATTGTGTATAGACTTGCCACATCTGATGCAAAAATAAAGACCGTGGCATACCTTTTGCTGAGCCCAAAGTGCAGCTTTCCTTTTTGACTTCATACTTGCAAGCCGTGAATGCCTGCTCTGACAAGACACTGCTCTTGACCTGTCACCAGACGATAGGTAGTTTATTTACTCTGACTGTTCCTTTGTGAACATGAAGCCCTGGTCTTCCTATATGGCTTTCTGTACAGTATACCAATTAATATTAGCGGTGGCATTGTATAGTGTATTATAGATTTTACCTTTGGTGATTTAGTGACTTGGGTATTACCAAACACTTGGATGTGAAACGACATAATTGGATGTTTTTATATTTTTAAGAGACATTTAAAAAGTAAACTGTAGTTTTTCTATAGAGGGAACAGGTGTAATTTGTTTCTTCTACAGCTTTAAAAGGCAAAAGAAAGCGTTCTGGTATACCTGCTGCCTACCATAATATGGAGGTGCTCAGGCCTGTGCTGCTCATCAGCCTCTCCCCAGATCTTGATTCTCTCTCATGCTCTCCTTCACGTTGATTGCCCCATTCTGAGTTTTTGACAGCTTCTTTATTCGAATGCAGCTAGAAAACCTGACCTATAATTCAACATATCATGCTGCTCCTGCTATTTTCCCACACTGAATGAGATGTACTTCCCATCAGTGGTCTGTAAAGACAGGAACTACTTCCTGCTTTTGCCCTTTCTTCTCCAGCCCAAGTCAGTGACTGTCAAAAGCCACATTGGCTGGCAGTTGTTGGGCACTGCCTGCAAGGATCTTTACAGAGGTGCCTTACCTGTGGTTCCTAGTTGCCTTGGAAACATGACTTACTGGCTATGGGGAGAGCTTGTTTCTGGGAAGTAGCTATCTCATTCTGCCATTTTTCTAGGACAGAGAGCATACGCTGAGTTTCAGATCGCTGCATGCACCTGGAAATCCTAATAGGTAAAAGTTGCATAATTGCCATGTGCACGAAACCCCATGGTACTCAATACCAACTGAACAAGGATCATTTGCATTTACATTACAAAGGTGTTTCTTACTCGATACAACCCAGTGACATTCTTGGTAGTATTAGCGACAAGTATGTTATTTGAGTAATTAGATATCATTTAGTAAATGTTAAGAGCAATTTGAAATAGAATCCAAAAGAAACACATGCACCAACCCATCTTTTTCTGCAGCTCTGCTCCATTAGAATTGGTAGCCTTATTTAGCATTCTGACTTGTGCTGAGAAGGTTGTACTATTTTTGACAGATTTAAACTTAATCTATCCACCTCCCATTTATCAAAGTATCATTATACAACTCCAGACATGTTATTTGACTTGACGGAAAAATATAAAGGGCACCGTAAGACCTAAAAAAAAAAAAAAGGTTAAATTTCCAGGTATAAATCTTGATTAAAATAAATATCTTAATTGTTCTTGGAAAGCTTGGTAGCTTGGTTGAGAGCATATGCTCTGAAGTCAGGTCAATCCAGGATTGTATATTAACTCAGTCTCTTACCAAGTGAACTTTGGCACAGCTGCTACACTAGTGGTTCCCAGACTATACTGCACATTGAAGTCAGCTGGGGGGCTTTAAAAATATCCTGACCTCCAGGTTATACTTTATGCCAATTAAATCAGAATGAAGATGGCAACCAGGCATTAGTTTTTAACGATCCTCAGGGGATTCCAAAGTGCATCAAAGTTTGAGCACCATTGTGTTACACCTTTCTGAGGCTCCTTATTATTAGCAGATATGAGTAGTAGTAATACCTATCTCATGTTTTTATGTGGTTGAAAATAAATGTCTATAAAACTCTGAACCCAGTTCCTGGCATATAAGTACCATTAAATGGAAGCAAATTATTGTTGATGTTATTGTTGCCAGTGGCCAAAAATTTAGAAGAGTTTAGAGAGTTTACTCCAGTGGCTGAGTCAGGAGATGATTGCGTGAAGGTCAGCCTTTGGCTCAGTCTGACCCTTTACCAAAAATCTGTCAGGCCATTAAGGGTAGCCCCCTTCATTATAACAGGGTCAAACTCCATGCCCACTTGACATTTCACTGCATGTTTAAATGAAAAGTTTCACTAATGTTTTTTTCTCCCCATTTCTCAATAGGAAAATTTCTGGCAATGCCATGCTACAGTTGGGCCCCTTCTTATATTGGACATTTCTGGCTGCCTTTGAAGGGACAGTGTTCTTCTTTGGGACTTACTTTCTTTTTCAGACTGCATCCCTAGAAGAAAATGGAAAGGTAAAAAGAACCTGTCATTACATCTTTTGGTATTATAAGCATGGCTTATCTTTTTCCCATAGGCACTGGATCTGTCATATACATACTCTAGCTGTAATCATTCTACAAACTTTTTCTGAAGATGCAGTAGTTAGTTCTCACAGCTTCTTTAGAACAATAGAAGTGAAATAAGAAATCGCTTTCTGTGTGCATGGCTAACTAGAGAGCTTATGTGCAAACTTTCTGGAACCTTAACTTGGCTGCAATTTTTACTAGATGAACAGAGTTCTTGGGACTTCAGACTTCCGCTCTTTGATGTGAGAAAGGTTTTTCCCATTTTAAAGTAAAGCCCAGCTGCATTCATTTCTTACTTATAGTGGCCTTCTATGCTTCTAGCTGAAGGGGGTAGCTGCCATATCTTTGGAGTGTTTGCCCAGTAGGTGAAGAGAGGAATTGTCTTCTCTCCCTCCTCTTCCCAGTGGAAGCACAGTATTCTCCAGAAAGGCTACTCTGCTCCTGCCAGTGTCTTCCTAGAACATGACTATCTCATTCGGCAGTTGCACTGGGATAATTTTGCCCTGGCTGTACTCTAGGAGAAAATTACTGATGAAGGGGACAGGTGAGGCCTTCTTCCTGCAGCCACACATAGGAAAACAAAAACACTACCTTGCATACTGCTTTCACTAAGTTCTCCTTTGCTATTTCTGAGATTCTCCTTTTATGCTCATTCATTCTTTGTAATCATAATGTGAAGGAAAGCTAAGGTTCAAAAAGGATTTACTGAGGACACTATGTCTGGAACCTGGTAACACCTGTTACAGAAGTAATAAGTTCAGTGAATTTGAACGGTACTTTAAAATTAGGCACTACAGTCAAAAGCTCTCTAATTTGGACTAACAAAAATCAGTGTAGTATGAATCCATGAAAATTATTAATCACAAAGTACTTGCTGGGGAAACACAGATCTACTTTAAAGTAGTCACATGTAGAACTTGCCGAAGAGAGTGTCCTCATAAATCCTGTGCGTACTTGGGAAAATCACATCAGTTTCCCAGGTCAGCTTTGCCCATCAGTAAGAAGAATGGATTTGATTTTATGATTTCCTGGCCTCTTCAGGTTTATAACTGATTGTGTGACTTTCACTTTTTATTTTAGTTTTATTTGGCAGTCAGATTTTATATAACTGGCTACTGCTTAAAAGGAGTTTACTCCAAAGTAGGCAGATACTCTCCTATAGTCAGTGTGATTCATTTGCTCAGCCAACTTTCCAGGTGGTGCATGAGAGCATCAGTTAAGTGTCTGTTTAATTCATTACCCATTTTGAGTTCATAAAGTCCAAATTAATAAGGTTTTACTGTATAAGTCACCTTCCCTCTAAATGTTTGCTGAAATTACAGTAAGTGTATGAATTACTACTAGCAAGAAAACATAACACTCATATATGATTTGAGTGAATCCTTTTTTTTTTGCTTCTATTAACCTTAATTTTTGTTTTTATTTTTTTGAAAAAGCCTTTTACATCTCATTTTCTGTTTTAATGTTACGCATTCAGATCTTGACAGCATTTGGTAAGCATATGTGCCATTCATTGCCATCATTTGGATTTATACATGGTATCTGCTTTTTTTTTTTTTTTTTTTTTTTTTGATGTGCACATGCTGATAGCTCTTGTATTTACAACCAGAAAAATCAGACTCATTTAAAAAATGTAAATCCATTTGTCTACAAATTATTGCTCATTTGAGAGGTTTAATTCTATATTATAAGAAAATCCCATATCAGATTCTTTAGAGATATGAATCATCCAAATGACTTGTTTTGATGAACACTGCTGCTATTAGAGTAGTTGCTTTCTTTGGCCTTTATCACACCAGTGAGTTCCCTGTTCAATGCTGCATGGAGTAATAGAAATAAACCCTACCAACCACAGGTGTAGTGTACCTGTTTGTGAAAATTGGATCCCAGGAAAATCTGGCATTGTGGCCTGATCTTACTGACTAGCTGTTCCCTAAACAATTCATACAAAAACATTTGGCACTTATACACAGGATTAAACTTGGCTTTTTTTTTTAAATGAAAAAATACTAAGATAATACTTGTGTATACATGATACATGTAATTATTAAATGTTTTTCAGGTATACGGAAACTGGACTTTTGGAACCATTGTTTTTACAGTCTTAGTATTCACTGTAACCCTGAAGGTTAGATTTTTACTTATTCATATATTTTTTAATACTGTTTTTGTAGTACTTTCTTGTCTTATCCTAATATACCATTTTTTGGTCTCCTTTATTTTTTGCTATGGGTTGTTATTCAAGTATTTGCCTTAGTACTTACTAAAATGTGTATGATGCTAGGGATTTGCGTATTTGTATACTATTTTTGATCAATTTTTTCCCAGTGTATCGTAATCCTCTTTATTTTGTTTTACTTAAAAAAAATTCAAACACCATACTTATGTTGAAAATCTGTTTCTTCTTTATTGCTATTTTTAAGGCGTTATGATAAGTGGCATATAAACAGGCTGTGGGTGAGAGCAAGAGAGGGAGAGAGAGAGAGTGTGTGTGTGTGTGTGTGTTTGTGTGTGTGTGTGTGTAATTATGTTAAGTACTTGAATCTTCTAAAAATTATACATCTGTTTAAGAACCCCAGGCCTCAAATAAGTATATGTGAGCAAGATAGTATGTGAAAAAGGGCTTGGTAGTAGTGAAATCTTATAAAATGTATTCATTACTGATGACCAGGTTGGTAGCTTACGCCTATAATCCCAGCACTTTGGGAGACCAAGATAGGCAGATCGCTTGAGCCCAGGAGTTCAAGACCAGCCTGGGCAACATCGTGAGACCGTGTCTCTATTTATATAGATATATATATTTAATTTAAAAATAAATATAAAAATAATATATCTATATAAATACAAAAAATATAAAATGTATTCATCACTAAAATTTACCCATGTTAGTGATAAAGTGCCTAAGAATATAATGCAGAAAGGTAATTTTGGCAAAATCATTGGCATTGACATGTAGCCATGTGATAATGCTGTGAAGCCTCACTGAATGCTACCCTTGAGGCCCATGATTTGGAAATCTCTTATAGTTGAAAGCATAATTCAAATTATTTTTATTTTTCTCATTCCAATAATCAACACCACACATGGGGTCCACGAGTAAATACGTTTAATGAATTCCAGCATGTCCAGGGGTTAGAAGCAGAATTCAGAAGTATAATTGTCAAAGGATCTCTCTCAAATTTCTCTCTAAATTTTTGTTCATGGTTTATTTCTCATACCGGATAGAGCTAACATATGTTTGCTTTATTCATCTATTTCAGTAACATGTTAGGACCTTAAAAGGACATTACAATTCATCTTAGTATAGCCACTTACTAGCTGTGTGTCCTTGGGCAAGTGACTTTACCTCTCTGTGCCTCACTTTCCTCTTCTATAAAGTCGAGATAAAAGTAGAACCTACCCTTCTTAGGGTTTTTTGAGGACTCAATTAGTGAATAAAGCACTTAGGATGGTGCTTATTTCAATAAATGCTACTTTTTGGGTTTTATTATGTCTCACAGTATCACAATTTGAAATGGATGTCTCCCTGCTCCTTTTTTCCCCTGGCCTTGCATATAGCCACAGGGCTTCCAAATGGCCTTCACAGTGTTTCTCAAGTGTATCTCAAAAACTTCCACTCCCTCCTCTTTGGATTAATATTAGTATTATCTTTGGATTCATATTAGTATTTTCCCTAACAACCAGAAGAGTAGCAATTCAAGATTGAGCTACATTAATAATGTTATCAACATCCTGTTTATAAATATGAAACTATAACAGAGAGCTGATGACCATGGTGTCACAGCAAGTAACAAAACTGAGACATCATCTCCTCTATAAAAATTAACAGCTCTGGATATTAGCTCATGTGACCCAGAAGTTTTAAGCAAGCGAAATAGACCATACTTGTTGAAAACCCCAGATGCCATAATCTGAAAACGTGATTGGTCCTGGCAGAAACATGAAGAGATTAAAATCTAACTGAATATTTTATTAATTTAATGGAATAGATATAGGTTTTTCAATTGGAAAGATACACTACATAGTCAAACTCATGATTCATTGCTACATGATGTTAGGGGTATAGAGCCTTTGCATTTAGTGACTCCCATGTGTTATATTTGAGCTTTCACGGCACCTTTGAAAGTTTTGTAGTTTGTCTACCCTTCCTAGCTACTCCTTCCCTCTCCTACTTCTTTTCAGCATATCTGCCTCCACCAGCTAAGTCTCCTTTTGCCATCATCTTCCTGGCAGCCATTGCCTGAGGACCTGGGGCTTGGGCCTCCTAGATATTACCGTTACTTCACTCCTTGCCCATTCCCCAGTACTGAGATATCTGCAGCCCTACACCTACCAGCTACTCAGCCTGATCACACCTCCAGCCTGTACTCCAGAGTTTAGAGGCCTTAGGGCAGAGCTTAGGTTTCTCACCTTTGTTCTTTGAAAAACCTGGATTCTGTTTTAGTTCCACTCTCCTCTGGATCCCTGGCGCAAGCTAGATCCTTCCATAGGTATCATTGTGTACTAGTTATTAGATACTATAGCATATTGCCTGGTGCAATTTGTAACCATCATGAAACCTTTCGTGTTGTTATCTTTTCAGCTTGCTTTGGATACCCGATTCTGGACATGGATAAATCACTTTGTGATTTGGGGTTCTTTAGCCTTCTATGTATTTTTCTCATTCTTCTGGGGAGGAATTATTTGGTAAGCAATTGTACATATGTGAGCAGTCTGTAAATAACAAAGTAGACACACGTGTATGTACACTATATATGTAAGCATTCATTATACTTTTAAAATTTTAATTGTATAAGATGGCACGTCTTTAATATTAATGGCCTGAAGGTTACTTGTTAGCTGGTAGTGCTACTAATTTTGGGTAAGATTTTAAATACAAGTATATAGACTGCACAAATCACTCAGAAGACCTCCCTTTGGTAGCCCCTGTCCAACTCTTTCTATTTGAAGGTGTGTAAACATCTCTTTAGTGAAACTGTAGGTTTCAACACAACCTCTCATGTGATTTTCAGAGGAAATACTCATCCTGTGAAGCTTCTACCTGATATATTGGCCAACAGATACATTATTGTCCATTTGGACCCTTATTTCCTCTTTATAGTATATAACCATGATTCATGTTACTACAGGTGTGCTCAAGGTATAGGATATATACTACTTAATACTCAGAGGGTTGTATTTTGAAATCACCATCTCACTGTTTTGGTGGAGGTGGGAAGATGTAGAAAGGCAGACTCTGCAACTTGTCCTTAAAGTTCATTTAGTTCATCTTGGTTCAATAGATGTTTGTTCAGAATCAGTTTTGTGCTTGGGACTCTATGGGATAGAGAGATGACTGGACTGTGCTCAAGGAGAGTAGAGTCCAGTGAGGGACACATAAGCTGTGATTGGGAGAGTTATATATTTACATCTCCTTTCTTTACTCCCAAAAACATATATTTTGGTTTTAAATGTCAGAGTTGTTTTTTTTAGTCAATGGCTTTCCCTGACAAGGATGCCAGCAGCAGAGATCATGGCTAGAGCAAGCCATAGGGTAAGATTTCAGAAATACATGTTTTCATTGCTTTGAGCAAAATCTTACATACAAAATGATTCTATTTTATCACAGAGATGTGAGTCCTATGTTTATGTCCCTTGAGTCTTAATTAGAAGAAACTCTATTTTGAAAAGCTTTTTAAAAATAAAACTTTAAGAAATAAAAATATAAGAAACCTAATCATTTAAGGAAGTACCAGCTTTAAAAAGTATAATTACAGCATATTTTTGGTACCTCTATAGGTAATTGAGAGCAATGAAGCTGAAGGAAGTCTCTATTTTCTTTAATAATATACAAATAAATCAAAGTTGATTAAGAACATACCATATACAATTGTAGTTCTGCCCAGAGTACCGTAATTCTGTCTATGAATCTATGTAATCAGCATCTGAACTAATTATGCAAAATTTCTACAAGAATAAAATGTTTCTAGCAAAGTCATTTTCAACCCTTTCCAGACTATTCCTTATTAATGAAAATAAATCCAGTAAATGATTAAGATATTGTCACACCTGTTTCTATTCATTAATGATACCAAAAATGAAATGTTAATCTATTTTGTATTTTATTGCCTGAAGTATTATCATTAAGTGGAGTTGAGCCACTACATGAATATAAACTTATAAAGCAACCAGTAAAATGTGACTAGAAACAATGTGAAACTTCAGCTGAATGTGATCACAACTAATGTCTCTGGACATGTTCTACCCTGAGGCATTGAGTCACACCTGTCTTTGGGGTTGGGTAGTGAGAATGATGACTTCCGAGCCCCAAACCACATCCAGAAATAATAGTGTTTATTTTTTACTGCCCTACTACAAAACTCCATAGATGACATGGAGGTTTAAAAAAAAAAACACAACAAACTGGAGACATTAGTCAGAATGTATGATGCAAAGGAACACCCTGTGACTAGCTGTCATTTGTCATCTGGGCCCCTGTTGTGGCTCAGTTAACTGCCTAGAACATTATTCAAGGTGTTCTTCAGAATTTGAGTGAGGTAGAGTTCTGCAGAAGTCTTTTCCATGTGGCAGACGTTTCCCAGAAAGCGTGTGTAGCCTAGGCCTCATACATTTTTCCACCTCCCTGTTCTCACTTTTATTCCACAATCTAGTTTTCATAAAAGTAGAGCCACAAATTCAGTTTTATCATGTTACATAAGGGTGCATGGACATTAATTTTTAAATGAGAAACCAAATTATCTTTAGGAAGCATGATGTGTCATCTAATAAACAGGAACCATAGTTATCTACCTGGAGCTCTTAATCCTAGGGCAGTCTGATGTGCATCCTGTCCTTAAGCAACCAGTTCTTCCCCCTCACCTTCAAACAACAATAGCTTCACCTACTGAGGCTCTCTGTGGTTCAGCTCAGACAGAAGGGAAGGGAAACAGGCTGTGCTTCTCAATGGCCACTTAACAATGAAGTGGATGACTCGGAATGAAATCTGACTCCAGAATGGGGGTTCCCACTGGATTTCTGGATTCTAAGGCTTAATGTCCAATTAGAAGTATTCTGCTCTGTGTCAGCCTGTTTGGCACATACTGTTAATATATTTTGTGGATGACAATGGTAGATTCCTTCCATTTGAGAGACATGATAAGCTTCTACTTTTTATATTTACATAGTGTTTTTATCGGGGGAGAGTTATAAAAATGTCTTTTGAATTTCTGAATACAGAACACAAATCCATCCCCATCTTAATAAAACAGCTGAGGAAATAAAATGCTTGTTAGGATAAAAATGAACCATTTCTCTTGAATGTCTTTGAAGCACCAGCATTTTCTAATGCATGTAAATAGTTGCCAGTTGGCAACTTTAGAATTGATTGCCTGATTGTTTTCAAGTCAAATGCATTTTATTGTCTTTTTTCTCCTTTGATTATCATTCCTTTTTTCCCAAACATTTGGTAAATGAAATTTGTTTATTACTTTTGGGATATTCTAGAGAAAATTATTTTTATTAATGTATGTAAGGAAGATTCTTTTTAAATACAAAAGACATTTTAATTAAACATCCATTTCATATGACAGGAATTGATTTGTTTTTCCATCATGTATTTTCTTTCCACTTCAGGCCTTTTCTCAAGCAACAGAGAATGTATTTTGTATTTGCCCAAATGCTGTCTTCTGTATCCACATGGTTGGCTATAATTCTTCTAATATTTATCAGCCTTTTCCCTGAAATTCTTCTGATAGTATTAAAGAATGTAAGAAGAAGAAGTGCCAGGGTAAGAACTAAGTTTATCTTATAACCTGATTTTTGGAAGGGGCCTCAATATCTGCCATGAGCTAAAAACCTGATTTAGAAAATTACATTAGTTACAGCATGTTGAACCCCTCCTTACAGGTTCATCACTTAATTTCCTCTTCTGCATAAAAAGTATAGTAAAAACTTCGTTATCCAATGCAGGTGGTAAGTAGATTCCTTAATAGTGTTCTATGTGACCTTCAGCAATCCATATGGAGTATCTCCTATGCTCCATATGGAATTTTAAAAGGAAAAAATTATTTTATTTTGTATTTAGCCTAGAATTTTCACACCAGGAATTTCCACACCAACATTTTCGCTTTAAACTTAGAAATTTCCCTGTGGGCTGTTTGCAGATTGTTTTCAGTTGATAACACCAATTTGCCTCTTTCAAACCTTTCCCCTTCCTTTAATTATAGTGCTGCTTAATCTCTGTGTTGCTTCTAGCCCTGTCTGTCCAGCAGTATATTTGAACCAAAGAGAATTCCCTGGATGTGGTTTCTACATCCTTAGCCTCTGGAACACACTCGTAAAAATTCAAAATAGTTTTATGAGTGTGTTTTTATTTTTCCTATTAAATTGTAAATTTCCTGTGGGAATGAGAAGTTATTTTTTCTGCTGCCTTATTATGATATCTTTTAAACATTTTTTAAAAAGTCTTTACAGTGAAATAGGGAGATGAGCATGGAAAATAAAACTTTTGGCAGATTTTGACCAACAGGCTAATTAAATATGTCATATTCCTGCCAACAGTAGCTGATTTTGTTAAACAAAACTGTTTCTGTCATATTGACACAACTAGATCTTATAGCACCTCCAAGGCAGTATTTTCGGGTAATATTCTAAGCTACAACTACCTGACTTATTTGATAAATTTGCCAACCAGTTTAGCTACAAAACTGTTACATCATGATTTTGTTTTTGCCTGTTGAATTGATAGAATCCAGTAGTTGATATTAGATAGACATGGGGATCTGAAATGATTAGAGTAAGAAAACCTTCAGTGATTAGAATTGTAAAAGAGGAGTTTCATGTTACAAGTCAGTGTCAGCCCCAATCAAAAAAAAGAGAACTGTCATAGGGTACATTGATTCTTCATATACAAGGCCAGTCAGTGTGTAGTTAGTTGGCCAGAATTGCTCTTAACTCACTGCTTCTGCATGTCTTATGGGCTGGAACTGAACGCAGTAATGTTAGCTTAGGTATGACTACTATACTCTAGTCTGGTGTTTTAGGATGGAAAAGTTGCATTGAAATACCTGATTATGTCTCAATATCAGTTGAACAGGGATAAAACAGGTTGATACAATAGACCACCCAGAATGTCTCCGGTGGCAATGTGCATGAAACCAAATAAAATATGTTGCAATAAGAAATGATTTGGGGCTTTTTATAATAGAGAATTTTTCAGGGAAGGATTTCCAAGTTGCTCTTCTATCCTCCTTATTTGGGAGTATACTTTGGAGTGATCCTAAATATGTCTCTTATTTGAGGTAATGGAACTCATTTTAAATAATGGCTCACAGCCAGCTACATGGTCTAAAGATTATAGAAATATCTCAGAAAACAAAACCTTCAAACGTATCATCTTTTTTCTTATTAGGCCCTCTCTTTAAAAAGTTAAGACATTGGCTGGAGGTGACTCTTAAATTGTGGGATGCTACTAAGCAGTCACAGATAAAGACTTAGAACATTTTTTTTTTTACATGAACAGATTCTGAACTTCTGTTGAAAGTATGGAGTTCTGGGACTGCGTCCTTTTTTACTTAGCAGCATAGACCGTTGCCAGGGGTTTAGCATGAAATTTGTTATGGGTTATGTCCGGCGTAGGAAGAATTCTAGTGTCTGTGCTATAGCTGGGCATGCTGATGTGCTAGAACAACCAGGAAAATTTCCATAATCATTTTCATTCTTGCAATCATTCATTCATTTATTCCTACCCTCGTTGAACCAATAAACATTTGTTGAACCACCTGCTGATGAACATCTCTCTTTACATCCAATGTCTGAAAGGCTAAATGGTTTTTCAGACTCTGCAGGATTTCAAGAGTTGCAAATGAGGCAACATGTTGTGGGCACTCAGCAGCGCTGCCTCTTTTTTTTTTTCTTATGAGAAAATGCAAGAGCAAAGTAGTGCAATATGAATGCATAAAGGCCTACTGCAACATGGCAGCCATGGCTATTCTGATAAGTCACATCTGTTTATATAAGGCCCTATTTGGCTATATCAAAGAGGTGGAGGCCAACTTCTAAGATAAGGGAGAAAAGAGTATGTTACTTTCCCCCAAATATTTTAGTCTTCATGCTCAGTCACCAACAGTCTGACATTCTGTGTGATTTCCTACTCTGTTCAGTATTCCTTGCTAAGACATTGGCCTCATTTTAAAGAGAGGCAAAAGATACTGGGTCTGCCCCATATCCTGATAGATCCCCCGATGTGGTCAAATGTGTGTCTCTACCTAGAGTAGAAGAATCCCTGACTTAAACCAATAAGTATCGTGGACACTTTATACACACAGCCAGAAATGTGGCAGGTCAGCTGCCAGTGCTTTTCTTATGTGGGTCTTGGCAGTTGCTTTGAGAAGGGGACTTAGCAGTGTGTAGTGAAAATGTCTCTATGGCATTTGAGAAAGAAGCCAAGCTATTTATATTTAACAATTACAAGAGCAGCCTTATGCTGAATTCTGTTCAATTCAGCGTACCTTGCCTGAGGGCCCACTATGAGTTAGCTACTGTACTAGGTGTTGGTAATTCACGGATGAATCAGGTGTGGCCCTAGCTCACAAGGAGCTCTCACTCTAGTTATAAGGAGCATTCATATGAAATACTTTTGTAAGCAGGTATTAAACAGAATAGCAGAATCAGTGATATGGCTTGTTTGAACACAATTGAGCTATTTCAAATCACTACCTCCTAAAACCTCCAGTAAAATCGCTAGTATGGCAGCCTCCACTGCAACTGAGTTCTGTCATAATGCTAGTATTAGAAAGAATTCCAGTATCTTCAAATATAGGTTCTCTCAGTTGTTTAACTCAAGGGTTATAGTTAAGCCATGTATCCATCAGCTGTATTTTTACCAATGAGGTTAATTTTTTTCCCCAAAGTTCCATTATTAAGAATCCTAGAGTTTTTCTTTAGCTTTATGAAGTGACAAAACTGCATAGCAATGCTGTTGATGGTATATGATGAAACTACCATTGAGCACTGAACAGTGAAACAACAGGATAACACCTCAAGGAAAGTTCAGTTATAGGATTTTTGTATTTCAAAAGTTGTTTCCCCCCTAAGCATAGTCATTGACTGTCTGTAAATCAGTGAAATATACCTGGACTTTCTGGCCAAGTAGCAAATACCATTGCACATTTCCAGTGGAGTAATTTCCACATACCCTGTGTGAAGTTTTCTCATGTTAGTCACCACAATCAAAAAGGAGGCTTAACTTCGCCGAAGGTAGACAAAGGAAGACTATAATTTAATGGGAATGCACCCAGCAACATGGCCATGCTTAGCATGGGATGTCAGCACAAACAGGAAGAAATATTCCATTATGTAGAGAGCTCTTTCAGAATGGCAGACAGGAAGGGAAGAATGTCAACTGTCTGAGCCAAATTCCCAGAGAAAGCACTTTGGAAATTTTGGAGAATATAGTTAATCATTATAATAATGATGATTACTATTATGATTCTTACAGTGTCGTATACAACCGTGGGTTCAGAGGGCAATAGCCCTGTTAGCTGGATTAGACAAAAATAAAGTTTAATGCTAATGTCGTGGCTGTTGAGATGGGCCTTTATCCATTGGCCTCTTTGACATACTGCTAATTGAGCTGGTGTCAAAGCTCTCTAGGTGACTGCAAAGGAATGTGGAAATTTCATTCTGTTTTAGCTCATTATCTCCTGTTTACCCCACCCCACTGCCAGTTGCTAGCTCTATCAGTTTTTTTATTGCGTTAGTTCTTCTTTCCATGCTTTCTCCTGCTTTCTGTACTTTCATTTCCTTTATAAAGTAGTTTTAACACCTAATCCATTAACTCCTAATATTTATGCTTCATAGAAATACTTTTATCTCCAATGGTTGGATACAAGTTTTTGAGCACACCAAAACGTGCTTACAGTTGCAGTCTTGAATAGATAGGTTTGTGCATTAAACACGGGGGTGGGGAACTTGGTATCATGCTAATCTTGTCGCAGGGTTTTTGCCCATAAAATAGAAGATAGAAACAATTAAAATCTTTTTCTCAGAATCTAAATATTCTCTAGCTTTATCAGTTGGGAATTTGCATTCTACCAACATGTCTACTAGCTTTCTTCATTCCACCAACTTTCTTCATTTAAGGTAAAAACAAGAAAAAACGTAGTTGTCAAAACCTGAATAAATTATTTACCTTTAAAAGTTTAATTGTTTATTAGAATCTGCTGGATACATATGTTACTTTAGCTGGTTTCTTAAAGCCCATTTTAAGTCACTAAGTAGACAATATGGGTAATCTGTATTAGCAGAGTTGTTAAACTCATCCACATTGTTGACCACTCATCTTCTGTTTTGCTTGGGCAATGCCAAAACTGAGTCTGTAAATTACCTTATAATTTCAGGCACAGAATCAGAAGGAAAAAAAATAACCTTAGGTTTGCTAGTTAAACTTTATCCATTTTTACTTTTCTGGGTGTTTTAAGGGGAAAAAAAATAATACCTAGGTAAAATTTAGCCTATCTTTCTAAAGAGGACTCTGTAGGAAAAACAGGGAAACCAATCAAATTAGGTTGTAAGAAAAGAAGTTAAGCATTGGTCAGAGGCAAATGGGACTGAAATGTGATATCACCAAATGTTTTCTCATTGTTATTTTTTATTAGGTTTTTATCCTGCAACTTCTTAAGAGCAGTCAGTCCCTTCATAGTGTATCTGTACAGTTGGATAGGGGAGATAATTACTTCAAGATAGATTGGTGATTGGCAGTGGACCCTGGACATAACTCTTTGACCAATGGATTTTGAACAAATGTAGGATAGTGAATTAATGATTAGAGATAAGTCTTATTTTAACGAGAAGCATATTTTAAAGCTATTTTATTTAAAATAGTTAATTTTCCCATTAACAAAATAATTTCAAATTGACATGTAGAGAAATAGTAGTTGGCACATAATAATAGACTATTCCTATCACTGACTCTGCTTTTACTTCAGAAAATAATGTCTCCAAAACTAACATATCATTTCGGCTTCGAATTCTCAAGGTTTCTTTTTAAATGTCTTACATTTGAGAGATTATTTACTTTTTTTTTTTTTTTTTTTTGGTTTTTGCATTTCTCTTTTTTCTACTGCAATTTTCCACCTTTTGTGCAATTGTGAACAAGGTAACGAAACGCCTCCCTTCCTCAGGAACATCTACTATCTTCATGCTTTCTCAAACTTCCAGCAATCACAGTTTCTCTTGGAGTGAATAAGGTGATTTCCTTTCTTAATGTACCAACTTGCTTGCATTCTCATTTGCCTGACACCATTTTCTGATTCTTTATGAAAAATTACTTCTCATGACTCATTTTATATCTTCTATTGATGCTTAGAGTATTTTGTCATTTTCTTTTAATCATGTGTTCACCTTCCAAATTGTCACACTGGAGAGGAAGTAATTTTTAAAAGCTTGGACTATGGGTCTGTAGTCTTCATTGATCCACGGTATGCAGTAGCCATGGCGTGTTAGAGCTAGTCTGTTCACTAGGACAGGAATGTTTTGCACAAATTTCTCTTTGTTTGATATACTCACAGCACCGGCACAACTCTCAGAGGTGTTCACCAAAAGGATGGTAAGGTTTACTAATCAAACCATATTGACTCATCTTACCATATTACTTATCAGTGCCATTCCAAAAACCCAAGTTTGCCACATACTACTGTTGTCTATTTACTTCTACCACAAAAACAATTCGAGTTGGAGACTTTCTTAGGCCTTTGAATGTATTCATTTGAATGTTATACATTTACTATATAGTGTAATCATTTGTACTTTTGGTCAGAGGAGTAGTCTATAGGAAATGATTTTTTCTTTTACCTTTTTTTTTAAATATATAGTCACCAGGTAGGTTAACCAATTTTCACATGCTTTAAGTATCTTTGCCTCACTATTACAGAGAAATCTGAGCTGTAGAAGGGCATCTGACTCATTATCCGCCAGACCTTCAGTCAGACCTCTTCTTTTACGAACATTCTCAGACGAATCTAATGTATTGTAACAGGTACCTAGTGTTAAACAAATGGGCTGGCTTTAAAAAAACAGATTAACAGCATTATAAAGAAAAAATGAAAATATCACTCTCTAAATTTTCTCTGCTGTTGGTGTGGTGAACTTTACAATATTCTTTGCAAAAATATAAAGATGCATTACTTGGAATATGGGGAAATATGCATTTAAAATTTGCTAAGCCCCCCCCCAAATAAAATGTTAAACATTTTTCAGAGCCAAATGTTGATACAGCATATTTAATTTGTAAGGGGCAAGTTGTAATGGCAAGGCCATCATGTGAAAATGTTTGTTAATATTGATCAGGAAATATAACTGATTTATAAAGATCATTTGGAAAATTCAAAATAAATATTCCAAAATTGCATCTGTATAATATCAAGCCAATTTAGCATTGCATGTTCTCTTGGGAATTATGTGAAAATAACTAAATGTGTTTGTACTTTCATGTGCTGTGTCTGTGTGTTTGCAGGTACTGTATACACTTATGTCCTTGTAAATGTCTGATCTCCAAATATATATCAATGAACCAGTCTAATCATAACTTTTTTAATGTCAAGTTTTATTCAAGCTAAATGTTTCAACTTTCAGAGATAAAATCTTTCATAGCCATTCAGGGGGATGCTTGCCTAATGATATAAAATGCTTTATAATAATGTTTCCAAAAATGATTAAATTCACTTTGTAATATATTTCATTTACCCCCAGAAATATTTGGGAGGAATTGATATGCCATGAGAGGGATCCTTGAACTCAGAATGACTCCTTTATGTGTAGTCTGTATTTCCTTCAGGGGGGCCTTTAACAACCCAGACCTCTGGAGGTCTTTTATCCATCCATAGGAATTTAGAGTAATTCATGAACAAGGCTTCCAAGCTTGTCAGCTTAGAAACAACTCTACACAGCTTAGCGCAGGGCCATCTTTCATGCACACATAAAAATTAATGATCATCACGAATAAAATTGTGGGTTAGTTCACTTTGAAGCTAATAATTGCGAGTCCACCTCATAGGCCCATTTTTTTCAACAGCTGTCAACTCTGCCACCCTCTAGTAAAGAATACAAGTTAAATTAATGGATTGAATCCATTGGTTCTTCTGTCTTCCTGGAGTTCATCAGTCTGCATCTGCACTGTTATTTTAGAAGCAGACTCATTTTACCACAGTTAGCATCCTTTTACCCATTTTTGAACAACTTACCTGTGTATCTTTTCCCTTAGTAATAAATCTGCTTCACAAGTAACCTTCAAAGTCTTTGACCCCTTTGTCCCAGATTGCCTTGCTCTAAGCTGTGTGATGCATTTTAGCTATATTGTTTCTGGCTAATTTTGTATCCCCCTGGATTGCTCTCTTTAGCTTCGTCTGTGGTTTGGGGGACTGGGCTGGATAGAAGACACCGCTATTGCTTTTGGCCTCTCCAGGGCCTTATCTCCTTCAATGTCTAACATAGAACTGAGGAAGTATTTTTTAAAAACAATTATCTTATTTTTAATATAGTTATTTCTTCCAGGAATAGATTTTCATGTGGCATTATTTCTCCTCCAAGGACAATAATTCGCAGCTAGTTTAGGCATCTAGTTTGTTCCTTGGTTAGTAAGGAAACTACCTAACTCCTCAGTGTGAGTTACATTCTTAATATGAATGGCAACCTCATTTTGGTTAGAGTCGCCATGACCCTGCGGAGCTACCGGAAAACCTATTAGCGGTTCTGGAGAATGTGGAACATAAATAGAAATGGAAGATATTCTGATGAACTTCTAGTCCAACCATGGCAAAGGAGGTGTCCCAGAATGGGAAGAAAATAGCATACTACTTAAGACCTTCCACTACTCAGGTTCAAAAAGATTGAGTTTTAGAGTGGAGAATCAGGCTCCCTGTTTTGACATACGACTTCCATTTCTTATGATCATTATGATACTTAATGATCAGTTTGTCATGCACCATCCTGATCATAGCATTTGATGATGTTTAGAGGACAGAGAAGAATCTACAGATTTGATAGGGAAATATCCATGGTTTCTCTTCCAAAAAGATGAAGCATAAGAAAAAAAAACAGAAGAATCAGTTGACTCATAGATATGTGATCTACCAAAAGGAAAACTGACTTCCATATTGTAGGGGGAAATGTGCTTCTTTCAGTAAAAAGGAAGAATATTTTCACAATAATCTTCCAAAGCTGGATATACCTTCAGACTTCCTCTGTCAAAATTAACACATCAAGAAAAATAGTAATCTAATCATTCATCAAACATTTCCTGAGTATCTGCTGTGTGCCAGACACTATACTAGCTGCTGGAGATAAAAGGTAAATAAAATGTTCCTGTTTTCAGGGACCTCCCAGCCTAGAGGAGAAGGGATCATAGCAAGCAAAACCTCTGCTATGGTAAATAATCCCAGAGGTAGAAAGTATTAGGAGAACCCTGGAGCAATCCAAAAGCAAAAAGCAAGCCTGAATCTATTCAGCTGACAAATGAAGAAAGGGTTAAAATCTGGTTATAATGCCACTCTTTTTTTCCCCTGCATGTGAATAAAACTTGGCACTTTGTTAAGACAGTTGCTTTACTCTCATAACAAAATTTACTACTTATTTCTGAAAATGCTTAACAGATGGTTTCACATTATTAAAATAAGCCTTTTAAATCTGTATATTTTACATTTTTCAGAATCCGAATCTTGAACTGCCTATGTTATTGTCCTACAAGCATACTGACAGTGGTTACAGCTAAAAAAGAAAGCATGAAGAAACAACTACAAAAAGTTATCATCTCAGGATACTTGATATGCAACACACTAAACCACTCTCATGTCTAGAGTTCACAATAAATGTTCATTAAAATACCAAATGATTCTCTTAAGCATTTACAATTATTGTAAGTAGCCTTTATGGCCAAAGCTGTAAGTTAAGAATTATATGAAAGTTGAAAGCAAGAATACTTAGAATTCTGGCTTTAGATAGAATAATATAACTCAAATGGGTGCTCTTTTAACCCATGAACTCTGTGAATGGATTTAAATACAATAGTATAAAGTAGAAGTTATGCAATGAGAATGAATAGATTTTGCTAATATTACTTTTTTTGCCTGGCAGAAGAAATAGACTATTTGGATCACATTTCTTGTTCCTCCTAAATGATCATCTTAATTTTCTTTTTCAAAAGTACATAAGGAATACTTGAAAATACAGAAGGACTAAATAGTATCAATGTATCAGACAAAATAGTTAATCCCTTCTGTTTACCCATGTGCTACTTATGTCTTGGTAGAATATTCTTGCCAAAAAAATACCTTGAACGCTTATGTGGAAAGTGTTAACTTACGGGTATTTTTGTGGGAATAGAAAAAAAGTGTTTATTTTTTATTCTTCTGAATTAAACCCCACTTATGGGTGTAAGCCTACTAGACTTGAAAATAAAGCATAAAACATTTCCAATCACTTAGTAGCCCCTCAAAGTAGTTAGGAAATAAACAGATTTTTCCAGTGTTGATTTTACTGGGATCTGCAGTAAGGTGGTTTAAACCATAGTTATATAAAAATAAAGGTCATTCTGAACATCAGCCTTTTATAATTTTATGTGAAGAGGAAGAAAAATAGCTTATTTTAAACTGTTGATGGTTTTTATTTGAAAGAGATTGCATTCGTGCATATATGCAGTGCTTTTTCTTAAACATGGCCAATTTGGAAAGGGGGAAGGATCCACCCCAAAACAGTGGTTCAGCTTGTAGAGCCATGACTCTGTGAAGATGAATGTTGTCTCTTAACTTGGACAGGGAAATGGTCTAACTCTAAACCATGAGACTGACCTTGGTAAAGTCCTTGAGTAGCTGAGCTAGAAGGAAGATTTAGCCTTCTAATTAGCTCACTTGAAACATAAATGTGAAATGTCCTAATTCAATGTTAAACACATACTTTTTTGGATATAAATGACCATATTTATTTGACTGCTAGTTTTTTTTTTTTTTTTTTTTTTTTTTTTGGTCTTTCTGGCATGCCTGTACTATTATTAATGTTTATATTGTACCTTGATTTGGAAAAGTATTGGAGTTAATCTGTATTATATTTGTATAGTCCATATGGCACATTTGATTCTTCCACATATATTTTATGTTAATGTTTAGGTATGATTTTTTTCTAAATTCTAGAAAAGAACATAATTTCAGTTATCAGAAGCCATTCCATCATTACGGACCCTTTTTCATTATTACATTTGCTCTCATATATCAGTATTATTTTTGAGCATTTTGTTACATGTCATTCACACCTTACCTAAGTGCGCTGTGTTCTGGTAGCCTGTATTTGAGGTAAGCTGCTGAAAACAAAGTCTCTGTATTCTTTGCCTATTCCAAAGAGCTAAAAAGTCTAACCCAGGAAAACTTTTGATATTTTGTGCTTGTTTTCTTGTTCTTATGGTTGTTGTTGCTGTATTATTATTGCTGTTTTACATAAAATCTATGGGAACTGTGAATACAGACAAGAGAGCCACAGTAGAGAGGCTTGTTTAATGCAGTACCATTGAAGAGTTAACAGAATAATCTAGTAGAAAAGTAACTGGTTGCATGTAAAATTCCTTCCAGCCAGAAAGAAAGAAAGACAAGGATTAAGGGGGATTTAGAGTTATGTCTCAGCTACACATTACATTGTGACACTGCAGCTCAAATTCAGAATGGCAATGATATATGATATCATGGCCTAGATCCTTGAGAAGCACCTGGCTTTCCTTTTTAAAAGATACTTTACTGAAGAGCTAAAAAATGGCTAGTGTGGGGTTAGCAGATCGAATAACTTGAAATAGACCATGTATTCCTAGCACTACAATGTAATCACCCTATTTGTGACAGAGAAAGGGAAAAAAATGTAATCATAAGATCATCTACCTATAATTTGAATAATTTTGAGCTATCAAAATGTCTTTGTAACTTCCACAACTGTTGTCCATTGTTTGAGGATGTTACCTACTAAACTGAAAACATTCATTCCATATCTACTACATATACACCAGCAACAATATAAATGTAAGCCTAACTTTGCAAAATTCATAATAATTTAGTGATGGAAGTTTTTAATAACATGCAGTATATAAATGTGCAGATTTTATGCGTGTTGACAAAATCATTTTTCAGCTTGCAAAACGGGACTGCAATATTACATTTTTCACTTAAGCAGTTTTTTACATCTATGTTATTGCTTTCTAAAATGAATGTGAATGCCATCTTTTATGACTGCAACTTGCCTTTTCCATTACAGAAATTTTTGTTTGATGTAATCAATAAACTTTGGTATGATATGATTGATATATCAGCCTCTTTTTTTTTGGAAAGGTCTCGGTTTGACATTAAAATAATGTGGAAGCAATTTGTTGATGGGAACTAAGTTTCTAATTTCTTCTTGACCTGCACAATTAAAAGAAGTTTGACTATTTCTACATGAGTTCAACTGGTATTTTATGGCAATACCTAATTTGGGGAGGGTAAGATATTTGTAGGAGTTTTTAATAACACTGTACCTTGTTACTGCATAGATAAAAGTCCAGCCAAATCAGCAAATACAGGTTGAAAGTGTACTTTGTGCTTGGCAGTGTGCTTGATGCCACCTGTGCATTGAAGGTAGCATGTGTATGGTCTTCGTGGTCTCTGTCTTCAACCCATTGAACTCATTTAATTCTTAAGCAGTCAAACATGAACGGATTTTACGGTAGCTTGAAACTTGGTCCAAAGGTATATGTGTACACACCACTTCCCTAGCTCTTCTTACATTGCTCAGCCTGCACCCAAGACCTTGTGAAAGTCCCTTTTCTTGAAAAACCTCACTGTCCTTGACTGCCAAGAAACCAGAGTTACTTCACGGAAACTGGTTTCATTGCATTTCTACATTTCAGTCTCTGTGTTTTGGTAGTCTTTTAATCCTGTTGGTCTTTTATCTATATTTAGTGTGCATTTTCTTCTTTTTCATTAAGTGGAAAATGTGCTGTATTCAGAGGTGAAACCTGAATTAAAGTATCAGCTTTGCCACATTTCTCTCTGAATCCTTTTTCTTTCTCACCTATAAGATGGTGTGTGGCAGGGCAAATAAGGTAAAGAATCAAAATTGCTTTGTAAAATGTCACTTGCTATTCATATGTAGGCATTGTTATTTTTATATTAAGGGTTTTTTATTGCTTAATTTTTTAATGAACGGTTGTCATTTACCACATTTTCACAGATGTCTTAACGTGATTTTTAGCTTATTGGAATCAGTCAGTTCAAGCTTCCTTCCCTTCCCCCATCCAGCCTTATGGGGAACTCCCGCTTCACCTCACTGCTTAGTCTGCCCACAGTTGGCCAATACAGTGAGTATTGTGAGGGTCTGAGTGATTTGGCCCCTTCAGCAAGAAGCACAGGCAGAGGTTAAGGGCTGAGGTTATCACTATGGTTATACAGTGAGTGTGTCCATGGGCAAAGTGCTGGATGCATACTAATGAACCCTGAAGGCCTGCGTTCTGAGAGTAGTTGTCAGGGGAAAAAAGTGGACTTAATTATTTTGCAACTTTTAAAAAATTAATTCGACACAATTTTACCAACAACTGATGGGTGAGGAAACATGGGCTCAGTTCCTAGTGCATATACCTATTGTGCTAAAGAAATGTTGCAGGGGCCAGGCTCAGTGACTCACGCCTATAATCCCAGCACTTTGGGAGGCTGAAGTGGGCGGATCACCTAAGGTACGGAGTTCAAGACCAGCCTGACCAACAGGGAGAAACCCTATCTCTACTAAAAATACAAAAAAAAAAAAAATTAGCCGGGCGTGGTGGTGCATGCCTGTAATCCCAGCTACTCCGGAGGCTGAGGCAGGAGAATGGCTTGAACCCAGGAGGCGGAGGTTGCTGTGGGCCGAGATCGCGCCATTGCACTCCAGCCTGGGCAACAAGAGCGAAACTCTGTCTCAAAAAAAAAAAAAAAAAAAGAAATGTTGCAGTGTGGATCAAGCAAGTCCTCATCTCATGGGCCTTGGGAGTAAGCGCTCAGGCCTGTGGCTGAGAGGAACAGTGCACTCATGGTGGGCCAGAATTCCTGCTGGCAGTGAGTCTGGCCTTGGCTCTTTGGGCAGGGTTGAGCAAAGGATGCACATAACTGAAATACCTGCTGCTTCTTTGGTCTCTTCAGCAGTTGCCAAAACCCACCTCCTCACATTAGCTAACACACAGCACTTAATATGTGCCAGGAACTGTTCTAACCACTTTACACATAATCATTCCTTTAGTAATTCCAATAACCCTAGGAGATAGCTACCGACGTTTCTTCATCTGACAGATGAGGACAGTCCCCAAAATACTCAAGTTTACACTGTCTGGTGAAGCCAGAGTTTGAATCCAGGTATTCCGATTAGGGTCTGTGAACTTAACTAGGACACTGTATTTCCTTTTTTATATCACCCCTGATGGCATGAATAAACAAATCATCAAAATGTTAATATTAAACTTGAGGATATCCCGCACAGGCTTCAAAATTACAAAGATCATAAAAGAGCAAGACTGAGTAACTCTCCCAGATAAAGAAAACAACTAAAACTTCGTTGTGAAAACTAACTGTGGCATATGATCTTGGACCAGAAATTGAACATTAGTGGGATAATTAGTGAAGTTTGACTACAGTATTTAGGTTGTATAACAGTATATAGGCAATATATCAATGTTTTCTGATAATTTGAAATTATGCTGTGAATATATGTGATATATTTTGGGGAATCCAAGTGGAGGTATATGAGAATTGTTTGCACTATTTTTACAACTTTGAAATGATTTCACAATTTTAAGTTAAGAAAGCTAAAACAATGAAACTAAAAAATATTAATGGGAAAAAAGCATTAAGCTGATACAGAAGACTAGCTAACATCTACATAGCACTTTATGGAATGCTTTTGTATGTACTTTATTTAATTTTCACAACAGTCTTTTGTAGAGATCATTAAACTCCAGATACTTAACATATTAACTGAGGCTCAGATGAGTTAATTATCTTGCTAGTCTCCCAGGACTGAACTCAGGTATGACCCATGTGTTTCCTGCTATACTACACTTTGCAGTTTGTCTAGGACTCTTAAAGTATTCCTTGTTGGATTCTGGAATGATCAAAAGGCAAGTGTTACTGCAGTCATTTTTGTGTGGGCCCATCCGATGCAGTCGGATACAACCATAGGTAGAGTTGTGTCATTGCTTTTAGGGTTGAGGTGAGTGGCCTGAGAATGGCCCAGGCCTAAGTTTTCCTTTTTCCCCTTTCATCTCATCTGAAGCTGCTGAACTGGGCCTCAGCACCAGTACTTATTCAGGTATTTTCCAAGGCAAGTTTTAGCTTACTACCGCTGCTTCCCACCCTTGGAGTGAGAATACAAGAACACTTCTTTAATTTTAATAATGAAATTAATACAAGGAATTGATTACACAGGTAGTATAGCTGAACTGTCCATTGGGGATTCTGTGAAACGGCCCAGAGATTAGAAGGAGGCAGAGGCCAGAACCATCCTTAGGTTGTGGGGGCAATAGAAGGAAATGTACTTCTGGAGCCTATGGCCTGGTCATTTGGCAGAAGTCGGAATCACTGTGGGCCTATCAGCGGCTGGGGCCACAGCAGAGCCATGGCCACTATTGGAGATGCAGCCTGAGGCAGAAATACCCTGGCTTCTGTCCCCAGGGCTCCAGTCTGCCTTCTATTAGCTAGACTCAGCTCACTCGAGGACCTGAGAAACAATACAAAACAGAGCAAAGAAGTGCAAGGAATGTATCTGAGGGTAAAGAGGCCGGGGACTAGCACATCAAGGATTTAAGGAGTCAGGTTCGGATTTATACTCTTTAAGAGTGTGTATAAACATAAAGGTGAAACTTTAAAGGGCCAGATTTCAGCCCCTTTATAAATGTCATTTATATATCTGTTATGAAGAAAAGAAATGCAGAAAAACAAATCTGAAGTCACTCCTGTAACATACTTAGTGCAATACTGATCATTTTTAATGGATACTTGAATTAATGGAAATAGAAGGTCCTTGTATAATTCAGCCTTCTTGATTAGTAATAAAGACACTTAGCATTAAAAAAGACCTAAATAAAGGAGTTAGCATATCATTTCATAGATAAATGAAATTCACCTACATCATATTAAAAATTCAAGAATAATTCAAGCTCTGGATAAAAAGCTGCAATATTAATTGCAAAGGAAATGACTTTCCTTCTTTTCATTCTTCCGCTTCCACTCATGAAATAGAAACTGTCTTCCTGCAGGAAGCATATGGAAGAAGGTTTCTGCCCTCCACTCGTCAGTTAGCTGACGGTGAGACTGGAGGAAGGGGTTACTCCACATGTGTGGTTTAGCCCCACTTGGGCCCTTCCTCTTTGAGAACTGCCAGCTTACAGGCTGATCGCCTGCCTTTCTCCATTCCCAAATCCTTCCTGCAGTATGCTCAGTGCGGGCAAGGAACCAGATAGGCAGAGTGGAGGGGGTGGCTCTAGTTTTCTAGCCACTCAGTCTGTGATTAAATGGATAAATTCAATTCAGAGGGGAAGGAATGGGAAGTCATTTTGGCCTCAGACTAGGCCAAGTTTTAAAATGCATCTTTGCAAATAGTAGATTGCTACTATATTGCAAATAGTAGATTTGTCTGCTTCAGGCGCTGCTGTATTCTTAGTGCCTAGAGCAATGCTGGGGGAGCATAATGTTTAAAAATATTTGTCCAATACACAAATTGTATCTCTGATGTCTGGCTTATTTCTTGACTGGCTTTGAACTGAGAGGGGAGAGGGATATGACAACTAATACATGGCGCATTTTCCCCTTTATATTCTCCGTATTCAAACAGATGGCCAGCCTCGTGCTCATTACTTTAGGAGAAGTAATATATGGCACCAGGAAAGCATAAGATTGCCTGCAGAGCTTCTTGGCTTTTCTATTCCATAGGCAGATCATTAAGAATATAGGTTTTCAGAGGAGAGGGGAAAAGGGGTGTCATGGGCATAGAGTGTCTTGGAACTACATGATTACAGAAGCCTTTCCTCAAATTAGAAGAACAGGATGCCCCAGGCTGCAGGGAGGAGAAATGAGAAAGGATCTTTTAGTGCAAAGATCAGGTCAGACCAATGTTCTGTTGAAGAGTACCTTCAGGGAAACAAGAACAGAGAGGACAATAGAGGGGTGCCAAGGCAAACAGCATCCTAGTCAGCATTGGCAGAAACCATGCCCCAACATGGCAAGAACACAGCACAGCTTCGGGCCCTGGAACACATGATGCATATAGGGATAATGGACCTCCTGAGTGGTAATGTGTGTGGAT